GAAACTGCAGTCCGTCAAAAACTATACAAAATCGTATGTGAGGAAAAGTGTTTTACAAATACTTTCAGCTAATAGTAGACATCACAATATTCCGTAACTAATCATGTTTGAGTGTGGAGGTGGATGTGGGTGTATAGTCGTCTATTAGCAAATTGACTCTAGTTCCTTCAAAGTCTTATGAAAACAAGAGTTATCATATACCGTTCGATGCGCCTCAGAAAGCTCTACAACATAGTATACCAGATTGAGGAAAAAGTTTGTGCACCGCGTTACTATTATTAATATTATAACACGGCGCACGAACTTTTTCCACAACCTAATAAAAATACCCACGAATGACCTCGTACAGACAAAAAGGTTATCAAGAACACGTATGAGTAATATTTTCACACACGAGGTAAACATACCTTTTACCGAGTTACTGAATCATTCGTTATGTTTATTGCAATGGAATATGATCACATAATATACAATTGTTAACGTGTGCAACTTCAGGTCTTCGTGATTCGCTACAATACAATGTTTGCAGGGCAACGGTGTAAAGAGTTTTTCTTGATAAATCAACTGAAGCACGTTGTACTCGTCTATTTTTACAAGAACAGCCAAATGTCTCTACGTCATGTAAGTATTATTTTTGCACGATAATCTCTTTTCACTTCATGTACACATAGTTTCACATTTCACGTCGCCTTTTTCTACTTGGTAGCAACTGATGATTACATTGTGACTCATTTCAGATGCGTTTGTAATTCTAAAAACAACATCAGAATGTTTTCAGACCTTCAATAGTCCTGTTAAGTTTATCGTGTTGTGTGATAGTCTGGTTGTCGGTAAAAGTAGTCCGTCATGGAAAATGAGGATAGTTTTGCCGATCGTACGTAATCAAGTGAAAATTCAAGTTTATTGATTACTTCGATCTTCATAGACATCTCACAAGAAGTTACGGAATATCCATATCCTGATTCCACACAGATCGAATGTATATGGATTTGTTATGAATGGATAAATAATGTTAGTTTTTTTTTTCAAATTTCAGATTTACAAATACCAATACGTATTGCCAGAGACTACAATACTTTGGAAGATGTAGAACTCGGGCAAACTGTTATTTACGAACGTAGCTCGAAATCCCGCACTGTTTTTAGAATATTTTTCTTCATTTTGATAAGTAAGAAAGTGACAATTCGTTTATTAAATGTTGATTCGTTAATTGTAGTATTGATCTATAACTACGTTGGGAACAAAATTCAACCTTTGGTAATAGACTATGCTGAGCATTATGATAAACTCATGCTTGAAGTGTATAATAGCAGTTATCCAAGTAGGCAATATAGAGTATCATTGTATTCGATGTATGTTGTTTCTTGTAGATCAAGTTGTGGAAGATGAATACATGTGCTTTTATGAGAAGAACTCAATCCTACCAGATCATCTCGGTATTCAGAACGAAGATGGTGCTCTTTCATGTGATGATTGTGATAGTAAACTAAATATTTTGAAATCTCCTGTTTGTTAATATTTGGTTATGAAAATATTAAGATGTACCGGTGGAAATCTTCGCCACAAAAGAACATTCGCTAAACGTCTTCCATAATTTATCGTGTCCTTCGTATGGCTTTGAATACACGTTTTTCTTAAAAGAAAAAATGTACACCTCTATTTTTGATGAGTATCTCGAAGGTACATTTGAAGAATTCGATCTGTTTTTGAATTCTAAAATTACTTTCGTTCAGAATCGATCAATGGCTTTTCAGACAACTCTCCTGATAATGAAAATACAGGTTTGTGATAGTTGATGGTAGTATTACCATATCTGCAATCGATCATGTCCACAGGTGATCTTGGATTCGCATCTGTCAACATCGATCATTTCCAGGAAAAGTCTTCAGCATCTATACACATGCAAGGTAAAACAAAATTCTTCGTTTATACGCTACAAATAGGTTTTTTACTAGATTTACCAATCACTGACACTAGTGATTGAATCATGGAGAACGGTGAGTCGATTCTCAGAGAGTGATTTCGCCTTATTAATCAAGAAACTAATTACTCATGGGTCAACAAAGATTTGCTTACTGATACATTCAAACAATCACTTTCTGCGACACACAAGGTTCACGTAATGATACCCGACATGACTCATGAACTAACACAATCAGTTTTTTTGCTCATAATGTCAACATAAATTTTACTTAGTGATAGAGTATCTAGATCAGACACACAAGTCTTAAACAGTCTTTTGATTGAGAAACCAAATTCCATTAATATATACTTAGAAAGTAGCAGATTTATTTCTATTGTAAATTTGTCGAGATTTTGAAAAAAAAGCATACATGTTGTTTGTATAGGTGTACGTGGGCTGAGAAAAAAATTTTTTTTGTCTATAGCTTCTTTTTCTCCAGATTCCCACCTCAAGGTCATAGGAATATAGCAAACACTTTCTCACTGATTACCGTTGTTCTGTGTATTCATTCTATTTCATAATTGACTGTAGTAAGTGTATTCAGGCTCCGAAGCCAACACTCAATGCATGTACTTTGAATATTTTCGAACAATGTGCAGAAATATGGGTAAATAATACATACTATTTACATGCATGAGAAAGAAAAGCAAGTTTTCGTGACAGCGTAAAACTTACATTAGTTAAAGTGTTACTCAGTGAGTCGTAACTTGATGACAGTTGAATATGAAAAGAAGGGTATCGGCGGGCGTAGTTCGTCTTCTTCATCGTAATGTACTCACTTTATTGATCGAAAGAGAGAGAGTAAAAAAGAACGAGCTTATGTAAGTAGAACGCGAGAAAGAAAAAGAAAAAGAAAAAGAAAGTTTTCTAGTTTTATTTAAAAAAACACTTGAATAAATAAAGACGCACACTATTGAGTCTCCCCATCAAGGTAAGCATCCCATTAACTTTTTTCACATATCGAATTACCCACTGAACGCATTCATATTCGACATCTTGTTCCAAATTGTGATAGTCAGCTCCAAATTAGTTGATTGTACAGAGTACTTTATGTCCCATCTTGCGTGAAAACAACGATGAATAATGATAATTCGTTCTCTGTTCTTGCTACCAAAGATACATTCAAATTTGAATCTTCTTTTTTTAGATACAGTCATGCATAGAATAAATTACTTCGAATCGATTAATTAATAGGTTAATAAACATAATTTTACTTTTGATTATGGTTTTTCTACGCATGACGTCATGTAGAAAATATTGCTGTGCGTTGCGTTTTTCTCTAACTCATGAAAAACGTACTTATGCAGCTTTATTTTGATTGAATTTGTTTTTTTTTCGTAAAAAACTCAAAAAGTCGGCGCATTAGGAGAGAGAAAACTATTGTTTCGTCATTTACGATGCTCGTAATCGCGAAGTATACATTTTTTCATCGATGATGGTGGCGTTTTTTAGTAGCGTTTGATTGTTAAAAAGATCTTCGTCTCGTCAGTTTATTTATCCGTCCTGTAAGTACGTTGTTTCGAATGTCAGCTATTCGAGTAGACATGTAACGACAAACGAAATTTTACATCTGTCAGATTGACTTAAAACACTTTTGTGACGAAGTGTAGTTTTAAAACGAACAATTCTTATCTGAGTAGCATATGTTTTAGTGTACTCGAAACTGCATATTTATAAACCCTGTATGTAAAGACAGTTAAATATCATGCTAAATAGTCGTTAAAGAATCAAATCTAATAAAAGTTATCTCTCAATGTGCAAACGTTTTATACGCCTAGTTTATTTTTGTCCGTATAACGAATGAATCGTATCAAATTTCGAATAGCTTTATAAATGATATTACATTAATAGTGATACATGTTTCTACTCGTAGAAAATCGTCAGGTAACCGCGATTACTCAAGGATCAAATAATAAATAACATCCTTTTCTCCTGATTTGTATTGAGGACGCACATACGTACAGGTATATAAGCTGCTTTTCACCGTTGCGAAAGCATATTTACTCAGTAAAGAATCATATAATAACAACGTCGTTTAAGACTAAAATACAATACCGGTAGATCTCAGAGAACAGATGATAAACTAAACATTCTATCGATCAGAACAATAGGTTTCGTGATAAGCTCGAATTCCGCCTCATTAGAACAGTCAAAAAGTAAGTTGTCTGATAGTTGCCTGCTACATGAAGGTCTTTGCGTAAAAAAAAGGCGATTTAATACATATTAGAACTGATTTGTGTTTTGCAGCTAAGAGATGACAATAGTTATGGGAGCTATTTGCATAGATACATTGATAATCATGCCTACACATTTCTAGCGTCATAATAAATACTCGATATCTTTATTCTTATCGTTCTTTGCCGAGGTTTACATTTTTGAAATGCGTTATCAATGTTACAGATATGCTTTATTTAGCTGCTGTTCTCAAAGAAGAGAAAACTGAGAGATTTAGTTCACGTTTTTATTGATGTATAATTTGTCATACTCTCCGTACACATACTTCTCATGCATTCACTCTCTTACAATTCTCTCTATACGACCATTTTGTCAACAAGGGACTATGCTCGTGCGGCCAAACACTATTTTGTTTGAAGAAGACAATATTTTTTATGTGTATACGAGCAAAGATTTTCAATCGAAAATATCTCTTATTTTCACTGTTTAAGTTGTCGACTCACACGTTAGTTTGTCAGTATTGGCAAACGTTATTCTGTTAATGTTTAATCAAGCTAACAACGGACATGATTCTGACGATTCGTCAAGTGGATACGGTAACTTCAGCATCATTTTGAATACGTTTAGATTATTCATGATTTGATTTTTTGTTTCAGGATCAGATAGTGAACAAAATTTACCAGTACCGTATGTTGAACCAGCTATTGGTAATTATCTATAGATTCGCATAGATCTTTGTCGAATCACTTATCTATTTAAATAGAATTGTCGCAAATGGCTGTTGACGAACCTTCTGATAATTCACAAGGTATAGCGAGTATGAATGTGATCTAGCGAAACATTCATTTTCAATCACTCTTTTTTTAGATGAAATAATAAACTCGAATATTTTACTTGATGAAACTCGTCATCTGGAACAAAGAACGACAACTTCATTATGGACTTTGTATGCCTTGTTTCATATTGTCTTTCGTCAGTTGTCACATTTGTTATTGTTCGCCCTTACGCGAGTTCCTGTTTATATGATTTTATTCGTCACGCGACAAATGCCTCGTAAAAATTCGTTTTTAATTTAGTTCTAACTCCCTTCAATTTCTGTTTTAGCTGCCATGAACTTCGATCGAGATGCACAAGCGGAGAATCGCGTTGCACGTAAGTGATGATTTTCTCCTACAAAAGGAAGGCCAATCTAATACATACCATTTGTGCTTGCAGATCCAACGGACGACGATTGGCAATTCTCTGCCACTATCTCACGTGAGTATCGGTATAAAGATCTATTAGAGGTGGCTTCATCGTTGTTTTGTTTATAATTTCATGTTCAGAACCGGCAAATGAAGGCAATAACGAGAATAACGCGAACGTTCTGATACCCGTTCAAGATGGTACGTAGCCAGTCGAACTTTGCTTTTGTATATACCATGAAATATTACAAATTAGGAACAAATCATCTTGGAACTACGAATGAATATTCGGTGCCTGAACCCGCAGATGATAATTCGACTTGTAAGTTAAATAATGTTCGACAATATAAACGAAATCAATTCGTATTTATGATTTGAAAGGCAATATCAACCCTATCAATGCGGTTCAGTCTCATGATGGTACTGATGTAAACGAATATAACGATGAACGTATGTTGATTTTTAACGAGGCGCTGTCTATCTGATTTTAACCAAAACATATTTAGATACCTCTGTTGGCGATCAAAACGGTTCTATTGACAACGGTGAAACCGATTCATCTAATGGATCAGCAGTTAACAATTCTTTTCCAGTTGTTCGGAATAGTGATGCTACTTCAGATCAAATTCATTCTGTAGCAGACCGACTCGAAGATGATGGTAAACTTGATCATTCTTTTGTAATTCTATGAAGCCTTATCACTCTTGTTACCTAGGCGTTCCACCTAAAGATGTCAGAGACATCGCAAATAATATTGATCCTCCGATCGGAGGAACAGAACAATTGGTTGCAGATAAGCCATTGGTACTCGCGGAATCCAAATCATTCAAATATACGGATTCTACGGATGCTGTTAGCGATGAAACTCTCGCTTGATTGTCTCTCTTAACTATAACATCTTAGCCATTACCCTTTTTGTTTATTTATTTATTTATTTACTCCGGATCTATGCCACCCAACCGTCGAAATTTTTGAACGTCGAGTTACAGACTTAAACTTTTGCTCATGCGTCAGGTAGCGATGGAGGAATAGATTAGAGATAGATAGCTTCGTGAAGGATAATAGTATGGTAGTTTAAGTTTCTTTTTGAAAGATCTTGCTACTCGTAATACACCGGTGTTTTGAGATGAAGGTGATGCTATAAGCGTCTTTTCGCTAGGAGAACAGTGGCTCTCAACGAATGTTTAGAGCTTAAAATCGATGAAAACACTTGAAAATGTTCGTGAGACGACTTTAAACTGTACGTAATCCGCAATGAACTCACTCTCTTGTCATTAAAACAATCATAAGTAAACCTTTCGACGGCAATCGATTTTTGCGTGAACGGCTGTTTTTTTTGTTCTTTTTTTTTTGTGAATGTTCTAGTGATATGATGTATCCGTTCTGTACGGATACTGACAGAACTCCTATTATTTATGTTTCACAAGATTTTAACTGGTTATTTTATAAAAATTTTGCCTTTAAGAAAAAGAACAGCTCGTAAGATGTCCTTTCTGTACACAACAACAGAAAGATGCGTACACAAATAATCGGTAACTACAACCAAAAAAAGACAAATTTATTATTTTGTGACCGATAACGTTCTTCACTTATATAGAGAATGAAACAAACACATATTATTATTGACAGATTTGTTTTTCTAATGTAACCATCATCCATGAAAATTTCCATTAATCGATAAGAGCACTCGCATACTGTTACTCTATATTAACAGTTATGAAAACAATTTGATCGAGTTGTAGACATCTATTTACGTTGAAGTAGCATTTTATTAGAGTGTTTGCCGGTGAATCAGACGCCTGCTCATGGCATAAGCAACATACTTAATGCAGTCTTAGGATCAAATCAGAATCACAGAGATATTTGTTACCACGATAGCGACGACTCGGAGGATAGTTTGAAAAAAAAAAAAGGAGACTAGATTTTTTTGACCAATCATAAACGTACATAATCAGGAATTTTCCTGTCTAGTCTGTTATTTTTTATTCAGACGTCTAAAACTGAAGAAAATATTCCATAAAAAAGATCAATGGAAAACATCTAAGTTTGAATTTGTTACTTTGCACACTAGTTTTGATCACGCTTCGTTTTTGCCATGTTTATGCAGGACATCCGATGAAGTAAAACGAAAAAATTGTATATAGAGAGACTTCGACAGAAAATTTTTGTATTTTCCTTTGTAGATATCATCGCTGGTGAAAAAGAGTTAGAAAATAGATCTTTGGTGAGAAAAATGTCTCGAAAACGACTTTTCGGTCTTTCTATCGCCTGGTTGTGGTACTGGTTAATGCTCATATTCATGGGTCTTTGTATTGGACATTCCACCTCCTGGATTATCTGTGTATTATTGGGTTTTGGTGCGCGTATCATCATGGATATATATTCGTCTACTTCTGTACACAATTATGGATTTGACATTAGATTAGGGAACCCACAACCTGCTCAAATGGATTGTAAGATTTTGTTAAGTTCGAAACAATTGTCTGCATAGCTTCTAGTTTTAGATCAGAACGGTTTGATTCGAGAAACTGACTGTAGCGTTTGTAAGTAGTATTGATCATTTTTAAAGCACAACTGTTTTTGTCTATTTTCTAGCACCTAGTGACGAGGTTGATTTATTCAGCAACGAAATCTTTTCTACGACAATTACTGGTGAGTTTTCAAGAAAAAATTATTCGTTCATTGAAATTTCTTTTGAGTTATTAAAGCCATGGACATATTAAAGGGCCCCTATAACTTTTTGTCCGCATTAGTCAGGTTTTGCCATATGTTTTTGCATTATAAACAAGAGTCTAGGAAAATAGTTGTTAAGTAAGTATTTAATATGTGTAGTGCAACATATTAAACGAAAGGTGTTTTTTTTCTAAAGTTTTGTTTTATCAATAGAGTGCGCACCTGCTTTTCCTTATCAGCAAAACCAGCCAGCGGTCCCCTTTGCTCGAGGAGGTTTTTAATGAAAAAGATTTTCTTTAAAACCAAAGTAGTCATGAGTATAGTCTAAAGCATGTTAAAACATCTAGAACAGTCAGTTTATAAACATCATACCGTTTCGAAAACACAAATAAAAAATTTCTCCAGTGAAATTCTCAACAAATTTTGTTTTTGAGACTTGTAATATGTCATTTATCTTCAACAAATATTGCTACATCCTAATGTGATCTCGAGTAAAATAAACATTAACACTCATGAGTCGTGAACTATCATAGTACTATATATACATTCGAAATGATAAGGCTAATTATTAAGATATTTTGGAATTTAAGAGACCAAAATCCTCTCCCATAGAATATCGAAAAAAGACGAAATTCCGTAACGCTGGTTTTGTCGTTATACATTAATGCATATAGATGAAAAATATCTTTTGTATAATAAAATAGTATGATAATGAGTGATATCTACGAAATTCAGTCTATGCATCGATAAAAACATGACTTTTTAAAGGACATAATAAAAGACCCGGGTCCTTTAATGCGTCCATGGCTTTAGTATACACTGATCTCTGCCGAGAAAGCGTAGCTGTTGAAGATATGGAATTCTATACAATGGATATTCTACTGGTTCGAGACGTGACAACGGTATTGAACCAAACAAACAACACGATTGAAGAAGAAGGTAATTATTTGTCTTGAAAAAAAATATATATATCAGATTTTCTTCAAATCTCTTCCAGATGAAGAAGAGTCAAATGACACATCCGATGGTTTCAGTGTTCAAAGACCTTCCGAAGTACCATGTAAGTCAGATAATAATTTTTCACTTGATAAGAATAAGAAGGCTCTCTCGATAGTAATGGAAAATTCACAAGCTGCAGTTGAGCGTCAAACTCACGATAATATTGATAACGAGAATGAATGGTATCGAATATATGATTGTCCTATCAGATTTCAAATGCGCATGATCGGTCACAACGAAGACGTTGCCGACGGTTCAGTTACTGATGGAATTGTAACCAATACTGTACTAAATCCGACATCCACTCATCACGAAGGATTATCTCAAGAGATCCTTTTTCTGGCAGAAGCAACGGAGCGTGAAATACAAAGAAATGTTCCAGAAAGCGATGGAGATGAAACATTGCAACCAATCGTGAATCCTCCAAGTGATACCCGTCCAAAACAATCACCTACCACAGGTTTACACGAGACACATGCTCTATAACACCTGATGCTTTAATTTTCGGAAACTTCTAAAATTTTTTACTCGCCCATTTGTGTATAGTTCTCAAAAATACTAATATTTGCTTTTTTATTCTTATTTTGTGCAAGATTTGTTTATGTAACTTGCAGTTTGTAATCTTAAAGATGTTTTGCTTTTATTTTTAAAGATAACAACAGAAGAGTAACTCATATATAGAGAAGAAGTTTTTACATCTTTATCACTACGTTGTAAATTTGATTTTGCAATATATGCTGAAAAACACGTTCATTTTCGTTCTAGCTTTGAGCGTATGGATTGACAATAGCATAGGTGTTCAAGTTACCATAAGTAATGTAGTTCAGCGTCGAGATATCAATGGGACTATCATGGATATTCATGATGGAAATATGCTGTTGTATGATGGTCTTTACTACTACTATGGTGCAAGTTACGGCCTTTGTAAAGAACCTCCCGGTCCCACGGGTTGTACCGAGTGGCATACTGGTGGATGTGGTTTTCAGCTTAATCACAATGTTAGTCTGTACACATCAACCAACTTGATGAATTGGACATTCGCTGGATACGCTTTTCAAATGTCGACAATGAAAAACCCTGGAATCTTGTTTAGTCCACGTGTTATTCGAAATTATCAAACAAGAAAATGGGTCATGTGGTTCAATTTCCTTCCAGCAACAGGCACTGGTGTATCTCAATCACAAAATGCGGTAGCTATTTCCGATACACCTCAAGGTCCGTTTCAACTCGTCACTGAGAAAGTAACCACATTAGCGTGGAAGAATACTGGAGATTTAAATCTCTTTCAAGATGATAATGGAGATGCGTATATTATTTATACATCTCACATCGATGGAAGTATGTACAATCCAACTCATTTAATGTCTGTGGAAAAACTATCGAGCGATTACCTCAGTTCACTTGGTAAACAATATAATAGTGGATTTTTCGGACAAAACTTTGTTGAAGCACCGGCCATGTTCAAACGTCACGATACATATTACGCAGTCTTTGGCCAATGTTGTTGTTATTGCGCCGAAGGTTCTGCGGTTACAGTTTATACATCGTCATCTCCACTTGGTCCGTATAAAACAACCGCTAACATCGGAAATGAAGGACATGCGCAACAATCGAGTGTTCTAAAATATCGAACTAGTACAGGCGATGGTAATGGGTATTTATGGCAAGGAAACCGTTGGCAAAGTTCTCCCGATGGCGCGAAAGGACACGATTTTACCTATTGGTCACCGATGACTTTCGATCAGGATGGGAATGTGACGTATATGAACTATACCGCTAGTTTTATTCTCGATGTCACTACCAACAATTGACAGAGGTCATTACACGATAGATTTAAGTTAGTTTTGTTACTAAGAATAATTAACAGACAGAACAATAAAATACAGTGAAAATGTGAATTAAACGTGTGTCATTGTTTGTTCACGAATCGGTCTGACTTGAACTCGTCGTAATACATATTGATACCAAAATCTCGAAATCAAAAGAAGAAATTCTCTTTGAAATGGTTTGGATGCACACAAAAAAAGATAGAATGGTACTACACTGGTAATATAGATAAGAAATTGCGTGAAGAACGTAATGAATGTTTCAATTTCGATTTGCTTCGTACTTTTTCCTGCTGAATTATTCACTACTGCTCCATGGATGAGGTTTGCTGAGTACGGAATTGATATGACGATGTCCACTGTGACTTCGGCGATGAGCATGCGCATGAGATTCCGGTCTCTTCGTCTAGCACTCAAGCGAGAAGCATGCTGCCGCCAGAGATTTTGAATAGTCAGAGCACTGAAGATAATCATTAAGATGGGTGGCAAGAGGCCAACTACGATAATTTGATAAAATGAATAGATCACTTTATATAGGCCAATCATTCCACACACGCCATTTCGAATGTTCGTTAAAATAGGTAAATGCATGGCAATCAGGAAACATAGCACAATCATTACCATAGTCGATCCTACCGCCATTCGAATAGAACTCAATGAACGAACACGAATATTGGCTCGTGTGATAACGAATCGGTCAATGCAAGCTAAAACCACAACGTATCGCAGAACTAGACCAAGAACATGAACGATATACAGCCGTATTTTACAAAAGAATACAGATTGTACTTGAATGTCAATATGATTGAGCGCATAGAAGAGTGGAAACATAGCCGATACCAAGTAAACGATAGAAAATATTGATAGAAAAAGAAAATAAATCGAACTAGGCACTTGCCGATATGCAGGTCGAGTGAACATAATACAATTACAAACACTACCTATGACACCCAGTACAAAATATACACTCATACCATACTGAGTCATCATTCTTTGTATCCAAGGTAGATTTGTCACCGACATTGTTTACGATAAGTAACACCAACGGTATATAATATGACTCTTTGTAGTGTAGTGGCAAGAAAATGACCGATATAGTTAAGATTTATTCAAGATTCGTCAGTATATTCATTTAATTTCACACTTTTTCTCATAAAACTGCTAAATTGCTCGTCAATTAAGTCGTGCATACAAGGGAATTATGAGATGAGAACATATCTAATGGCTCTTCAGAGTTTAATGATCATACGAATAAAGCTTTTCAATTCAATGTTCCTATATATACATCTATCAGGATATGAACTTTGGACTTTTTTCAGCTCTTGTTGATTCATCCAATCAATGATTAATTAAACGGAACTCATTAACGAGAACCAGACACATCAGGATATCTTCATACCAAAAAGATGATTAATTAATTTTGATCCGAGTTAAGCCGTGAAACTAAGGATGTTCGATTACGTGATGCATGATGTATTCCTACTATTCCAGTATCTCTATACTCAATCGTATCTTGCTTATTTTTCTATGCCTATTCACTTCCGTATTGATCATTACAGTGACTGTGAGGGATTAAATTATTTTTGTACTCGAATAATAATTGTTTTCATGCATTTTGTCATGCGTCTGTACACCTCTATGACGTCACTAGCCTGATTCTTATCATCATCATTGATTGCTTGCATTCAGTCAAGTATCACATAGAAAAACACGTCATTATCTAAAAATGACTGCACATGGAGACTATAAATTTGGCGGTATTGTTCGAATGTATTTGTATCCCAATACATTCTTCTCACTACTAATGACAACCGTGCCAAACGGAGTTTCTCAAATAGAGAATATTACCCGTCAATTGCTTCTAGGAAGATTGAAGTCTGTGTTAACTAGTCAGCCAAAAGAAATCAATAGGCATATTGAAGGTGAATACAAATGATTGTATCTAAAATTTTAACAAATCACTCTCTCGTTTAGAACCATGCAACTTCATTCAATCGTTTGACTCCGAAGATTCGGAGACAAATCGAAATGTGCCGGAAGCTAATCTTTGGTCACCAAATTCTCCACCAATTCAAAGTACGATTGTCTTTTTTTTTATTGATTTCTAATCTAGCATTTGTATTCATTTAGTAAGAGATCAGTGGATTCATCGTTCTCCACAACAGCTCGTCAGTCAAACTAGTCGTCTCGCTTGTCAAGTGACAGAAATCAGTGTGGATATTCCAAGTATGCCACATTACTACTCAGGTATAGATTCTGAATTTTGTCTTCTTCAGTCATTCGAATTCCGAAACGATCCCTGTCGCCGGTCGAAACACAATCATCAAATGAACATTCGACGCCAAGACGCACAAAACGTCGCCGAACAACTTTCACATCAACATCCTAGTTGAACATCGTCTTATTCGTTAGTAATATATAATATTCACTGCATAGATAAGTCAATGAATAAAATAAGTGCAGTGTTAGAGAAAGAAAAACATTTCGAAAATTTTCTTTCAGGAATATTTTGTACGAATGTTACTTGTAGAGAAAGCATAGGATGCAGAAGGTGTGTTGAGAAGGATTATCTTATTAATAAATAATCAAATACAACGATGTTTTTTTTTGTATGGAACGGCGATGAAATATTTAGTATTCATGTGATTCACTTGACTCGCGGAATCGACGATTCGATTGAGCCCCTATCGAAAGAAAGGAGATTTTATGCTATATCTATAGAGAATGCATAGGCGATACTTACGACGAAGATGAATTAAAGTTTTTGTCAATAAACGAATCAATCGGGAATCTACAGATAGGATAGAAGTGCTTATTCCAATGGAAAGAAAAGAAATAAGTGAAGCTTACATTGTTTCTTTGGTTTCGATGCATGATGACCTAGTTTACATCGGTGTGGCTGTACGTCATCTTCGCTACTATGACTGTCATGTTGATCTGTTTTCTCTTCCGACGATGATGATGGTTTTTTGGGTGCAGCAGTACCTCTGGATTTCTTTGTTACCGATGTCATCTTTGTTTTCTTCGTTGCGGTAGTGGGTGGTGCACAACGATCACAACATTCACCAGCAGTTATATTTGCTGGAATCAATTCAGTTGCACATTTGATTTGAGGACATGTGCTTGTGTTGCAGTTTTTATCGGCTATATCATCAGAACCATGATTGTTTCAATCAATTATTGATTTCTATAAAAATAAAACTTACAGATGCAACGTGGACAGCAGATACCTTGACTTGGAATAGGTGGCAAACTGTTTAGACAATAAATCATAGGACACATCATACGTTTGCACAATTCTATTCACGAATCTGCACGGATTGAATAGAAGCAGAGAAGAAAATCTATTTACCGGTTTTATTTTCAGGTTTTGTGCTGTTATCAGCCACCTTCTCTTTAGTTGACGCATCATCCGTAGCGGTTTTCACTGCAAGTACTTCTGATTTTTTGGCTATCAAAATTCGCGGTTGAATTGAAGCTTTCGAGTGCTTGGAGTTATCGGCACTTACTGTATTAGCTTTTACAGTGGACTTTTTGCATGAGCAACTGAGAAGGATGACAGCAATGATAAAATATTTCATCGTTGTGTTATTTTCTTCTTTTCGAAAATAATATAATACAAAAATGCTTTCGTCGTTGGTTCATATACGGCTTTCCTTCTATAGCTCCACGCCTACAAAAGAACAAATGGTGCCTAGGCTGTTTCCTTGTTTTCTCTTTTGTCTATGAATCCCAAATGGAAAATGAATTAATATGGCTGTATGCATCAGATGAGAACATTTTATTTTTGTACGTGAAGTATAATTTCATCATATGACGGAGAAGAAAAAATGCGTATATATATATATATATGTTTTAGAAATGTTGTAATGCTGGCTTTTCGTCATATCGGACCGATGACGTGGAAAGAGGAACGACAATTTTTTCATTGTCATTTATCGGACCATCTTCATGCGTAATTGCTGACGATAGTGGAACAAAGAAAGCACTGTTGCCAAGCTGTTGGCCTATTTGGCGAACAGTTGTTTGAATTTGTTGAGTAGAGACTGTTTGCGTCACGGTTTCTTCTTCGCCGGCACCGAGATCATTCGAATTATGATTCGGTTCCGTCGGCATTAGATTATTGAGAGTTGACGAAGAAGATATCGATGGTGAATGGTGTGTTAAATGACGACGCGGAAGAGTCGTTGATGTTAAGATGTCATCGTACGGATCACCACTGCGTGCATTCGCTTTTTGCAAACGAATGAGGTCTTTGACTTCAAACTCAACCTCGTCAATACCAGCTGTTCTGTATTCATCACCATCTTCATCTTCATCTTCTAATCGTGGGAGCACTAGAAAAGAAAAAAATGAAAATCTCAGCAAGAGCACGATTGGCAAAATTTACCTTCTTTTTTCGGTGTCAACACTCGAATCGTTTCATAGATTGATTCAGAATCATGACCACTCATTTCGCTTATTGTCGAACCATCATCCGATAGGTCAGATCCTCTTCCACCTAGCTTTCGATTGCCACCTTGTGGTGTTTCTGGGCGATGAGTTAATACATTTGGTGGATCTTGAGCTTTCACTCCTTGTTTATTAATCGATGGATCGTTGTCGACAACTTCTGCTGAAGCACGCTTTGGCTCTTGACCGTCCAAATCCGCCTTTGTAGTAGCATTCTCCCAGTCTAGAATGAAGAAAAAAGACAAAGGAGTGAATGACTTCACTGATCTTCATCATGAAAATCTCACTTGGATTATCAGTGATTCGTTCTGCTGCCATATTGATCGTTGTGACAATGGGTGGAGGGAGTGTTTGCACTTCTGGATCATGTCCACGTTCTACTGATTCAACTTTCGGATCACTTTCAATAAAATAGTTCTTTTCTTCATTGATATAATAGTTCTTCGTAATATTTCGATGAATATTCGTTTCAATATTTTCTGTGCCAGGGTCATACGCATTGACTACCCCGGACGTTACATATGGCATCGCAGCACCATATATACCGTCACTAACTGCATAAGGAATAGGTGGTAGTGGTGCTGTCGCAAAATGTTGCTGTTTAGTAACATACGCACCTTGTTGACCATTTGCACTGCCGAAACCGAAGAATCGCTTACGCAATGAGACGCGCTAGAAAACAACCAAAGAATTTTTCGGAAACGAAACTCGTACAAACAATTACATCAGCTGCATATTGACGATGTCTCCACCATTTACAACAATAACGTAATAAATACAACAACAATAGTAACCAGCAGCATAGTAGCGCTAATAAAGCCCATATGGCTAGTGCAGCGTTGAGCCACCATGGATAAGGACTATGAAATGAACGATTTTCTAAGATAAAAGATGAAGAATTTGCTTACGTTGTAACACCACTGTAAGATGGAAGTGGAAGTAAACCTTGGTCTGGTGTGACAATATTGCCCATAATCTTTATGAAATGACCTTCTAATCGTTCTAAATGAATAACTATCATGTTCTTTCACCTCCGCTTTTTTTTCTCATTTTTTTTTGTTCCTTTCAATTATTTGTATTCACACAAATCGAATCGTTCTTTGATGGGATAATGTGAGATTAATATATTTCGAACGACACTCGTCTCTTGTGCTCTGTTCGTCGATTGACTCAGAGAACTGCAAATTATTTGGTAATTTATCTCTCCTGGCACGAACGATTCTATCTTTTTGCTTTTTTTAAAAAAAAATAAAATGGTGTCTAGAATTTAGTGAAGAGTAAGGAAAAAAAATCATCATCAATATTAAAGTTAACATAAACTTCTTAGCATAGATGAATACGATCAATGATTTTATACAGCTCGCTATCCACGTTTATTATACAATAAAGCTGGATCCTCTTCAACAACTCGACAAGCTGATACGACGTCGCCGGTTCGCGGCGGTAAATTTGGATAGGCACATGGTATCGATGTTACACAGGGATCTGATTCACGGCAGAAAGGTTGCTGGTATGGATATAGCGATATGCCACTTCGAGACAGAGCAACATTAATATGACGGATATCATCGAGTGTGAACGTTCCACAAGCTCGGGAAGGATAATCGGGACAATACTGACTACTAGTAGAATGAAGAACAGGACGAGTTGCAGATGATGATGTTGATATACATGGATCATAGGGATATTCGTTGACATTGATAGATGATGGAATATCTTGTCGCGTGATTTGACTGATAATACCTGTTTGACGTCGTTCACGTTCCAGACACTCGCGTAAACAATGTTCGAATTGAGAAAAGGTACCAGTGCCCAGATAAGAAACAGGTCCACCGTGAGAAGCAACTTTTTCAAATATACTTTCTTGCCCTTGGGTTATATTTGATTGTGCAGGAAATCGCGAGGATGTTGTTCGATTGGCAACGTTATCTCCTTCATTGATTCGAACAGTTGGACCTGTGCCTGGTGTTTTGATAGAGGAAGCGGCTGCGTTTGCATCTACTGACAGACGTCTTGCATACGTATTTTGTTGATCTGGTGTGACACGACGTAGTGCTGGTTTGGGAAAAGTTCGGTCGCTGCCAATATCCAAGCTACCAGTACCACCAATTGATGGTCTTGCAGTTGTTTGATATGGTCCACTACTTTGTGCTCCAGCATTGCCAGTAGTTCCTGATGTTCCCGATTGCGATGTTGATTGTGCGGGAGCAGGTGGTGGAAGTGGTGAAGCTGGTACATCTGAGAATTATTTAGAAAAAAAAACTTTGTTTTGTTCTCTCTGTTATGTCAAACGGAAAGAAAATGTGAACATACTTGCAGGAGCTATAGGTTTCGAATAGGCGTAGTCAGTTTTGGGTCGATTCGGAAAACGATACCTGAGTGCTGATATATATTGCTCTTGCGGTGGAGGTGGCGGACGATCGATTTTCGACGGTTGTTCATCAAGATCGTTGGATGGTTCTTCATACTCATTGTCATCGCGTTCAGTGTCTTCAGTTATCGACGAGCGTTGCTGATACGAACGATCTGTTGTCCTTGACATTGGACCATTTCTTGATGTTGTTGGCGAACGTATAGATTCTCGTCCGTCGCCGAACATCGATGTAAAATTAAGAAAGTAAAGTCGACTTGCAGTTGTCGCTAATACAGCGTAACAAGAGAAAGAAAAATCCTTGAAAATAACAAAAGCCTTGCTCTCTATTTATCTTCTATTTCTTGCGTCGACTCTTTGTCTTCACCTAAACTTAACACGTATGAAATAGTATTGTCTCGCGATCGATTGTAACGTCCCTGTGTAATTTGGAGTGGAGTGATAGTACTGTATACATTTGCTCCGAAAAGAACGACCATGAAGTAAGTGAGCAATGAGAGAAAAATGATTGATACGCATCAAAGCATTTGCTGTTTCTTCCTATCGCCTTTTACAATATCGTAACCACCACAAAATATCGTCCTTCATTCTTATTAACAAATAACATCTGTAACATAAAGATTAGTCATCTGTTCGGCTGTGCGTATGTATTTTTTCTTCAACCATTGGGTGAGAGAGAAGGAAAAAATGAAGTAAAGAGACGAAGTTTTGACGAAAACATCTTGCTTTCTTTATTAATATTTCCTCATAATTTCCCGTATCCAATCAACATCGGCTGATACTGACGCAAATGCATTATTATGATTCACATTCTGCGAGCATTCATCTAGCCCGTAGCTTGCAACACCAAAAAGATGCCATTTCCACACCGTTCGATTTCCATATGAAGGAATGCCTGCACGAACGACAAGACCGGTTCCTGAGTCGCCGCTACAAATATTATTTCCTCGTTCATTTCTTCCACATATATGTAGATGTTTATCAATCATTAATTTTCGACACGAACGTGGCGATACACGAATTCTTGCTTTACGCGGTTTGTTTACCACCGATGAAGTTGGCGACGAATGGCCCCAACCAGCTGTGAATGCTAATGTACCGTCACTCAATCTGACGGCTGTTTCAGGTAAACATGCGGTGTTGATCGATGAAGACAATGGCACGGGCTGAGCAAGTTTAATCATTGCAAGATCATGAATCGGTGCTGGCGATACTTGACTGATGCGAAATTTCGGATGAATGACGTATAATACCGGCTGTCGAATGTATTCCTTGCGACTCATTCGTGAACGATCATAATGACCCATGTGCAGATTGATTCCGGCGGCTGGGTACAGTCGTTTTGTTATACTATCAAACATACAATGTGCAGCCGTTAAAATCCATTGAGGATGAATCAATGTGCCTCCGCAGAATGTAAAAGTGTTCGAATACGTGTTTGAACGACTTTCGATTCGAACCTTAAACAGAGAAAAAAGAAGAAAGATCATGAGTTACATTGCAGATAGAAATTTGATTCTCACAAGCCATGGATACTCGGCGGGACGAAGAGTATTCTTCACACTGGTGCTAATCTTTAATTGCAGAGCTTTGCTAACAATGCTCGGAATGTTTTCTGCTCGACCACATTGACTGAAATCATACGACTGCGTTGGTAGATTTTCTTCTTCAGGATCTGTATTATTCATAATTGAAATACAATTGTGGCCACCACACGGTTTAATAAGCATTCGACGATCATCGTCGATTGTTCGAAAGCTAAAGCAATGTCGACAGATTAGAGTTTCCTAAAGATTATTGTCAAAACTGTCATCAATGAAAACATTCAACTTTTACTTTTCTTTCTTGAGGAAAAATATATTGCAAAGGTCCATGAACAACCTGTTGCGATCCATCGGGCAATGGAATTACTACCGACCATGTCGGTCCACTTGAAGACTATTTCAAAGGAAAAAGAATCTTCTGTTAAACTGTGACAATGTTTGCCCAACTTACACAGTAGTTGACAAGTATCAACAGTAGTAGATATTTCATCTGCTTCATGAATGTAAAATATTGTATATGATAAATGAAGAAGAGAAGAAGAAGGCCATTCTCAAAGTTTCTCACATTCCAGCCTACACATCATTTTCATTTAAATGGAGAAGAAGGAAAGAGAAGCTGTCTGCTCCCAACGTAATTCGATTCTTGTCTTGTTTTCCAATTAAAAGAAAAACTGAAAATGTGCGCGTTATCAAACGTCAAAACAAAACCCAGTATGACCTTCAGTGCAACATATGTAAATTAACATATACTGTTCTATTTAATCAGAACTTTCACTACTAATTCTTGTTTAGTTGTAAGCCACCGAAAACATTATCTCGACGAGATGACATTAATGATATGTTTTCAAAAAGGAAGAACACGTCCGGTAACGCGACTTGATGATCTTTCGTGATGATATTTCAAAATATAATGATCTAATATTTTATTTCGAGAAAAACATGAATAATATGAATGTAAAAGAGAAAAAAGATCACATATCGTTCGATGACTTTAACGTTTGCATTTCTTCCGCGTGAACTTGTAAATCTTCACATTTCTTGCCTTTTTTCGATCGAAAATATAACACCCAGAGTTGCACTAAATGTCCGCCCATGATAAAACAAAGTAGCAAGATCACCAGCCATGCCTAAGATGAAACAGAAGCCGACTTATTGCGTTTCGGTCAATCGACAGTCTTACTCTCCAATAGTGTTCGGGATCCGTTGCCAAGCGTACTAAACCATATGTAGTGAAACTAATTATACCTGCTGTTGTCCACATAATACCCAGAAGAGAGCCGATAAACTGTGGTGGAAAGCTTTTGAGAGGAAAAAAAACCAACATAACGTGGAGAGAAAGATAAATAAGTTTTAGAAATCTTACACAGCAGCAATCAATGCTTGACTTCCAGCAACGAGCATCGTACGCGAGAAGAGCAGAATGCCTAACGTTGTTAGAGCAGCGGCAATCGATCGGAACATACAAACAATACAGAGAGCAATCGATGCAATCCAAGTCAACGTTTGTAGAACTGATATATTCAACATTTTTTGTGTAGTACCTTAATGAGCAATAATGTCTTCGAGATCAATGACGAAATATCAACAAACCACGCGAAGCTCTGAAATCAACGATTAGGCCACACAAAGGAGCAATAACAAGTCCAACTACAGCACTAATACTGTACAGAAACGTGTAACGATTTGCTAAAATGCAGGCATTGACAAGATTTTCATTCTACGGATTTGACTTACTTAAAACGTCATCTCCTCCGGTTAGATACTTCAACCATGGATACCAGACAACAGGAAGAAACGATATTGTCAACAGGAGACAACTCAGGAAAAGTGTTACAACTACGAATAACGGATTGGTCACATGTTCAACTAAATTATCTTGTTCGTCGGCGTTGACGCCTACAAAATCACGATCATTCGAATAAAAGTCAATCGCGAGAAAAACTATTGATCCAAACCCTCCTGTCTAGTTGGTTTGACTTTTAATTTTGAATCAAGCCATAGAAAACGCCAATCAAGAAAAAGAAAAGCACTTGCAAGCATTAACAACGCAAACGACGTCCATGCGAAAGCCAACGTTGAAAGCGAAACGATCTTTTTCTCGATCAAAACCTACAAAATCAACTCTTCGTTCGATATCTATTAAAACTACCATGAAAATCCTACCTGAAAAATCGCAAACCATATCGAGCCCGCCAATTGCGCACCGGATATCAATGCTCTAAAATGAAATGCCCATTTTCTCTCTCCAGTATCAGTTTGCAAAAAACACTAACGTCACCAGTCCTCGATTTTGCTTGAAATGTGCTGCAATACTGAATGATGATAATAGAGTGCAAATTCCAGCAAGTGATAGCAATATAGTGTGAAACAGAAGCAGCCAATCACGTCCTGTAATATTGATTCATGACAGTCAATTGAATCAGTTCAAGATAATACTTTACCAGGAGCGAGAAAACCAAGAGATAACCAACTGATCAAATGAAACACACTAGAAAGAAATATGCATTAGATTCTTAAACACAGACAACACACGAGTCTAGCTTTTACATGCCAATTAGTTTCAGAAATCTCGGACCAAAATAATCATTAATCATTCCTATAGCCACCGCCGGTAAATTATAAAACCCAATTCCCAACGCGAAAGCAAACTAAAATCGATATAAATGTCTCACTTAGTCATCATTAGTCTAACTAACTTGATATTCATTGATTTGTCCATGACAATCTACATATGTTCGGTTCGAGCCGACTCCTTCTGATACTAATTTGCATTTCGAACTATAAATATTTTGTTGACGTAGTATACCGAATAAAGATGCAAATCCGAAAATACTACAAAAAGGAAGAATCTTTCGTTTTTTTCTGTAAGTTCGCCGATGGCTCATTACTTTCCGGCAACAAGATTACATTCAATCAAGATCCAAATCAATGCCACAACTTTCAAAGTCGACTTGTTTTTATCCGTCTAAATTGCTTACACTTCAGCAATGTACGCACTGAAAAATTTTTCCTTTACCTTGTCCATAATGGATAGGGCCTGTTTAAACAACTATGAGTACGACTCTAATGAAAATGAGAAAAGACGCAATAGTGGCTGTGTTCTTCTCTTCCTTCTATTAATGGCACTAGACGGGCTGAAGAGAGAAAATACACGTCAAGGTCTTTATTTTTTGTCTGTAGTTAGAATTATATTCATTACATCGTATAGCCGAGAAGCAGAACAGAGAATGGTGGAAAAGAAAGGCATTCAGTAGCTAAGAAGAAAAACAGAGAATATGCAAGCACAAGAAAAACAAATAATCATCTGTAGTTATTTATTGTCGATGTTATGTAAATATCAGAATTGAACTCAACGCGAGAAAAAGAAGTTCTTTGCAATCGAATAAAAATAAAGTTTGTTTAGTTTTTACAGGTCGATTGTTTACCTAGAGAACGTACAAATATTGATTATTAGAAAAAGAATCGGTTCGGCCGAAAGCTCACTACTGAAAGATAATAATTGACATTTTTCGGATTGAGAATACTAGCCAAACAGAGACCGAAAGGATACTTTTATAATTCATGTCAACGTTACCTATGTTGACTAAAGACTGATGATGCTTATGACGTATAACTCAATTAGAGATTCTGATGAAATGAATTAAATTTCAATGGATTTTCTTGTTTTGAGAGCACAAGAATGACATGGCATTCATCTAATGAAAAACAACTTTGTCAGAGACAAAACGCCACCGATAACTTTGACAGATAGAGATAACTCATCAATCTAATTCATATCCCTATCGAAATTGTTTGCTTGATGAAATACACGTTGATCCAGAATGATATTTCGGAACAAATCCGCTGATTTTCAAAAGAATATTGTATGCTATGGGTACCAAAGCTGTTGCCAATGATTAATGATCCTTTTCCGTACCCATTTCTTTATTCATTTTTGCGTCTCTGTCGGTTTTGAATACAAACTAAAAAACTTATAATCGAAGGATTTATTTTCTCTTCTTTGTTACTTACATTTATTTGCCAACAAATCAATCATTGAACATTTTAAACTGTTTTCCACTAGGCGTTTTTCTGCGCCATCGATATCAAAGCTCGCGATTCATAAAAACGAATATACCCACTCCTCATATGCAACGTTGTCTTAGGTATAATTGAGAGGTCCTGTTGAAAAACTTTAGATTTCCGTGGAGAGACTGTGTATAAAAGACCAATAATCTTTACCAACGATTCTTATGAATAAAAAATACACTTTCCACGGCCAAAAACAACATTCCTAATACATATTGAGAAGCGATTAACATTTCAAATTATCGCTTTTTGATACTACTTATACTCGCTCTCGAATTGTCGACATCTGTAAAGTCATTCGTTTTCATGTTTTTCAACAATCAATCATCTACGATGTTATATGCCGAATAACATATTATCGTCTGTAACGCGCACTTGGTAAGACAAAGTAACAGGATTTAATTTAATCGTTCCCAGCTGGCTTTTAGAAAATTAGTAATGCAGAATATCTCATTCTCTCTCTCTTCCTCTTCGTCTGTTTATATCTCTTTCGAAACGCAGACACTATACATACTGTTGCGAAGAGACGAGATACCCTACGGTAAGTATGCATTCGTTGCTCGATGGATTAGAATTTTTAAAAATTAAGCTTTCTCAGAGTTCGCATGAATTTTTAGAACTCCGTGAACTCATCGCGTGATGTTGCGAATACTTTAGCATGAATTTTTATATACGATTCCTTCTTTTTCTTCACTCGGTAATTGAGGATACCTCGAATGGTACAACAAGCATACCATGTTGATTTTTTTCGTTCTTATCTATCGTATTTTGCGTAATGTGAAGTTCTACCTTTGCAACAGGAGATATAAGACATGTTTGTCAAAATAAATGTGTTTGATTTGTCTAATTACAATTTAATTAGTCGTGAAGAAAGTTCTACTAACATTTTGATCGAAATCATTTCATCACTGTTTGCATGGTTTTCTTTAAGAAAAATATTTTTCTACATTTTCTGACTAATGTTAAATTAACACTTAATTTGCCGTGCAAATTTACTGACGGCCATAGATTTACCGAAATAAATTCAAATTTCTTTGTCTACAAAAGCTATATGTCGGTCTCAGTCTATGACAAGACGAGTATCAGCGAAATTTGCATCTTTGTACTGACTTAAATGTAGGTAAGGCCGTTGAATATTTATGCTCCAATAGTTTTAAGGGTAAGCATATCGAAAAAAAAAGAGACGAAGAAGGGAAAGGAGGAGGAAAACGTGATTTTCGTGACTTTCGGTTGATATACATTATATCGGTATATACTGCAATATTCATCGTAATCATAAAGAAGAGAACAAGAAACTGGTGTGTCAAACTTTAGAATACAATCAAAGATAAGAACGGAAAACAAATCTCACGGTTTAACATTAGTCGACAATTATATCAAGAATGGCAGATGGTAAGAGTATATTTGACGTTTCACATAGAGTTACAGTATGACTTCAGCCGGAAACAAGTCGGACACTGGCTCGAACAACTTCGAAGTTGAAGACCAAACGGAATTGATGTATACGGAGGATACAATATGGACTGCAGTTTTTAGTGCTGATAAGAATGCGATTGAAGCGTCAATTCAAAAAGATCCTGATGTAATCTACACGCGTGGTGCTGTTGGTGAATGTCCTATTCATATGTTGTTTTTATGTGGATCGGATGCACATCTGGAAATTGCACGAGATCTTATTTTACGCTTTCCTGAAATTACCACCCAAACTTACCATAAACCGGTTCGTAGCATTTGGATTTTGCAAGTAGAAATCATTCGATTTGTTTAGATTTATTATGGTGAAAATGTTCTTCATATTGCCATTGTCAAACGAAATGCTGAGATGGTAGAATGGTTACTCGGAACCGAAGAGCTCAAACCTTATCGTCAAGAACTATTGACAGCGAGAGCTACTGGTGATTTCTTCAAAATGTAAGTCATCTCATTTCTGTGCTCAGATCTAAAAATTTCAACATTCGTAGCGGACAACCGTCGTATTACGCCGAAAGTCCACTGGGCTTTGCATGTGGTACTAATCAATGGGATATAGCAGAAATTTTGCTGAAGTATGGTGCAGATATGAATGTGGTTGGTATACATTTCTCATTGGTATGTAGTCCCCCTCTATCCGTTATTGCAGGTCGATAGTAATCGAAATAATATCTTGCATATGCTTGTCATTTGTAATCTTCCTGAAATCTATGCGAAATTCAAATCACGTTGGTTAGAAAAGAAGCTATCTATTGGAATTTATGACGCATTTAAGAACAAAGGAAAGAAATCGAAAGCGGTGAAACAACAAACGAATCTATGGAATCGTCTGAACAATGATAATTTAACGCCATTAACTTTAGCGGCTGACCTAAGTCGAACGCACATGTTGTCATGGCTACTTAATGAGCGTAAAATTGTACAATGGTCGTACGGAGACGTTTCATGTGTTCTCCATCCACTTGATCAACTTGATGTTGATTTTCAAGATGACGTAAGATAATTTCTCTTAATCGATTGACCTTTCCGTTTGTTTTCCTTTAGACTGCTCATCAACCGTTGAGTGTCTTGGATGTTATCATAAAAAACAATGATACGGAATTAGTTCACCCCATTATTACATCTTTGATCGATAAGAAATGGAAACATTTTGTACATCGTGTACTCGTCCGACGATTTGCAATCACATTCACCTATCTGATGATATTCCTTGTAACGACAATTTTAGAACAAACCCGTCCAGAAAAGGTAATTTGACGAGCGTTTTCTTTGATTCGTCGAGCAAATATATTTTCAGTCAGAAGATGACGATGGTAATGATGAAAAAGTCGAAATTCTCGATGAACACTCTGATTTAATACGAATATCATTGTGTGCCGTTGGTCGTCTTATTGTCATATCAGGTGCTCTTCTCAAAGCGGGACGTGAGATTCGAGAAATGACTACGTTAGGCTTACGCAACTATCTAAATAGCACTGTAAGTGATCCTTTGCAAACCATCATCTGAATAACTTGGATACACACTTTATTCGATATAGGGCTCAATTTTTCTAGAAAACTGCCTAGCCTCCTCATTTTGCGTTTGTATTCTTATCGTTCAAGTTCTTCGATTATTCGATATGCAGAATGACGCTGTTATTCTTGCTTTTGCATCTCTGTTGGGCTGGGGTTACATGTTTTTTTTTATTATGCCATTTCGATTTACGGGTCCATTTGTAATCATGATCTATAAAATGTTATTCAATGATGTTCTACGGTTCTGTATGATCTATACAATATTTCTCGCTGGGTTTTCGCAATCATTCTTTATTCTCTTTAATGAAAATGGTAACGACAAGCCCTTTTCATTTGAACAATAAGATCAACCAACGTGGATTTATTTAGGTTTTCGAGGATATATGGTCACTATCAAACAATGTTTTCTAGGTTTATTAGGCGATTTTGACCTAGATTATTACATCGAAGGCACACATCCATTCATCAGTGTATCATTTCTGATCTTTTACGTTGTTGTTGTTACAATTCTATTATTAAATTTACTTATTGCAATGATGGGTGATACATATGCTGATGTAAAGAAAAGTGCGAAGAAACTCTGGTAAGTGAGACATTGCTATCGGTTTGGAATGTTTTCCCTGAACTGTTTGCACAGGCATTTGGAACGAGCACGTATTGCAGTGGATGTTGAGCATGGAATGTCAACGGCTGAACGTAAAATAAAAGCTCATAAATACTGGGTTGATGTTCAAGGTGAACGTTATTTACAAGTCGAACAAGTGAACAATATTCTTTTCGAAGCGAAAGACGACGCCGTGGAAGATGATTGAGAAAATAAAAGTCAAATTTACAGAGTTTCGATGTTTATTCTAGTACGAAAAGCAATGCTAGTAATTCTCTGGACGAAGTGGTGGTAGATTTCTTTCGTACTCTCTACCTTTTCTCACATGCATTTTCTTTTGTCCACCACCGACGATTTCATTTGGTTTTGGATTCATTTGTTTCAAATCTTGTCGAATCGTTTCCACAACATCAATATCATCCGGAATTCGAACGTACCGAACATTTGTATACCGAACATATAATCGATTGAACGAAACAGGTTTATGGATAGGTCGAGACATTGTTACTTGAGTTAATTGAATATTACGATTGACATCGATGTCAACGAGAGTACCGACAAGCATAATTCCGCCGTAAAGATCGATTTGCGTGCGTTGTCCGACAAGACATCGAAGAAAGCCGAGTAGTGTTCGACACGATTCTTTCTTGTATTTTCGATTCAAATTCGACATATCTGCATGGAAGGCAAAGAAAAACAGAGAGCGAATGAAGAGATTTTATTTGACAGACAAAATTGTCATGAAAATTTTGATTATTTTAAACAAAATTGATAAGAAAACAATGCACAGAACAGTTAAAATCACAATTGCTGCGAGTACATATTATGGAAAACAACAAAATACAAGTCATTTAGATACTTCTTCAGATTGACGACACCCTCGTTTGATTGGTCTGCTTTTTTAAAGGAAAGAAAAAAAAATTTATTGGCTCATCGACTTATCAGACAGAATAGTTGACAGAAAGAGAGCGTTTGTTTACTGCGAACATACTTAAACGAATTTGTGTGAGTCTAAACCCTGACACCAAAACAACATAAGATCTAATATTTGTTGTAATTGAAATTTACTATGCTCAAAAAAAGTATCTTTACGCAAGAAACGAGACGATTTACATACTCTGCATCGCCATTTACATTTATCAATCGACTTTGAACACGATCCAAAATACCAATTGTTGTGTTGTTTCGGACAGAGTTCAGTGGAATGAGTATGGAATAAGCCGATACGTTGGCAGAAATCAATAACTTTCCCTAAATCTTCAGTTAAACTATTCCATTCACGAACAGTAAAATCATCTAGATTTGGAATTGGAGAATAAGTCATTGTGAATTAACTCAGTTACTGAAAAGGAGAGCTATTTATGAAACGTCAGTAATTAAATGATCTAATAATCTCATTTAGAGAACACTCCTTCATCTTTCTGTCAATCATTATGAATTTAGACTATAAACAAACGCTCTCTTTCTATCAATTATTCTGTCGGATAAGTCGATGAGCCAATAAATTTTTTTTTTCTTTCCTTTAAAAAAGCAGACTAATCAAACGAGGGTGTCGTCAATCTGAAGAAGTATCAGTCATTTATGAGTCTCAAGGTTCTTGATCAGTTTTGAACATTTTCGAGATATCAGGAATACCATATTCGTCAGTATAATCTATTAAAGTGCAAAACAACGAACTTTCAACCTAAATCAAGTCAAAATAGATTTCAATGTTTAGATAAGCATTCATTGTCGTACTCCTAGCACATATGAACATGTTTGCGGCTCAACGAGATACATGGTTACCGCTCCAGAATGACCTTCTTTTTTTGAACATCTAGAAAAAGATGCATACATTCGTTTTTCCCTCGTTAATTCTTTCCTTACTTGAATTTAACTTCTACGGTTCGTGGTTGATTGGTTAATTCACAAATATCACCATCTGTGTAATACAATGAAACATACCTAAAGTTTACATATATGCTAGCATCGACATATTGAATGTTAGAGAAACAAAGTACCGCTCGCGGTTGTTTTGACTTGATTTCTTGTGAGGATTAGCTGTTATCCATTCGATATGCTTGTCACGATTCCATGAACCGAGAAGAATCGATAGTCGGTGATTCTCACCATCCTAAACGAACAAAACCAGCAATTTAAATCTATATTCTTCATTGTCAAATGATTGATTTTACATGAAACTGTGTCGCATGTTTGCCATAGCAGATTTGATATTGCCACCAACCATTTCCGCTCGCCAAACATTCTTCACCGGAGAAAACCTTCTTTAAAAAGTCAGTAGGGTGAGCCTCATTTGACTTCTGTCCAGGTTCAGACGGATTGATTGCAGTAGACGCATCACTATTGACTTTATCGACTGCTTTAACGTCGTCATCGCTTCCATACTGATAGGATATGATAAATGTTGTACCATCTGCACTGGTCATCTAGAAATGAGCTTTCGGAGAATCAATTCAAATAGGAAGTCAATTGAACATACGGTAAATTGTGCGACACCAGTTTTTGCTATTGATAATTGTTGTTCACGTTCAATTTTCCTCAAACTTCGTGGCTGTTGACCAGCATTCTCATGTGGATAACAATTTATCATGTACTGGTTGGGCTCTGTTACTCTAAATAAGTCATCTGACTGCTAGTCTTCCTATAATCAAGAACGTCGTTGATTTACTTGAATCCAGGTAATTGGCACAGTTGAGGTGAAGCAAAAATTACTTCGTAATAACATGATGAAATCTCTTGAAAGTTAACAATTCCATTTCGACCATTTTCATTGCACACTAAATAACAAACAAAATTCTGCTTTGATCATTAATTCACCTGTTAATCTTACTGTAAAGCACAACAGTTTCACGTGGTTCATTGGAATTGATGTCACAGCTAGCTCCATGGGTATACCGAACAGATAGCATCGGTATTTCTCGATTCTCAAATGTTTTATACCAAATCTAATCGACATTGATAGTTTCTAACACCATGTTGTGAAGAGAAAACTGATTTATTCTTACTCGTGTGACCGGTTCGCCCTGATCGTTCACAAGTTTCTCTTGGCTATCTGCGCGATAGTAACCAAGAATATATTCTTGATGAATTGTCCTCTATTTGAATGCATATAACTAATCGATAAGCAAACAACGCTATGCCTACTTTGCCGGACACTTTCGTCTCATGATATTGTCGAACGTGTGTTCCATGGCATAGTTCGTAAGTCCAATATGGATCTAACTGCACACTACAAGTGTGAAGTAGTGTTTCTGAGACTGTAAAGACTTACTCGATAAGCACAGGTGGGTGCTGCTTGAGAATGCAAGTTTTGAAGAAATGATTCTAATTCGCTGTTCAAAATATACGTTGGCAATGTCTAAAAATCATCAATGATACATCAGTTCAACAAAGAAGCTTGAATTAGTTTACGGTATCTTTTGATTGAGGTGTTGGTAATACACAAGAATACGTTTCTTTCCGTTTCGACGTGAAGGTGGCACTATTAGCTAGGTCCAATGGCTAAAACAAAATCTCATAAATCAAAGTCAACTTTGATTTATACGAAGAACATACAGCTGTCAATTCTGGTTGCCATTTTATGTCATAAAGAACGTCATCGTCTAAGATCGTATGCGTGAATGATACGAATAGGATATTGGTTAGAATGAATCGGAGGAGTACCATCATGATCTATTTTGTCGACTATAATCACTGATCATTTTTATACACTTGAATGACTCGTATATTTCCTGTAAATGAAGTATTGGGTCAAACAGCGCTCCAATGATACTTTAAAGCGACCTCTTTCTTTCTTTCACAAAGATATTTCTATAAAAGTTTATTATCACAATTGGGAAAAAACAATTATCCTAGTCTTGAGGAACTTCTTGAGCTAGGTTAGAATCCTCTGTATGAAAGTTGATAGACACTGCAGTCGCGATTGCGATGATCGATCCAAACGGATTGATTCGATACGGAGTTGATTGATATGCAATTCTTTGAATTAACTTTCCATTCGCTGAAAGATGTAATAAATGGTTGTCGTGTAAGTTAGGTATCATCCATTCATCCGATCCGAGTAGACAGCAACGTATCGCATTAGTTCTGTCATAGTCTGTCTGTAGGACGAATGACCATAGTCGATCGAAGGTTTTGGCTGAACATAAATCTACACGAATAGATTTGTGAGCTCGATTTCGAATAGCTAATGCTAGTGATCCATCGCCATAAACGATACTTTCGATAAAATCATCAGCTGTGCACGATTCAGGTGGCTTCCATTCTTTAACGACCGTCATGGGCGGGAGCAATTGTATCTGCATGATTGATGAACCCCACCTTTCGACTGTTACGTAAAGAAATTCATTGGAACATGTGCAAGAGAACCATTTGTATTTTGGCAGTATTTGTGCTAGACTCGTTGATGATAGATTGTGATCAACTAGGTAGGTACTATCATTGGTTAATACTATAAAGCGATCTAATGACGAAGACCAACACATATCGTAGAGTTTACCGTGTGGCCAAAGACTTTCTTTTACTTTCGATAAAGTCACGTCCAATAAACATAGATTTGGAGCTTGATGAATCAGCAGAAAGCGATCGTTACTAGTCAGTGAATACCAACTTCCTTTTGGATATGAAATAGTTGCAGCGATCGTGGAGAAAATCAACGGATCGAATAGTTGTAGATTGGTTTCTTGAATTTGAATCAATGTTTCATCGATAAGTAATGGTGCACTCTGGATTGAAAACTTCACTTGTTCGATTCTATTCATATCTTTTTGTAAGCGATTGACAGCCGATGAGAGAAAATTCAAATCCCGTTGCGTTACATCCTGATCGCGAATAAGTTTCGATAGTTTTATCTGTATATCTGTGATTTTTTCTTGGTGTTTCTCGATCTTGGTCATAACATTACGTCCAAGTTCTTGTTGCTTTTGCTCGAAGAACCGATCGATCGTTTGATGACATTCCACACGCCACTGTTCGAGCTTCCAATAACAATCGCGTACTTTCTCATGGAAATTGAACATTTTCAGCTGCTCACCAAGCGAATTTAATCCATCGATAAACGGATTCAATTGAGCAAATAATAATTCATTATGTTCATGCAAATGTTGTAGACATAGATGTTTCCCACAACAATCACACAGAGCGCGTGATAGACGCTCGCATTTTTGCACCTCACATGGCCGAGACATATTATCAATAAGAAGAACGTATTCACAACAACGATATGGATGATTCGAACGAAAGAAAACAAAGCTTACTAGTATGCTTACTTATACATACAATTCAAGTGATGAATGCGAAGAATGATTGTAAAAAACATGGGTAGTTTTATTATAGAGACCAAATAAAAGAAACCAATCGATTCGATTTGTTAGGGAAATTTTACTCCGTACTAATCGTCGATAGTTGTCTTAGAACAGAGAAAATGCAATATTAGTCTTGAAAGTATCATGTGACATCGAAATGTATATATCCAATCCTTCGGAGCTGATTGTTGCATAAGAAAACGCTTGTTGAATCCAATGAGTATCAGATGAATGCAGCCAGGGACGGAAATGTCGACGAAGTTCTAGCAGAACACTTTGAAAGCAAATTAATTTGTTGGACACAACGGGAAAATTCAATTCTGTCGAAGATTTTCCTCTATTATTCAGTACATCTAAGTGCATTATCGATTATCAGAAATAGACATAACAAACATCACCTAATCGATTCCATCTGCGGTCTGGATTCTTTCCAATATGAAAATCTGCCGAAAGATATCGTACAAAATGTAAGAAAACATAGAGCTGAATGCTTTCTTTTCTCAAAACCCATTCAAGGACGTTTTGCGTATCTCGAATTCAATAGGATATTCTCCGATCGATATTTTTTCCAACGAAAAATCAAACTTCTCAGCTAATCGAGCAATTATTTTCCAAGCATTACATATCAATCGAGCGTTAACTTGCTAAAACTTGATCAACAATAATCGAATAACACTTTTGACATATTCAGTAAATAATCATATTATCAATGCATGAACGAGATTGGTTCGGAGTTGATCTTGTCATTCAGCATCAATTATCGCTTTAGTTTTCATTTTTTGGACATTTCCAATCGATTTCTCTTCGATTAAACATATCTTCTCTTCCATAGACAAATCCTTTTTCGATCTTTCCGACGAAGAAGAAAAAGACAAACAATGCAGGTTGGTGGTACTCGTTAAAAGATGGTCACATAGGGAGAAGAATCTTTCGGTTTTGCTTATTATGCAAAGAAACTGTCAGCATTAATGATGATTATATCTATGGTTTTTTTTCCTTCTCTTTGTCTACCGACTGAATCCGTGGGTATAAATATAGTGAGAAAAAAAAAGAGTAACACTGATACGAGTAGAACTCGTCACTAGAACATCGTATCATTTGATATTAACCTGAGCGTCACTGACACTCTAATACATCGATTATCATTTCATATAGATTCAATATCTCTTTCATCGAATTAGTTTTTGACATTATTGGACAGAAAAAAAACAATAACGAACGAGGAGACGAAGAATAACAATCTCTCCTTGTTTTTCTTAACTGACGAAAGCCAACGACGTGGTAAGTCATCCGAAAAAAACAATCTACGTATAGATAAGGAGTCTATTTTTCTCGCTGACAAATTTCTTAAAGGTCATCTTATTCGGTGGAAAAACACGTCAAGAAATTCGATCAGAACCTTTTCTTTTGTATCGTGTCGCTGATCATTTTATTCTCATGATCAAACGATATAACAGTTGAGTTAACCCGATTATTTATACGCTGATCCGATAGTAATAAAAATCTGCATATCATAGAATGACAATATCAACAGAGGAATAGATTATCTGTCACATCGTATGGAACTGATAGATTTATTTTCGGCAAATCATTGATGTATTTTGCGTTTTGTTTGCAAGTTATGGCAAATTCCTTCGTTGCTTAAGAATCTCGAACATCTGCATGTAACAGAACAAAAAGATGTATTAGAACGACTGGTAAATGATAATCTTAAATGAATAGCTCTCTCAATCATCAGACCATTTGTTGCATGGGAACGGAGAGAAGAAAAAATAAGACGGAGAAGAAAGACGAGAAGTATGATCTCTATTGTTATGATCTATTCGTTATTTTTCTTCCGTTTTTTTCTACGATTGATACGCCAACTCATCGGCACGCCGAAGACATTCTTCATCCATAAATATCATCCAGACTTAGTTATACGTACACACATGGATAACAGAAGAGAAGAGAAAAATTAGTTTGGATTTCCCATTTGTCGATACACGTACATAGGTCACACCCAAAGGAAAAAGAATCCTCTTTTCTTCTTTTTCTTCTCCTTCTACTACGTTAGAGATATCAGACGAAGAGATCGGAAACGCATTTCTAATTGAAGAATGTTTTCCTTCTCCTTTCCTTTTTTTCTCCTGACCGTACGCTTGCTATCGCGCGTTGGTCAAATGTTTTCTCATTAGGATATTTCTGCAATTTTCTTCTTGTCTTTATCTTCGTCGTTTTCTTCTTCTCTATTACATACACATCATGTTGTTGCGTGCGTTTGATAAAAGAACATCTTGACTGCCATAACAAAATACGTTGTTGACATTTGACGAAGAAAAAGAACTATGACCATTACGATCTCTACTGTGTCCGTTTGTGTGTGCGTGTGTACGAGTGATTAAAATAGAAGAACATGCTAGGAGATCGAAAAACTGTTGTTCTACGAGGTGGTGCTCCCTGGGGTTTTCGACTTTCCGGCGGTGGTCAAACACCTGTTTATATTGCCAAGGTATTATTTCGAGTGTTACTTTTCTCTTGAACAGATGAGAACTCTGACTAAACGCGTGTTTACTTGACTATTTAGGTTCGTAGCCGAAGCAAAGCGGCATATGGTGGACTTGCAGCAGGTGATACAATTGTCTCAGTTAATGGTATTCCTTCAGGACAACAATCATTACGTGAAATTAATGATATAATTGATACCGTTCGTGATCAACTTGTTATTGAAGTACAAAGGTATGAGAGAATGAATAAAAACAGAAAAATTCATTTTGTCAACTTTCAGTACAATCGGTTCTCGTGGCTTCCGACTCGATTCTGGTTCGAGTATTGATACAAGGGAAAATAGTCCTGTTAGACCACTAAGTCGCCTAACACCGCAACCAAAACAAATGGATTATTATCAGTATACGTCAGCACGTACTACGCCAACCTATCCGATGTATTCATCGACTCCGAGCACCAATTATTTTGATAGCACTAATTCAGCAAGCCGAGATCAACGTTATACGGATTCATATGGACGTTCAATCACAAATCCATTGCCAGCTATGTTCCGTACGGCAACAATTACAACCAATTCACCACAAACACCAAAAGCAACTGCTCGAGTGCAACACTTTAATTATCGCCCATCAACATCAAATAGTACGTATGATACACCACGAACGACAGCAACAAGTGGTTATACATCTGATACCAACGACTTTTGTCGCTCATCAATATCTGTTCGTCCATTGAATCATAATGGATCAACGATCAGTACAAATGTTCGACATGTGGTCAATCAACAGCCATCTATAATACCTTCGACGACAGTATATACTAATAAGAGCACAGCAAGTAGTGAACAAAACTATTTCAGCGATTCAGAATACATGACATCTGGCCCGCGTTATTATAAAATTACTCGATTAGTCAATACGAATCGACGACCAAGTAATGTTGCTCTACCCATTCGTTCAATCACAAGTAAAGCATATGATCAATATGTACCACCAGAACCGCCGAAGCCGCAGCCACCAGCATTTGACGTATATCGCTATCAACAAGAACAGCAACGTCTCGAACGCGAACGCGAACGCGAACGCGAACGCGAGCGTGAACGTGAAAGACAGGAACAGTTGCAACGGCAATTATATCTACAGCAACAGCAACAAGCGAATATTCCTCGATTTAATCCACCTCCAAAACTTACCTTACCTGCTGAGCCTACCATTGATCGTGAACTTGGTGCTGAGTTACTTGTTTCACCTACATCCAACAGTAAGTTTCTATTCTAAGTAAACCTATGCGAAGCACTTATCCTTCTCTCATTTTTCTGCTATAGAAAAACGATATGCTGATTCAAGTTTCTTCCAAACCGCCTATAACACGTATCCAACTATTGAAGAACAGAAGAAAATGGCGCGTAAAATCGCCGAAATTCTGGAAAGTGGTGATCCAACTCAAAAAGGTTCATCGAAATTCGAGAAACAACGCGAACGAGCTGACAAATACACCATCGAATCGGATTCTACAAGTTACCGACCTTTACGTCCTTTACAAACCGAAACGTCCTCCTATTCAACTAATTTTTCCCAACAAACTTACTACAATTCATCGAATGTGCCTGAATGTATTAAGCATAGCTTAGACGAAGCTCAATACATCAATCCATTACGGTATGTTGGCGCACCGGAAGAATTCAAACAGATTCACATGCAGGTAATGTGTCAAGAGAGAGAGAGAAGAAAAAAGTTTATTTCTATCGAGAAATTCAACTTTAGGAACATGTGACACATACGAATGTTCCACCACAGGCAGCGATGAGTCTTGTGGATGATTTGAATCAAAGTCGTGGAAAAGGTGCAGCATTATTTCAGAAACGAAAAGCACGATCAGAAAAATGGGTTATTGATGAGAATAACGTAAAGAAGCAAGGCTATCGACCACCGCCAACGACATCTTACATGGGGGTAAGTGTCTCTAGATGTAAATCGATGAATAGTTTACAAAATATTCGATCCTTTTTTTCAGACTGCAGCTAAACCATGGGGACAACGTGCTCCTTCATGGTCCGATAGCGAAGGACCAGTATTTTCGCCTATCCGAACACCATTCAATCCTCCTCCGCCGCCGCCTGCTCCTGTCTCTATTCTTCCTGAACCAATTTTGTCTCCAACGCCACCACCACAACAGACTGGACCCCGATTTGGAGATTTCAATGCCAAACCGAAAGGATTCGGCAGTTGGAACGCTGAAAGTAAGATTTAACTTAAATCTAAAGAAACTCCTAATATTCCAATAATTAATAGACTCATCTTCACGTAGCGGTAATGATACTAGAAAACCGCTCAATCTTAATATTGAACCAAGTATACGTGAAGGTAATTAACAATTGATCATTTCGCCAATATTAAAAAGCACTCTTCTCAGGTATTGCTGAATCTCATACTCGAAATGCTTCTCAACCATGGTCACCACCTTACAACCCTTCATCAATCTATTCTCCAAATCAACAAGTCACTAGTCCGAATTATTTTAACTATCCATCATCACAATACAATGGCTATACTCAACGCAATACGAATAACATGAGTCCGAATCCATATGTTTCAAATCAACGATCACAACAGCAAAATTTTACCGATCTGTAGAAGATTTCTATCTAACTAAGCTCACCTGCATACGCACATACACATACCAAACTCGGTGAAAGAAATCAATGATTTATATTCGCTCAACACATTTGCTATTTAATGATGAGCATGAAGCATTTCTCCTAAGCATATGTTTGTAGTCTAGATTGAGAAGTTCTCATCATTTTCCTTGCTTTTTCTGTTTTAATTGCTTGATTTTTTTCGATGAATTTTGATCGTATGTGTGTGTAGGCTTATGTGTGCAAGTTTCTCTTACACGATGGTACAGTAACTATTTATATACTTCTATTCAGCAAGAATAATTATTCGAAATAAATTTTCTTTTTCATATGCAAGACAATAGAGAAGAAGGAATTTGTAGAAATGATATCTTTTCTTTGAAATATCTCTATTAACAATGTCAATTCCTTATAAAGGGAAACAAGCCAGCGAATACGATCACCATTGGTCAAGCTCATCCTTCTGTTTCTTTTCACTATTTAATAGGAATATTTTGGCTCGTTTCAAAGCCACTTGATTAATATGATGACATTCGTTGCATTCCATTCTTAAGACAATTTTCTTGGTCACTTTCGCTTTCTTATGAAATATAGGTCGCGTTTGACCACCATAGCCTTCTTGCTTATAGCCATAACGACGTCCACCTTGAGAAGTAGTCCTACGTTTCCCACTTTTGTATTGTGACACCTTGTGAACTGTATGCTTTCTACAATTTCTCCCTTTACAAAACGTGCGACGTTGCTTCGGTATATTGACCATGTTTGACTAAAAATTACTGTAAGTCGATAAACTTGTTGCAAACATTTATACACCGTCAAGGTTATTACGAAATATTTTGTGCGATTGCGACAACCGCCGCGACAGAATGCAATGACGTTTACTTTTCCTCTCATGCTCGAGTCATAGGGAACATTTAAATGCATCGGAAAGGTGCGGAATATGGGTCCTTCTGATTAATTGAGTGTTCTGATTATATTTTATTATATATCTTGACAAATTTCTAAGCAAAACGGTCGGAAAACATTAGTTAATGTTTTCGTCGGATACGTGTTACAACATAATCAATAATTTCATGGGTGATGAAGAGAGTAACATAAAACATGGTCTGGAAATATTATATTATGAAGTAATTATGCAGATGAAAGGAAGAAAAGGTTTGGAAATAACAACGCAAAAAAAAGAAGGTAGGTGTGCGGAGCGAGATGATTGAATTTTCTCGTACATTTGCCATATTGGCAAGAGTAATTTCACAAAGCGATCATTGTCGAAGGACGAAACCGATCCGCACATGACTTTGAAATTAACAACGTTTTAATAGCATGATGTGAAATATTCGTCGAACCTCTTTTATCACCCGTTAAACCCTCAAGAGAGAATACAAAATTAGGAAGAGAGCAACGACTTGAATGAAAAATGAGACAATGAGTTTAATTAGCAACAAGTTAAACTCAAGGGCGTTTACATGCGCCAAACACATTTTTTCTTTTTCTTTTATCTTTCTTCATAATACACATTCAATTAAACATCTTCCTCGCGCATGAGTGATGTTCAATTTATTGAGCGAGAAACTATTTAAACAAAAGTCTTGGTGCTTCCCTCGACCAAACTCATTCCAACAAATCACATTGATCAACCTTGTGCAATAATATGTTTTTGCAAGTTTTTTCCTTAAGTCAACACTACTTTGACCTTGCCGTTCAAGGAAGCATGGAATAGATTAGCGTAGTATAGGATGTATGCCATATTATTTGCATTTAGATTTGGTAAACGTCATACTTGCGAAAAAAAATGTTTATCATATTTCTGTTTATGTAGATTATCGACGTAGACTGTAATGTTGATGAAGCTTGAGTTAGATTTTGTCAGTACGATATGTGTAACCAATCGCTCCCCTGATCCTTCTTTTCTATCTGATTGCATCTATATCCTGTTTGAAAAAAATCGAGTAATCTCATATGCATCCTTTATACTGCGTGGAGAAGAAGAAAAAAAAATCTATTGTTTTTCTTTTCCCTATTGTCTGAATCGATAGCTGCCGTTCACCGGAAAGCACTTACCTTTCTTCTTCTTTTTTTTTCGAAACAAAAGTTCGATAGCGAACTAATCTTATTTATTGTTGAACAATACAAAAAACAACAAATCTAAAATATTGTGTCATTCTCTACTTTACATGTGTCATTGATAGAAATGTGTAAAGATAATGTAATAGAGAAATAGTCTAGAAGAATAAAATCTATTTGTCTTTATACGTTTCATATATTAATAATCAGTATTGTCAGCAAGAGTAGTACGGAAAGAAACCACAATGGTTTCGATTGAATACCTTGATTGCATTTCGGAGTCGTGCAACATGTGATACTATCGAATCGACTTGATTGATCGCCATCGGGTATGGTACAACGTGCTGTTGCACAACCTCGACGTATGATTTTATTTTTATCCTCGACTTTCTAGAACAAACGCAGACATTTATACTATCGACGTCGTTACGAACAGTTGACTTACATAACACATAGTAATTCCGGCATCGCATGAACGAATAGTTGATTCTGATGTTGAATCGCAATTTGTGCATTCGTGACAAGAGAATAATTCTGACAGTTGTTTTTGTGGTGATTCATTCTGCACGCCGGCTATGTGAGATTTTGGCATAGTTTCGACAGAAAGCCTCACTGTCACAGGGGGTTCATCCATTTGATCAGCATCTATTGATAGCGGATTAGTGTCTTGACAAGCGCACATATTTACAAGAATATGTCCTATTCAAAATACAAAGGTTTCTGTCAAAAATATGCTTCTTTTTCAATAACATACCGAGTAATCCGAGGTGCCACCAAGAAAACATGTTGTGTCAAATAAGACAAATGAGAAAATGCGCTAGTTGAGTGTAACGATGTTGTCGGTGGTTTTTCTTTTGAAATGAAGTCACGATTTGCCGGCAATAGTTACCGAACGTTTTTCCCTCTCCCTGTCTTTCTTTCTCTCTCTCTCTCCCTCTCTTCTCTTTCTCCTCCTTCGTCTGCTTCTCTTTCTTTTTGCGTTTTCCGTATCCCTTTTAGATTTTCTTTAAAAGAAATAATATAACGATGAAGACGACATCACTAATAATATAAATATATTACGTGCGTAAGGAAAAGAAAGGACTAAAAGAAAATTCCCTCGATAATATCTTCGCAAATAAACCGGATTTTTGAAGAAAAATATCGAAGCTTTGTTTTCTTCCTTTCGCCGATAAAGGCATTCATTCTACACTAACTGAGATGTTTTTTCTGTATGTGTGTTCAAGGACACTATATTTACATTGATTATCCTTAAGAAAGAAACCTCTATTCTCTTATACTGAAGAAATTGTTTCAGAAAGAGAAAAAAAAAGTTCTCTCGATTATATTTTCTTATTGTTCAACGTGCCTTTTGCATTCAATTCAATCAAACTATTCACTTCACTGAGATGTAATTGAAAAAAGCAATGAGAGCAAACAAAGCAATGATCTCCGTTCCGTCAAAATCGATTACTGAAGAATAACTGTTTTTCTTTTGCTGAAGGGAAGAAAAAAAAACGACGACTCTGGTTTCTATTTAAAGATATAATTAATTCATTGACATTCCTTTTAATTTATTTAATAGTGTTTTTCTCTGCCATATAAATAAAGATAAACCGATGTATCGGATTCCAGCGCCATCATGGGATGGGTTTCGTTCAATATAATTAACCAATGAATATTTCACATGCGTGACTCACAAGACGTAGGACTACACAACTTGCTTTGTTTTCTGTCGATCATTCGACGAAAAGATGACTGTTTTTTATCAGTAAATAAAGGCTTTTGCCAATGAAAATTATACGTCTTGACAAATTATATCGCCAACTCATGTACCGAAATACATTCTTATCTTTAGATCGTATAAAGACCACATAAAAGGTACATCTGCGTAGGATATTTAAGTGCGCAAATCAAAGCTAGATTAATCATAATGTTGTCTACGCAGCGACGACGTGATGTTAGTGCCGCAGCTCCTGCTGCAACTACTGGCGGTTTACGCGGTGTTATTGCTGGTAGGAGTCAGATTTGTTATTCTAGGCAAAGAGGAGAAGTTTGTTGATGTTTTCCCTTAGGTGGTATTACGGGTGCTATCGAAATTTGTATCACATTTCCAACGGAATTCGTCAAGACCCAATTGCAATTAGATGAAGGATCGAGTCGACGTGGTGAAGCACGGAAATTCAATGGAGTGATAGATTGTGTGAAGAAAACCGTGCACTCACGTGGTTTCTTTGGTCTCTATCGCGGTCTGAGTGTACTCTTGTATGGGTCCATTCCAAAAAGTGCTGTTAGGTGAGGACAATTCGTGAGTTTTAGACTTGAAAAATATTGAAGAAAGTCTGTTAAAGATTCGGCGCTTTCGAAGAGTTGAAAAAATACGCCGTAGACGAACGTGGTCAATTGAATACGAAAACTCGACTTTTATGTGGTTTAGGCGCTGGCGTATGTCATTTCCATTCGTACTCAGTCTCATCATCGGATTTTGTTCTATGTAGCTTGCCGAAGCAGTATTTGCCGTGACACCTATGGAAACAGTTAAAGTTAAATTCATTCATGATCAAGGATTAGCAAAACCTAATTATCGTGGTTTTTTTCATGGTGTTCGTGAGATTATTCGATCAGAAGGTTAACTTGTTCTTTTTCTTATTTCAATATGTTATTGTTGTGTTTTTTTTTTGTATAAACAATAGGTATTCGTGGTACTTATCAAGGTTTAACCGCGACAATGCTCAAACAAGGATCGAATCAAGCTATTCGATTTTTTGTCATGGAAACATTAAAAGAGAAATATAGGCAATACACAATGAAAGGACCAAATGCACCTGTGCCAGTACTGATCACCGGTGTGTTTGGTCTTATGGCTGGCGCAGCGAGTGTTTTTGGCAATACACCATTGGATGTTGTTAAAACACGTATGCAAAGTCTTGAGGCATCGAAATATAAGAACACATTCGATTGTGCTGTGCAAATTATGCGCAACGAGGGACCATTAGCGTAAGTGGATTGAAAATAAAGACATTTCTCGATCGAAACATCCTTCTTGTCGTTTAGTTTCTATAAGGGTACTGTGCCGCGACTTGGCCGTGTTTGTGCTGATGTCGCGATCACATTTATGATCTACGACAAATTCATCGAAGCGTTTAATCGTGTCTGGCCCAACAAATAACGTCTTTCAAGTATTTCCAAAAGTATTCTATTTGCATACATATCATTGCCTTTGCAATTGTTTTCTTCCAATTATGTTTCTTTCTCTCTCGCTCTCGTTTTTCATCTCGGTGTTTAGCTTTCCTAGTCATAGTGGGTGAACTTTTTCATCGTTTTTAGTGTCGACAAACGTAAACAGTGTTATCTAGAGTGGTTTTTATGGTCAAGCTATTCTTTATTTGTAGATTTTTAAATAAATTTCCCACAAGACGAAAAACATGTCGGATAAGAAGACGGATCTCACTCATCCAGGTAAACACCAAGTATTACTGAGCATGCTTGCGCGCGAAAGTCGTGACAAGTTTGAAATCTACTCGATAACTTTCTTTCCCTCGATGCTTCGATATAAAACTCTTGCTTTTCTTTCATTATGAGAATAGTTGGCTATAATCCCGGAGAACAACATCTTGGGAAATCAAAAGTTGACTCACACGAAGATGGTTTGGCACCGCAAGCGGGAACACATGGTCAGCCAAGTAGTCACATTTCGGGACAGACAGGACCGGAAATTTTAGGCGGTAAGTTTTATTTTCTCGAACAAGAAAAGCTATACACAAAAATATTCGTTTTCAAAGGATCTGCAAGTACACGTGTTGTCGGTCAATCAGTCGATGAACAATTAAAGAATCCGTTACCATCAAAGAGCAGTCAATAATTCAGCATTTTCCTAATTTCTACAATAATCCAGCATCATTGTGATTTGTCTTTCTACTTTTAACGTTTGTTCCAGTTGTGGATGATTTTCGGGATAAATTTTTTTCTGAATATCGAGTGCTTGTCGAATTTCTTCATATGCATGTTTATAATCCTGCCGGTCAATATGAATCACAGCAAGATTATAATGTGAAACGGCGATATCAGGATGATCTACAGATAATGATTCTTGTCGAATTTTCAAAGCGGCTTGATAATATTCATATGCTTGTTGTACTTCGTGATCATTATGTTGAGAATTGTGAGCTAGTTTTTGATAAATACGACCCAGATTTGTTAAACTCGTGGCGATGTCTGGATGAGTTGATAGTAAAGATTTACTCCGTATATGATAGGCTTTTTCTTGATATTTAAGCGCGCGATGAAGATCATCGAGATCAGTGTATAGACAACCGAGATTGTTATACAACCAAGCTAATTCGAGTTCATTGCTTGGCTGTGAATGTTTGAATATTGATAACGTTCGTTTGTAGTAATCGAGTGCATGTTCGTAGTCATTCTGTTGATGAAAAACAAGTCCAATTGACATAAGTAATCTAGCTAGTAAATCATCTGTGCAATTCTCACTTTTATCTAATCCTTTTAAATAAGAATCTAACGCACGTTTGTAGTTTCCTTGTTTCTGATAGATGTTACCGATTTTGAAAGACATTTGAACGAATTTCTTCGGATATTGTAGAGTTTGCTTGTAATACTTCAATGCTTGTTCAACATCGCCTTTCGTTTCATATGTCGTACCGAGATTATCTAACACATCACTGATCTCTTCATGATACTTGTCCGCGTCATTTTCTTGATAGCATTCCAACGCTTTCAAATGATACTCAATCGCTTGATCATACTTCTGCTCGTCAATAAATAACAACGCGATGTTACCGTAACATACTGGTATATTCATCTTTTTCTCGGGATGTTTCGAATAGATATCCAATGAACGCTTAAACAGATCCAATGCTTGTTTATATTCTTGATTCTTTTGATAAACAAGAGCGAGATTATTCGAACTATCACCGATATCTGAATGATTGACCGGCAAGATTTTCTCGCGAATTCGAAGCGACTTCAAACAATATTCCATCGCTTGCTGATAATCCTTTCTATGATAATAAACCAAACCAATGCTATTATAATTCGTTGCCATCAATGGGTGATCGATTGTTAATAGATTTTGTTCGTAGAATTTCATTGCACGAAATAAATATTTCAAAGCATTATCATAGTCATGTTTATAAGTGTATATGACCCCGATAACATTATCCGTCTTTGCAACAAGTAGTTTGTCAACGTCTGGGTATCTTTTATAGATTTTAATCGCATCAAATAGATAATCAAATGCTAAATCGTACTTTTTCTGTTCCATATAGATCATCGCCAGATTATTCATTGTTCGAGCAAAGTCGATTTCATTCCGCGGCTTTTCACGGCATTGTAAATCGTAAACGACTTTGAAGTCTTTCAGTGCGTTGCTAAACAACCCCTTCAAATATTTCACTCGACCGATATTCGTATACAGGGAGATTTTGTCGTCCACTGTGTTGGAAGCGAGCAGACTTTCGAAATAATACTGTGCTTCATCGTACTGACCCATTTCGGTTAGTAGTAAGCCAAAGATGAGGAAAATGTTTCCTTTTTCCATTTCACGTCGATTCGCTTCGATGTAGGTTTCGACCACTTGCCGTGCTTCGTCAGTGAGCTTCATTTTAACGATCCAAACGCTGTTTTCGTCGTCAAAATAGACCTCAGTGATTTTGAATGCACAGTCAATATCGAATAGAACTTCTTCTTCGTCAGGATAGACACTCAACGAAGATATATCTGCAAAAATGGCATGAGGAATTCGTGTGTCTGCTTCGATAATGAATAAAGTCGGTGACACATCAACAGCCCGCTTCGATTTTTTCACTGCGAATTGCAGAGCAAGATCATAGTTTCGACTGGTTGATAAAAACCCATTCGTCGATATCAGAGAGCCAATATTCGCTTGAAATCGCGTCAATTCGTCTTTAGTTAGTTTCAAACCACGATAGAGTTTAACAATCGGTTCCTTCTCACGTTCGATTCGATAGGATTCATACTCAACAGCTAACCGTTTACATAGATCTTGAATGTAATATCGAAAGATATACAACAACTCAATATCTTCTGTTCGTAAGGCTTTGTTGCATAATCGATAGATGAAACACTGTTTCGTATACCAATAGATCGTATCTGATTCGGTATATTTCTGTTCGAACTCTTTGATTAGTTGTAACTCTTCGTTGTTTCCGCGATAGAATCGTTTACATTGTTCGATCATTTCGTTTTTTGATTGTTCCGTTTTGGGCATTTGAAGAAGAACGTCTTTGAATATTTGAAACCAAAGAAATGAAGCGGATTCACTCGAGAGATCTCGCGTAGTCTTCTGATTTTCATACAAACTGTACGTCGCTAATTGCTTACGTAAATCATTCAGTTCTTCCCGAATCGAACGAAGCAATTGATCTTCTTTATCGAAAACATCAACTAACTTCGAATATTGTTTGTTGTCAATGAATTCCGTCTTGTACTTAGTCAGATTCATACAAAATATGAATATCGAATCAACTTGTTCTAAATCATGGATTTGTTCCAGACATTGACCTGCAAAGGAACCGGAAACAATAAGAAAGATCCGTTCGGTTGTTATCGAACGGATATATGCAATGCATGGATCAAGTTCTGTGTACAAAACAACGAAATTTGTGATTTCACGCAATGTCGTACGCGATGCATCGATCGTTTTATCCAACCAGATCAATGTTACATCTTCCTTATTTGAAATCGACGATCCATCCGAGTTCGTCACAGCAGTGAGATTGGAGATTCGAACGGATCTCGATGACGATGTTGTCGTGCTTGGATTATTACCCATTACTTATTTATCGCGTTCTTCATGATAAATGACTTGCTTTTATATTGTTCGTCTTCCTACGTCATCGATCGATCGCTCTGACTCATATTCCGAAGTTAGTCCAGTACATATTTCGTAGGCACATTATTAATGCTTATGGTTCTCGTCGAATTTGTAGGAGTAGACACTATCAGTCATGCAATCTAATTGTTAAGCTCGGAGAGAAAGTCTGTCACGACAGAGGATTTTGTGCGACGAGAAAAAAAAACAAATATATATTTATCCTCATCAATAAGATAAGAATCAATATATGAGAGAAAGACCTTGAACAAAAACGAATTTGACAGTCAATGTCGTTCAATGGATGATAGTTGTTTCTATCGGTGCTGATGTTTTATTTGAATATCGGTGAATACAAGTCAGAAAAAAGCGATCAAATGACGATCAAATTTTGCTCTACCAATTACTGTAGAATCGTTTCAGGCCACGTTTTATTAGATCCTGTTCTTCTCTATGTAGACATACAGATGAGAAAAACAAATAATTAGTAACAAATATCAGAAACCTTACTTTGAATCATTTGATCTTGCATGCATTTCACGCAGAACTAGAAAAGAGATTGTGTTTAATATAATAATGTTAAATGAAGTGCACTCAATCTTACAATCACATAATCGAGATTTTCGAAACATGCAGATATTTATATAATCAATATTTGTGAACGATGCTCGCTGACGGTCGAGTGACTTCGTCGATGCAATTCGACATTGAACAACATCTGTATACAGACAAGTTCAGAAAGATTCATCGAGCTTTGCTACTCACCAATAGATAGGACCAAGAATACAACAGGAATCAGTAATAATAGATATCGATAGAAGTCTTGCATATTTTTACAATCTGAAAGAGAGAAAAAACAACGAAATTTCCGTTTGAAATCATCAATTGACTAAATGAATATTTCGGTGAGATTGGTTTTATCTAGGCACGTATGATTCGCCTGGAGTGCTGTGTGGAAGTGAGAGTATGAGAGATAGTACTTGCAATTACCTATCTCGTTCATTGCATGCTATCAAAGTCACTGTGTACATGCAAGAAAAAGTCTATTCCCGATTACTTTTCTCTCGATAGAGCCTGATGAACCTATTACTTTATTGATTGGATTTACGAAAAACAACTAATGGAAAATCAATATTTGATCATTTACATGTTTGAGAACATTGATTCGAACTTGGCAGGTCTGCTGTGCACGTTGTCGATTGTTTGCGGATACTATTTCATCATGGAAATGAACGTTATTCATTTAGTTTTGTCTACATAGATCAATAGCAGTTGCCTCAAGCATTATTGGTTACTCTTATCTCATTTTGTATTGAGAAGTTATCTATTACTATTCAGGAAAATTAAAAAAGAAGTCCGCCTCTTCACCGTTCGTTATATCATAGAGATTCTCTATTGTCACGTGAGAATCAGACTCCTGGATGTGTCCAGTGCTTTTACAATCACTCCATGACAATGAACATGATTTCAAAATCGTGTTTGGCACAATTGAGAAACATCTATCCACTCAACAATATGGTATAGTCCACGATGACATATGTCGTTGATTATTCAAAGACGTTATATGAGATTCGATACGCTGTTTAGAATATTTCTATTCTAGTGGAAGATGGACAGGAAGTGATATCGAATCACCCGGCTGTCTCTTCTTTTGCGTTGTTTTATTTCGAGTTCATTTTCCCATTATAATAAAAAGAAAACGAGACAACGACGTTCAATCGGACTGTCTAATCAAAAAGGCAAATCACTTCGCTTCAGTGACAACTGGAATATAAACGAGGAAAAGAGAGAGACAGAAACAAATGTTAATTACTGACAAAATCTAATCCGAGTGAGAAGACATTTGTTCAAAGCAGAAAAAAGAAAAGAAATTCATCTCGTTTGACTTCGTAATAATAAATAACAAAGAGAACAAGAGAGAATATATGCATAGATATAACTGATTTTCATTTATTTGGTTTCTCGAAAAAAATAGACAAGAAATACAATAACAACACATTCTTCTCATTGTCAAGACTTGAATAAAACCTCTCTCACCGCAATCATTCAGACTGTTAACGTTGGTTCAGTTATTGCCAGTGCGCAACGCCGGCATACCATGAGTTCGGCAACACCTATTGGTCAGACATCAACACCATTACTATCAAATAAACGATCTCTCTCACCGAGTACTAGTTCGACGTTGGGAGTGAATCCTGAAAAGAAACGACCGACCTCAGAAGAAGACATTTCGCATGTCACCCTAGCACCGCTTGCTCGAGAATCGTCAAGTGGCTTTAATTATCAAACATTAACCGAATCATCGCCATTGAATCAAACGAAACACGTTGTCAAAGCATTGGTTCGATCGCATAGTTCAACCAATGCTGATCTTAGTTATCATTTACAACAATTGAGAAATCTGAGTAAACGCAAAACAACTTTCAGTGACGATTATCGGAATAACAGCACCAATGAGGATCGCATTCATTTGACATCATCAAATTTGAAGATCGTATGCAATGAAAATGGAAATGATTCTCTAGTTCATTCAACAATTGAACTCAAAACTATCGAGACAAGTATTGAGTTACCTGCAGCATGGAAACCGGCTATACAGCAAGTGACTATTCAAAGAGATGCATGGGATCATAAAATAGAATTTCTCCTTGCGGTGATCGGTTATGCTGTCGATTTGGGTAATGTTTGGCGTTTTCCAACAACAGTTTATATGAATGGTGGTGGCGCATTTTTTATTCCTTATTTTATCCTACTTATCTTCGGCGGTTTGCCACTATTCTAGTTTGTACAATGTGCTTTTACCCATGAATTGAGTGTTCTTTTCGAAATTTCATAGTATGGAACTTGCTCTTGGTCAATATCATCGATCGGGCGTATTTACGATATGGAAACATGTAAAATTATATTGAAATTGCTTTTCTCCTCATTCTTTTATTGAATAGATTTGCCCTTTAGTCAAAGGGATCGGTTGGGCAACGGTGTTAATCAATTTTATGACAGCAATGTTCTACAACACAGTCATCTCATGGGCTGTCTACTATATGATTGTATCGTTCAAGGGCATTGTCGGTGATTTACCATGGAAACGGTGTGATCATGCTTGGAATACTCATTGTTGTGTTGCAGCCGATGTAGGAGAATATCAATATTTGAGCAAATTAGCCAACGTAACCATCGTAAATACAACGAGAACAACAACAGCATTGACAACGACAACAAGAGCACCGGAAAAGAATTGTACGCGATTAGTCTACTCAACGGAAGAATATTTCTAGTGAGATTTGCATGTTTCTTTCGAATGCAGTCAGTGTCTTTGTTTTAGTCGAGCTCTTCAAGAAGTAGATAAAGCCGATGGCTTTGAAAACTTGGGTAAAGTTAAATGGGAACTTGCGGTCAGCTTATTAGGCGTATTTGTCATTGTCTACTTTGCACTTTGGAAAGGAATCAAAAGTTCAGGAAAAGTTAGTCGTCGTCTTCTTCTTCTTTTATGTGTCCGATTACTACTATGCTCTCGCTTTCTTAGGCGGTATGGATTACAGCTATTGCTCCATACGCTGTCTTATTTATCCTCTTAATTCGTGGTATTACTCTCTCTGGTTCATCGATCGGTATCGAATATTATTTACAACCGAAAATGGAATTACTGAAGAATTTCTCTGTAGGAATCAGAGCTTATTTGAATAGAATTTCATTATTTTCGATTGAACTTAGATTTGGAATGCTGCTGCTACACAGATATTCTTCTCACTTGGTCCTGGTTTCGGTGTACTCATTGCTCTATCATCTTATAATAAGTTTCATAACAATTGTTACCGGTAGAAGAATTTATTTCGTTGATTGAATCAGTTTAACATCTACCATTCGAACAGGGATGCGCTCATCACCAGTACAATCAATTGTGCAACGTCAATTCTCTCAGGTTTTGTTGTCTTTGCAACACTTGGTCATATGGCTTTTGTTTCGGATAAAACAATCGAACAAGTCATTGAAGATAAAGGCAGGTGTGGTATTATTCTGTGTCAAGACCTTTCAGTTGATTATTTTAGGTTCCGAACTGGTTTTTATTGTCTATCCGCATACCATTGCATTGATGAATTGGTCAACCATATGGGCTATACTCTTCTTTTTCATGGTCATCACCTTAGGTATCGATAGTACAGTAAGTTCTTTCGTTTTATCTTTGAATTCAAGGATTTTTGTTATCAACGTTTAGTTCGGTGGCCTGGAATCAATCATTACCGGTTTATGTGATGAATTTCCAAACTTATTTGGGCGTCACAGATCATTATTCGTCTTAGGAGTTCTTGCAATATCATACTTAGGTGCATTACCTACATGTACTTACGGTGGTGATTACATCGTGACACTAATGAATGAAATTGCTGTGGCGCCAGCTCTTCTTCTCGTCGTTTTTGTCGAATGTATTGCTGTCTCATGGTTCTATGGTAATCAAAACAAGTGCGAGCAAAATAAATAGTTTATCAGTATTTCTAGGCGTCAATCGATTTTCCTGGGATATCAAAGCGATGATTGGAACGCGACCATCGTTATTTTGGCGAGTTATTTGGTATCTGGTTAGTCCAATGTTTCTACTGGTAAAAATTCTTCGCTATACATCAAATGACTAAAATATAATCTATTCACATATAGATGATTTTCTATATAGCCATGGATAATTTCCTATTCGGTACAATTCTCATCAAACGAACCAATTTGCGAGATCTGCCAACCAATGTTCAAATCTGGTCATACTTGATGGTATTCGCCCCGATGCTATGTATTCCAGCGTATGCAATTTATAAACTCTATATCACACCCGGCAAAACATTCGATGAAGTAAGAACGAATGTTGGCTATTGGATAGACGAAACCTCGTATTTCGTGTGTTTTAGCGTCTTCAACGAGCAGTTAAGCCAGAGGAGCCCTTGCTTGATCTCATTCGTTCGCGATCAGCCGCAGAACAACAACAACAGCAACAAGAAAAAACTGACACTCTCTAACCACTGACTTCATTGTCATATTTATTTGTTCGTTGTTTGTAAAGAGAAGCCATTTGTAACCATGAATCTACTTTCAATTAATAAACTACGCATTCCCCATAAGTATTCTAATCAAAATGTTGTCGTCCATTTATTATTAATTACAATCCATAAGCTTTTCTATTTTGTCATCATCGATGTATGTTAATGGCACTTAACTGTTGCCAGTTGTGGCAACGATCGAACGAGAACAAGTGACATGTATACGTACGCGCTTATAAAACAAGTCTGGTTGTAAAAATAATGTACATGTTTTGAATGGATAATCAACAAAACGTGATATCGATTCTATCGAGGAATGAGAAAAGGTTATCGACAGACATCACGTTCAATGATGTTAATTGAAGCAATAAAAGAATCAAATCATTTTGTTTTAAATATTAGACCAAACGCAAATTTCTTTTTTTTTTCATCTCATCGATTACGAATGTTTAAAAAAGACAAACATATTTACATACCTGAGAAAAGAAAAGAAATCGAGCGCGATACGTAAGAAGTGAAAAAGAAGAAATTAATTGGAATGTGTATACATTAAGAGTAAACAACGGCTACAAAAAGAGAGAATATTCAGTGCGAGAAGAAAGTTAGAGATTCACAATTTCAACACAGAAGGTGTCTTTTGTTGATGATGATCACCAATTTCATCATCGCTCATTTGAGATTCATTAGGATTTTGTCTCACCGATGACATTGGACTTGTTGATGATGATGCCGTACGTTTCAAATTGAATGTATCATTTTGCGGTCGTACAGTAATGATTAAGTTTTGACTGTTTGCAACCATCATATCCGTTACTTGATCCAGCGTCTTTCCGCTGACTTCAATGCCGTTCACCTCGATGATTTCATCACCAACGGACAGTAAGCCTGTAGATTCAGCTAAACCACCAGCAAGTAGACGTGAAATGAAAACACCGGGAACATTCTCCACACCGTTCGGTCCGTATTTAATTGCGACGCCGTCGCGTATGTAGAAACCTAATGGTTTACTTTCTGTGTATCGATGTAATTTGACGCGACGATAAGAAACTGGTAAAATTTCGACATCAATTATCGATGAAACAAGGCGAAAGTCGGGTTTTAATTCGATGTTGCGTTGTGGAGAAGCATTCGTTTTATCTGATGATGGATGAATGAGTGACGAGATCTGATCGGCAATTTTCTTCCGTTTTCGTAAAGAATCCGTTGTATATTGGTACGTTTCACCTAGACCGGCAATAACCCAAAGTCAAACGATATTTCTCTTTCACTCCTCGATCGGCTTACCTTTTCGTTGTATGAATATTCTCAGTAGACCTGTTGTAACGCGTAGAATGTGCTCGATGATCGAATAGTTGTTGATAGAAAGAAGTTCACCATCTTTGTCAAGATAAGTGATGTGAAATGAAATGCTTTGAAGATGATGTAGTTCTTCAATTAAATGTTGAAAATCGTCGAATTTGATTGGATTTTTTCGATCGAGTTCAAACCGACGGAATTCGGCGCCGAACTAAGACGAATGTTCAACATCGAGAAAAAAACTAAATCAACGAAACTTACTTTGCTTTTCACTTCAAGTAATGATAACATGAGACAATCTACAAAATTGACAAATACAACAATGAGTGTTCTAATTTGACATAAATAAATAAACAATTGAAACGAAGTGCGTGTGAATGAAGGTGTGTTGTCCCTTTCTCTTCTTATGTGTTCTGTTTTGTAATTGGTAAGACAGGTTAAATAGATAGATGGCAGTGCACATCATTATTTCGATCATTCGTTTCGTTTGCGAACTTCGACGCTGTGTGACTTTCCTAACATGATATATCTACGATTATATTTGTTCAAATCTTTCACATTGTATATTTTCTAGTTCATATCAAGATACTAAATCGAACAGAAAAAGGAGAAAATAACAAAAACACACACACATATACTTTTTTTTGACTAGAGTGTATCCTTTTTTTTGTCAGTTCACTCTCTACATTCAAGAAAAAGTATTATTGTTGAGGACGCAAATGTTTGTTAATTGAATAACCACCTGTCGATTGGATTCGATGGCCTTCTTGTTGTTGAAATTGTGCTAGTTGTTCGCTCGGCGTCAAGTGTCCCAAGTCGGTTGTCGGCTTAAAGCCAGCTGATATGAATTGCATTGGTTGTCGCATTGTTGATAATGGAGGTGGTGGTGGAATAGTAACACCGCTTGATTTTTTCATGGAGCCTGTCTTCGATAGCACTACTGGCGGTTGACTGTACTCGGAACCACTGCCATAGCCAACGATACCAGGTAGTACTGGTTGAAGATGTCGAACAGGTGCTTCACTATTGGTGGTTGGCGGTGGTGGATAACGTTGATTTGTAGTTAAACGATTTATTGGCGCAGATGAAATAGGTTTACTTATTTCCGATGATTTATTCGAATGATGGAGTGTTTTCCAGAATGATTCGAATGAAACAAGTTCATTATCAACAAATTCGACCAATTGAACTAGGTTGGGCTCTTAAAAGCAACAGGGAATCTGATTGCATTGTTCTCTCACTATTCACTACTTTACCATGAGTTTTCCTTGCGTACAAAATCTTGTCGCGTATTTTCTTTTTGAATAAATCCTTGTCCTGCGCTGTCCAGGGATAATCTGCATCGAAACCATCTAGATGACAAAGATATGCCTGAAGTGGCAAATCAAGAAATCGCGTGTGTAATGGTCGCATGGTATTCGTGCCCAATTCGCGTATATCGCCTTGATCGACAAATTGAACCTTAAGTTTTAAAAACAACCAAATAGTCCGTCATTGTTTGAGCATCGAGAGCGACATACCCATGCAAAGTTTGTCGCTGCTTTAAATTCTAAAACGCGTGCACGATACCAATGCGATTGATAGCGAACAGCAACCATTTGACCACGACAGAACGCTGCAGCTGTAGATATACCGCGACGTTGCTCAGTTGCGTAGAAATCACTATCACGGGCCGAGATAGATTAGTCATCGTGCGCAAAAAGGGACTGACTTACGCCATAGTTCGATGAAGATCATTGAGCATTTGGTTTGGCTCGATATGATCTGGATATGGAGCAGCTAGAGAACACAAAAAGACGGTCAGGCCTTACGTTTCAGAGCTATGCACTAAGTACGTACGCTCAGTGCCTTGTCCAAGTGAATTATCAATACCAAATGGATAGCGAACAAAGAATTCGCCTGCTGATTTAACATACGTGACTTCCACAGCATACCAATGCCGTGGTTCAGGTTCAATAACTGGTGGACAATATGGCAAGTTTTCTAGCAAAAAGTATGAACACAATTCGATTGTACGACATTCCTATACCTTCATTTTCTGGCAGAGGAAGTGGTTCGATACTGGTTGGAATGACATTGGTATTGTTGATTGCTTGTTTTTGCGGTTGTTCATATCGAACATCAACTGAATTTCTTTCGGTGAAGACCGAAGGAGTAACTTGCGGTTGAGTAAAATTTCTTTGAGATTCAATATATTGTCGAACACGTTGTGTTTTGTAACCATTTACATCATTCATAGCATCATTAGCAATACGAATATATTCCATATAGGATGTATCAGGTATTGCGAGTTTCTTTTCAACTAATTGTTCATTTAAAGAATTCATTGATGTATTCATATCATACAAAATAATTGGCAATGGTGGATCGCCAAGTCTATGAAGAAAAGAAGCGATATTCCTGTGTTTCTAGTCAAGTTATTTCTGAGTTACTTGATGGAGCGTGTTGAAGCGCTTAAAGAATAAAATCGAAAGGTTTTAAAACCTTTTCCGCCCACGAAACGATTCACGAGGTTAATTGCTTCACGTGCCCATGCATCGTTCGTTGATTGTATTAAACCCAATGAGCATTTGATCGCTTGCGGTGGATAGATTTGAAATTCCGGTATGAGTTCATAAATGGACGATTCTTGGATGGTCAAATATTCGCCGAAATCGATACAAAGAACCGATAATGTTTTCCGTTCTCGATCATGACTGACAATTTGAACACGATAGAAGCGTTGATCGCGTATATTTCGTGCAACACCTAACGTGTTGACAGCAAAGCTCTTCAAACGTGTCATTCGATCACATGAGATCCGTTCGAGATATGTTTCGTTGACGCTGTTGTAGATTTGTTCGAAATTGTTTTTCTCAGTCAATTGAACGAAGAAAAGCGACGGCGATGTGAGCGAAGTGATTGTGCACGAACCGATGTTATCAGTTAAGTTCAAGTTGATCGATGGAAGATTAGTCGTACGAGAAATTCGACCAGATAAACTTGATGATGGCTTATTCTAAACAATAACAACAATGCAATGATTCGAGAGAAAACTAACGAAACGGGTCACAATTTTTAACATACACCATAATCTTGTCTCGTTGGACGCGGCATGTTTGAGTTGTACACCATTTGTTTTAGAGGAACAGGAGGATTTGGTGATTGTTGTAGAACTAAAACGAATATCTTCAGCTTTGTTGCTTCGGAATAGATCATATTAGCAGACTTTCTTTAGGTAAATTGTAAGCCGCATAGTCATTGAGATCAAGACGTGGACCAACAATTTGGACAATTTCACCAAGGGATGCTCGTCGACCATGACGTAATGAAATCAGTGTTTCAGCCACATCCTGAAAAACGAAATATCTACCACCGTGCCCGCCCTTTCGTCTTGTACGTACCGTATGCTCGTCAATAGTAAGTTGGACGAAATACATTGGCCTAAAATGACAATTCTATTCTCTGCAATGCTCTTTATCTATAATTTACCATTGCAAGGTCGGTTGGGCAAGAATTCGCACGTCAAGTGGCTTAGTTAATGTATCTTCATGAAATTTGAAACTTGCTTTTTTCGTCCATGAATTATTATTATCGCCGTTAACTGGTAATAACTAAACGAAAACAAACTGCTTTACATAAGGACAGTTCAGATTTAGAGATTCAACTTCAAGTGCAGCACATATGGCTTGTGCGGGTAAATGCGTGAATGCTGAATTGAGTGGACGTAGTTCATCAATATGTCGCTCTTCATTATTACCATAGTCGAGATAAACCAGTTCAGCAGTTGTATCTAATTCGTTCCATATAGGTTTCATAAATAGAAGATAGAATAACCTACCCGAACTGTATCGTTTAATTCGTGCACGATACCATCGATTATCAACTGAATATCGAGCTGCACAGCAACTCATTGGCATTGGCTTATACGACTTCGTTGGTGGATCACTTGTCGAATAGTAATCACTACAACGACAAAAATTTTCAAACAACGATCATCAAACTAGTACAGATTTTACTTCATGCTTTGTGCAAGTTTTTCCAGATCACGCGTAAACGCTGTGTTTTGTACGAAGAAATACGATGGATTGACAGCAATGGACACCAGTGCTTGAAAGTCCTCGCCCACATTCAACATTGGCGTTTCAATTTCAATCAATGGCACTACAAAAAAACATTCCTATCTCATTACAATACGACTCCCCACCACCTACCCTGATTATCAGTGGTATTATTACTTTGTTCGTCGTCATCATCATCATCATCGTCATCGTCATCTTGATAGGCATTCGAAACTAAAGGTACTTGCTGCACAATCGGAATAGGAACCACATTTTGCGTTTGTGGCTTATTTTTCAATCGAATGTCTTCAGCTGGATAGCGCAATTGTCGTTCGTTGTTGCCATTTTGAATGGGTTTATTTTCCGTTCGAATCGACTCCTGTGTTGATCGAACTTTTTCTTCTTGATATTTAGTATATTTCTCAAGCGCTGTTTTAAAATCCTGTCGGATCCCATGCGCACTCGTCTGAAGATCTAATTAGGAAAAGCACTAATAAACAAACGATTAGACATTCGACCGCTCTTACTTTCAATGGCACTAAATAATGTTTCGATATCACGTTCTATTTTTTGAAAAACTTCCGACATATTTTCATTCGATGTCACTTTATGTCCATTTGTGTGTTCATATTCGATTCCAGCACGAATGACTTGCAAACGCACATGACTTCGTTCTTTGTATGGCATACAAAGCCACGACCGTAGACCATCATCATTCAAATCGAAGAATTCTCCAATAGCTGGATCGAATAACTGAATAATATGCGTGTGGAAATCAAACGTTCGAGGCAATGTATCCCGTAAATATTGATATATCGTATCCAACGATGGATTATCGGGTAATTTGATTACAATCTGTTGGCCATCGTAGATGATACTCGTATTAATCATGATTTCGACCTGCAGTTAACTTCGTATAGAGAGTGAACTTTTGTCTTCTGACGATAACGATTTTTCTCTTCCTCTGAATTTTAGCACGTACGTACTACTAGTAGCTCTACGTATATTGAACGAAGGGATATATGTATGATAGGTTTTAATCGAAGATGGCAGTAGTGAATGGACGAACGAAAAAACAAAAAACGTGTTTTCAATACATTATCAGTTCAATGATCATGTTAAACTTGCTTAAAATGGTTGTTTTTTTTTATTGAAAAATATACATATAACAAAGAAAAGGAAAAATGTTCGACTTTTTTTATTGTTTTTTTTCAGAATGTAGCAAACTGGCAATAAACATTTCGAATTTTTGCAATGTCGACGTTCCGCAGTAATCATCAAGACTAATCGGATCAAATTTGATTCCTCGCGAGCCACCCGGTCGTTCAGTTGAATCGTCATCCATGACTGTATCATCATTTTGATCTCGACGTTTTCTTACAGCAACTTGTAATTGCAAATCATCACCGATACGAACGCCGACTGACCTAAAGTAAAAATCATTTTAAACGATAGATCTGACGGAACTTCTTTCCTTACGTCGGAATTTGTGTATGATCTAGCTGAGCACTAAATTGAATTTCCGTTAGTCGACCAACAGTTGGTGCTAATGTGCTACCAACAACTGACCAACCGAAGATTTTTGCAAGTGTGCAAGCAACTGTAAATTTGAAATATGCTATCTGAAACGTATGGAATAACTTGAAAGGAATACTCTCATTGTGTGAAGCTTACTTGATTGATAAAAAATCGCTGAACTTCTTCCACGTGATATTGAAATTCAATCAGATGAGATTTGTATTGAATTTTCACTTGACGTTCTTCGATTTGGAATATGTATGACCATCTATTCGAATAGCATTCCCGTTCAAACAATCTAAAGTACACATGCTTGTTCACTTACCGACACAGAGCCTCATAACCAGGTGAGATTAAATGAACACGTCCTTGTGTAGATGTTGTAGAACTGAAAGCACTGATATTCACAGCCATAGTTATATCAGAATTAGCGGATAAATTGTCTAATAATTCTAAAATTCTACAAGAAACAAAAAATCGAAAGTTTACAGCGAATTCATTACTTGATCTTACCGTGCTCGAATCACTTGATGCTGAGCGATTTCAATAATTGTCTGGAGAATCGTTTTATTTTCACTGATGGACTTTAGCTGATTGTAATTGAACGCATTGACACCGGCGATTCTTCTCAGCATCGGCACACCTACGATGCGAAATGCACTTCGTCACACACAACTTCTCGACAACCAATCTTACCTAACATCAACGTGCTGGGCTTCAGTTGTGAATAGTGAAAATTGCGAAAAAACTGTTGACGAAGTAGAGCACACAGAGAATACTCTAACAATCCAATGTGTGCACCCTATTCATTGAAATTGAGCAAAAGATTTGTTGAATGTGAGTTTATGTATGCTCACAGAAAGGTAGGATTCGGTATCGATTGCTGGATCAAATTCTGTGGAACGAAGTAGACTGATTGTCATCATCACATCCGAGAGAATCTAAACTAACGATTATCGATTTTTCAGAAGATGAACAACTCCACTTACCCAACATCGTATTGAATTTCTCATCACTGTTGGTTGAATGATATTTGTAATGTCCGATGCTTCGCGGCAGAGCTAAAGATAAAAAATAAGTTTCTGATTTTCATTTCTTAGAAATGAAACTTTCTACCTGAGCAAAAAGTTCTTTCAGAAATAATGTTCGTTGTGCATTCTCTAAAATCGTATCATAATTATCTTGCATGTTCATAGTTGAATCGTTTGCCATCATTGTTGAATATGTTCGAAGTAATACTTGTCCGTCTTCTACAATCAATGAATAGACATTCACTTTTCATATGTGTATTTAAGAAACATACTTGTTTCAATATCGATTTTCAAGATGACTCGAACTTGTAATTCTTCGGGTGTGATGACTTCAATGGAATTGCTCTGCGTTCGTTTATGAGTATCTGCTTTCGTGACTTCGAACTGCATTTTTATTGGATATAACGAACCAGCTAAAAAAGCACGATGAGAAAGATTATGTTCAGAATCGATTTGAACGAACCTGATCGGAATGATAGATCGCCGAGATAACGATTTGTGTTGTTCTGCTTTCTAATCTTCCATCGTTGCCTTAAATTCGACAATTGTACATGAAAATTCTCTGCATTTCCACTTGATGTGTTGATGATTTTCATGAAACGTTCAAATGAGGACAGAAGAACATCAGACGCTTGCCGAGCATTCGTTCGTTTCGAAATCCAAGATTTTTGTAAAATATCAGGGTTGACTCGCGTATTCTCTCGCGATTGACGAGAATTGACAGCATCGTCCATCTCGGGCACATTTTGAATCAGATTAAAATAGTGACGACCCATCACCAATGAGAGAATATCGTGCAATGCACAGACTTCAATATGCGCTTGTCTATGAGCAAGAAAACTACCAAAGAAGAACTCGAATGAAACACTTTATTTTACCTCATTTGTTCGAAATAGTTTGCAAATGTATTTTTCCCTCCGTTGACAATCCGTCGTTCTTCATCTGTTGGATTCTCAGCTGAATCTTCCGAGCGAAGATCATTGAGTTCCATTCGAGAGAGAATCTTAGTGAAATGGTCAGACATTGATTGAGTTCTTCAAAAGATGAACTTTTCAGAATTTTCACAGTGATTCAACTTAAACTTACGATTTAACCTTCTCTCCTTCGACAGTGTACTCATAAACACCTGGTTCCAAACATGGTTCAATGGTGACATTTGTTGAAAGTGGTTCTGCCATACTTTGAATCGTTGAGAAAAACTACTTCTAACTTCTGACTAGTTTTTTCCTTTGTTACTTTAGACAGATGTGTTCATTGGTTAGTTTCTTCGGACTAATCGCAATGGATGCGTCAACTACCGCTACCTGCAATCTCATTGCGGCCAATAGACACGAAATTCAAACAAATCAGTTTGATATATATAGGTAGTATGGCTTTACATGAGGCTTTGATAGCTTTACAAACGGGTTGTAGCGGCCTATTAACTTTGAAACAGGATGATCCTCATTTTAAAAAGGTAGAATCGCTCGATTAGATCTCAACGTTCGAATCTGTGCATTTTTAGCGGTTGCCATCGATTCCGTATGTTCATCAAGGTGAATTAGAAATTCTCGATCGACTAACTCAACTTGGTCGACATTATCATACAATCGATGAATACGTTCAAAATATTATCAAAACGAAAACAAGTAAAACTCGAATTCATTTCCCTCGGATCCAACTATTCTGTCTATTTTCAGGTGGTTTGTACATATTAAGTTTTGCATTCGAGCTTCGCTCGATTCTTCAATCCTATCTTCAATGTTTGAGTCAACTGGAACATGAATGCCTTCAAAATACATCATTAACTCTTTCGCATTTATTAATTTCCTTAACTGATTATACTCTTCTATTTCCTGCACTAGTTTCATTGATCAATACACTTCAATCATCTGGTTATCGTGGTTGTCAAATCCTTGATGTTATTCGACGTTGTACTCTCGATGGAAATACCATCCTTTCCTCTACAATGAAGAAACTATTGTGTGCAGGCCATCGAATTCTAATCAAACAGATCATATCGATTCTAACGCGTGGACAGGTCTATGACGAATATGGAGAATTCTTTATCGGATCAAATAACAGCATTAATGTCGAGGCAATGGGAATGACAACGCCGAGTATTTCACGAATGACATCAGCTGCGGCTAGTCGATCACACTCACCTGAAAGAGCAATGATGCAGGTAAGATTTAATGGCATTCTTCACAAAAAAAAGACGTTTCATTTTCTAGACGCCTCAGCCTAATTCGGCGATTACACCTGGTTACAATCAATATTTGTTAATCCCTGAAATGCTTCCATCGTATATTCCTCTTCCACTTGCAGATAAGATTCTCTTCATTGGTGAATCGTGGCTTTTGTTGAAAAAAAATGACGACGATGACGATGACAACGATCGAAACACGAGAAACTCTCTGGGAATCAATTCGATTGATTATGATGAACAAAATCATCTTGTTCAGCAACAGTTGCACGCACTGACATTGGCAGATGACTTGAATATGTTCGAACTCGAACGTATTATCGAACGCGCAAGAATTGACCTATCATTAACGTTACGAAATCTATTCGTTGATCGATTTCATTTGATTGACGAACTTGAACAAATTCGAGGATTTTACTTGATCGAACGCGGTGAATTATACACATTATTTGTCAATCGTACGAGCCAGCTACTTTTAAATACGAAAAAATCGAGTAATGCAATTGAGAACGACATCAATGAAGTGTTCAAACAATGCTTGAATGATCTACATTTGGACACTATCCTAACCAATTCTGATAAATTTAAGTTCAAACTCGATTTTCCACCGAATGAACTGGTGAATCAAGTAAGTCGATCAATACTCATTCGAATATCATATATTTGTATCTTTTGAGGAAATAAGTGCAGCGCGTCGTTTACTTTATCGAACTCAAGGGTCGAATGACAATTCCAGTAGTCCATCAGATTTCTGGTCATGCGGTTGGGCGAATTTATCTATTCAATATAAAGTTAAATACCCAATGAAGGCATTCTTTAGTGAAAATTGTAAACAACGTTACAATGATATCTTTCATCTGTTGATCGTCTTGCGTTATGTTCAAACCGAACTGAATAGTCTTTGGCTAGCATTCAAAAATCATCATCGGAATTCGCTGGTCTGGCATCTACGTAATACAATGTCATTTTTCATCGATAATTTCCAATATTACATCCAAATTGATGTATTAGAGTATAAATATCAGCACTTGATTCGCTCGATTCAGTCGAGTACTGATTTTCAACAAATCAAACATTTGCATGAATTGTTCCTGGCTGATATTCAAACGCATTCGTTTATGCTCTTGGGAACAGCGTATCAATCGATCAAAAACATTCTTTCGATCTGTGCTTCCTTCTGTTTGACGATTAAACAACAGGAAAAGAAAGAGAATCTCGATGAGAATGTTCTCCGAGGATTCGGCAAGGACTTCAATGATGAAATTAAACTATTATTTGGAATCTTGGGAATGGTGCAAAAACATAATGCACTACCGCACCTAGGCGTTTTCTTAACAAGATTGGATTTTAATCGCTTTCTGACAAATAACAATGGCTCATTTGGAGAATTTTAATTGTTAACAAAAAAACACGACGTTCTCATTGTATTCTTTTTCTTCGTTTGTTATTCTTATCTTCTTCTTTTTTTGACTATCAAATAGACAAATACGAGTATATAATCATTTGATTCTTCTTCTGTCTTATTTACACGATAAAACCAACGAGAAGTTGCATAACATGAGTATTCAGTCGGACATTCTAACTTTAGTGTATGATGAAAGTCAACCGTTGATCGTTCCGGCGAAACAGAAAGAACGTATGTAGTCCTCATTCAATCGAATTGCAACTACAATCGTTTCCTTTAGCGCACATATCATGGATTATGGCGGCAGGTTTAATTGTTAATGCAGCGATGGGAGTAAGTGCGAATTGAAATAATAGTGTAGAACACGTGTGTGATGGAGAGAGAGAGAGAGGGAGGTGCGAGCAGACGTTACGCATTATGGAGGACTATCAGAAGAGACAAATGGTTAGATAACTCAACGTTATCTCGAGTTGCTTTCTTTTGGTTAGCAATCGTTATGAAGGTCGAAAAGTTCTTTGGCCGAATCCCTGGATTTTTGAAGTGATAATCAAGAAATCGTTCTTCTAGGCTGGCTTACTCAATATTGCCAAAGCGTATGATGAAGCTGGTGGAATCGCCGTCAGCTCAATACTTCATGCGGTATAATGACGTTCGTCTTTACGTTTTGTGATTTGTCGTTTGGATATCTAGATTGTCGTTGTGTTGGTCATCGGTGCATATGCGATACTATTTGTTTGCGGTGATAACTCAACATCATCCTACGAAGCATTTGTTCTGATGAAATGTGGGAGATTTTGGCAGAGAACTTGTTCAGTTTGTATTATTTTATATATGTAAATCGATCTGTTCTGTCATCCGATGTTTTTCCATTGTTGCGGTCATTGTGAATTGTAGGTATGGTTTGAGTATTACCTTCTTTATTATTATCGGCGATCAACTCGATCGATGTATGAATTTAGATGAAAGGTAGTCAATTAAATAGTTTGATTATTTATTTAGTTTTGACATTTGTTGTTAATGCAAATTACTGCTCACATTGGTATCTTGATCGACGATTTATGATTATCGTTACATCAATGTTACTAGTCTTTCCTCTATGTTTCTCTAAAACGATCAAATTTCTTCAGATTCCCAGGTAAAATCATACCCTAAAACAGCCAATGATTCAGCCCGATCTTTGTTTCAGCATGCTCGGTGTATTGGCTATCATCTATGTTGTGATTATGGTACCAGTGAAATACTTTATTTCACCACCAACAGACGTTGTTATCAAAAAAAGGTTAGTCATCAATTTTCGACAGACAAACATGGAACGAATTTGTTTACTTTAGTCCGGATTCATGGACAGATATCTTTCTAGTGTTGCCAACGATGTGTTTTTCATATCAAGTTAGCAGAATCATGATCTTGTGTATTTCTTCATCAACAACTTGTTCTAGGCTCATGTCAATGCAGTACCTGTTTTTATTTCGCTAAGAACACGTGCCGATTGCATCCACGCGACGTTAGCATCGACAATTGTACTCATCTTCAGTTACTGTTTGGTAGCCATTTGCGGTTATCTAACATTTGGTATCAATGTTAATCATGACATACTGGTAGGAAACGAAATTTCATCGAGAAAAATATGAATCCTTCCTTTGAAAGATGTCTTATGACCCACATTCAATACCTGTTCTCATTGCAGTTATTATGGTCGCAATTAAAACATATACCGCTTACCCAGTGAATTTATTCTGTGGAAGGTAATAAATCGCTGATGATATTCTCGAATTTTCTCTTCATTTGCATTATAGAATCGCCATAGAATCATTTTCAACATCTGGCATTGAGCCATCTGTAAAACGCCGTGTTATCATCGTTTGTCTATGGTTTTTCTCCACATTGGCTGGAGCCGTTTTTCTTCCGAATATTTCATTAGCTATCCATTACCTCGGCGCACTTGCTGCAAGTTTCATTTTCATCTTCCCAGGTCAGTCACCGAACGCATAAACTTTCTGTACCATTTCTATTTAGGACTCTGTCTGTATTTTCACATATCAGACAGATGGATCTATTCATGGCAAAACATGTTCGCCATATTCGTGGCGATTTTCTACGTCGCTGTTGGAGTCTTCGTTACGTTATTAACTCTAGTTCAATCGTTAATGAGTGACATTCAATCTAAAAGCAGTTCGAGTACCAGCGCATGTTGAATACCTTTGAGGAAACCGTTCAGTTCAAATAAACGCGCTCTAGGGCTGTTTGTACTTTTTTCCTATTTAAGGTTATTTTTCTCTTTGCAAATAATAACTCTCTTATTAACTTCATTTTTGTGCGTGTCTAATGTGAAAGGCTTCGACCAAATAGAGCGTTCGAGAATATGCATGTGGGTGACAAAAGTCGGTTTGATTGTCGAATATTTGAGATAATTCTCGAATATGATCCACATGAAAAATGACGCCAATAACAAATTAATAATTGAGCAGGGATTAATAAGTTGGTTTTTCGTTCTAATTCAACTGTACATGATGTCAATGTGGGGAGATTTAATTATGTCAGTGTTATATTTCTCATGAATAGTAAACAGAATTTTAGAAAAAGTGTAAGAACAGAAAGAACTTCGGCTAAGTTCATCTGAGCTTAGATTACACGCGCATAATTACGAGAAAACATCATGAGATTATTTATTTAGAAAATAAACAAAAGATTATTTTCGGTAGATAAGATTAAACGGTTCGATTTGATTCGATGCTAATGTCAAAATGATTTTATGTTGATCAATTAGACCCGAACTCTCTGAACTGACATTCACTGTTGAGCGCGTGTAATTCGATGTGGTTGATGAGGACTGTTTCGAAAGCGACTGCTGGTAATCATCACGACGGCAATTAACATAATGTAATGGTTGAGCACGATTATAAGAATTATTTCGCGTACGAAGATTAGACAACGGATACTTCGTAGGCTTCACTGAATACTTTTCACTCGTATGACTTGGATAAACATCTTTGTTTTTAGATTTCGTTTTTTGATAGGCAAAATTCGTCGATTTATGATCTTTGTTGTTGATAAACGATGACTTTTTCTGGTTGAACTCGCACACGGAATACCGGCCGTATTTAATTTGATTAGTCGTTGGAATGTTTACTAAAGAATCAGAACGTTGATAGAGTGTATTCAATTGATAATCGGATTTGGATGACTTGGCCGGAGTGTAGCCTGTACCGATGCTATTTAGACGTTGTTGGTATTCCCAGTAATTAGGATGAACATTCTTTAAATAGACATGAAGAAAAACACAACTGGGAAGTTTTGTAATGAATTCATTAGAGGAAAACGACGGCGTCTTTCTTCCGATGTAGAGATTTTCTTAAAAAAGCAAGAACTTACATCGAACTGATTTCGTTGTCCGCCATGATGCTGCGAGCTTGTACGTTTAAGAGATTGATTGCTCGTTGTACGAAAGAAACCACTTCGATTTCGTGTGTAAAAACAAACGCGAGCTAGTTCGCGGCGAAATTTCCGATTGAAACATGTAAAGATGAAGAAGTTAACCTAAAAAAAACAATAAAAGATTCTCACATCCGTAACCCGTACGAAGGTCTCTTACGGCGCTGTTTAATAGAATAAGAAAGTTTGATATGTCATAACAGATATATAACCATTGATAATTTCGGTAAAATAAATAAATATAATTAAGTATGGATGCAGGTACTTGACACAAGATGAACAGACCGATTAGACATATGACTGAACGCGTAATAACGCCCTCTCGATAACGTGTGGAACTTGTTTCACCGCCGGTACGTGCCGTTTGTCTGTACGTAGATGTACAACGTTGAAGAAAATGCGAACTGGCATTGACACTTCGAATGAGTTCAACATTGAAATACGATAGCATCAATAGTGGAAGAATGCTTTGGAAAAGACTGTACAAAACTGCAAAGAAAAGCGTTCGGATTGTTCGAACAAGTAAGAAGAAACTTACTTAGATGGACCGTATATTGGTAAATGGGACTCTTTTGTAATTTGTTTTCTATCACAGTGTAATCGACGAATTCGGTTTCGTTTTCGAAATTTGTAAAATTCACTCGTTCAACTCCAGTTTTGTATTCGAAAAATCTCGGTAAGGAATAAATAAAACCCAAACAATAGATTGTCACAACAATATAACTACAAGGAAAAGAAGAAGATTCATTTTGAGTTATGCTCCCTTTCTTTTGACATAGGCAATGACCGAAAACGATGTTTTACCTTGAACAAATTTTCCTTTTCTTCAGCGAAGAATCTATTCGTGAATAAAGACGACGTTTATCTCATGAATTCTTTATTGTCGGACATCTCACGCTATTTTTCTACTTCATTCCATCAGTTTAGATAAAGATCGGAAATGAGTTTTTAGACTTTTTAAATCATACAAATATGTCTACTATTCTCCAGCAGATTTGTCAAAAGCAGCGATTTCTAATTCAAAGAGTGTATGTCAGCGTATTCAGAAAAAACACTAACCATGCGCGTTTAGAACTGTACGTGTAATGCAGCATTGGCCATTTGATTGCGAACCAACGATCGACGGCGAAGCCGATCGTTATCCAAACGCTCGTGAATTGAAACCAAATGATACAAGCATAGACATAAGGGAAAAGATGCTTGTGAAGGTACGACGAATAGAACGATTCGCTCTGTCGACTTGGCGGAATCGACGAATTAATTGCGAATATAATGCCCAATGATAGAAGACAACTATCACTTATACTCAACGCAGCTAGATATGTCGAAACGGCACTCCGCTGTTAAAACAAAAAGATACAGAAATGTAAAACATACATTATTCATATATGTGGGAATACCATGTCAGATACTCACCATATGCCGACGAGTGAATATGTAAACAGAACATAGAGCCAGAGCCAGTCCTATCGAACACATAGCCGTACCTACATATCGATGAAAGCCGACGGATTTTAATTGCTAGTTTGTTCGTACTTACCAACATAGCCGAGTAAATAATGAGTAAATAACATAAGGGACATGGTGATAGTTCTTCTAACGACAATCTGCAAACTGAAAGAGATGCGAAAATATTCGTCTGCTTAAAGCATGCTGAAGATTATATTATCTTTTGTCAGATTGTCTTCATGAATCACTGCCTTTTCTGCCTATTTGTCTGGTCGTATTAGGTCGGTTTTCTTCCCTCTCTCTCTCTCTCCCCTTCTCCATCGATGTCTGGAATACAAACTAAACAAAAACCTGATTGCTTGGATTCATCTCTAACAAGTTCAAGTGTGATATAATAAGAGTCACAAAAGGGCCTAGTTTTTCAAGTCCAACCGAAGTTTTGTTACTATCAAATCCGCCTCTAATGAGTTAACTGGAAAAAGTGAGTTCGATGTTTTGACGAGGAATGAATATAGCGACACGCGAGAAGTAGAAAAGGAATGATCTATCTTTAATTGTAGATATAAAAGACTTTTCTCTTCCTTCATGATAATTAACGACATTGTCACACAGTGAAAACGAGAAAATTTTAAAAGGTGTCAGAAAACGAAGGTTTTTCTTCTATTCTATTCTATACGGAATAGCAATTTTCATTCGTATGAAGGAGATAATCTCATTACTAAAACATCGATTTGAAGGAAGAGAAAAACTACCACTGTAGCTGCTGCTGCTCGTTCTATTCTCTACCTATTAAACCTGACTCTTTATCTCATGAAGATTCACACAAGAAATAATTTTGTCGCAACAAAAATAAACCAAGGAAGGATGTCGAGTCACATCCCGGCAGCAACTAACGGAATCGTCTCGGGTCTTAATTACGAAACACTTGCCCAGAGAGAAAAAAGGAAATTGTAACTAAATTGAAAACAAAAGATTAAGACGTGAGAAGAGGTCGTCCGTCGATTACATTTCGTCGTTGTGACATTCTCTCTTGAGATGATGATGATGATTACAAAATCAGCATGCTTTAATTAATATCAATCATACACATCGCCGTCGACGCGTGTGTTTGTCATGAAGACGCTAAGATATACAGATGCTTCGAATACTGACAGTATTTATCGTATTCGCTCGCGCAACTTCGAAAAGATAAACCTGAGAACATACGCGATGGAATTCGGATTCGATAAATAACTACATAATAGAGCGACATTGTGTCATGAAGATATTCTTCTCTCCGAATACAAGTTGATCTTATGATCAAGCGTAAATTATGCAGCATCACTAAAATTTCAATAAAAAAGAAAAAGAAATACTAACCTCTTCGAAGCACAAGTCTGTTCAATATATTAGCTTTCACACTTTAAGGTTGTGTCGGAAAATTTTAGTTCTTTTTTTACGATAACTAACGTCTTTTGTTCGCTTTAGCGTCGGTATGAGAGACTTCTAATAAATGACAAAAGCACAATTACCGACAAGTGTCTTATTATTAGACCAAGAATTACAGACAATGGCGATACGTAAACTACGGCCGATGAGATTAGTTTTGCTAAACTTTACAAGTTTCATTGAGTTCGATTTCGGAGAGGACATCGCAAGATCTCGCGCGAAATCATGTTGAGCGTTCAACACACGTGTCAATTTCAAATGAAAAACAGACGATACTCGTTGACGTATTTTGCCTTTTGATAAATCATGTTTCTTAATAAACAAAACTGACAGCAAGTAATCAATCAAAGGAAAAATAACACGAATGACAAATAGGTGTATCGATAAACATCCTCCGATGACGTTCTTTCAAATCGATCGAAATTTCTTTTTCTCTCGCTCCGGTGAAATCTCCTGAGACAATCAATCACATCACCTTTCAATGTTTTTCTCTTGTAATAAACTTTAAAAATTATACGCAATACTATTCGGAGAGAATGCATGTTAAGATCAATCTGATAAAGTTGTTTATCAGTGACGTGCTAATTATAACTGACATGTTTGTTTTTCTTCGTCTTTATTTTATCAAATGTATCCAGTGTGATAAATATTTTATTTCAATATCAGTTAAACAGAAAACTTTCACAGACGAACCGGTACTGCGGATCTTTATATGGCTATATCTGAGTCAAGACGACACATACATACATATATTTATATTTATACACATGTGTTTTTTTTTCAGTCATTATCATCAGAAAAAAAAATAATAGTAATAAACAACAAAACAACAACAAGCAAGAAAACAAACCAAGGCGAAAAGAAAAGGAACGAAACGCAGAATGAATATTTTAAAGAATAATACTAAGACAAGGAATTATCCGAAGAGAATGTTTGGTTTTCACATGTTAGAAGGAGAAGACATCGAGAATATATAAAGAATCACAATATGCAGCGGAGTATACGTGTGCGTGTGTGCGTATATGTATTGATTATATATCATCTATATATGTATAGAGTGTGAGAAGTCTATCAGCAGTGTGTTGGAAAAAATAGAAAACAAAGAAAGAAGAAAAAAAGCATCACAGATGGGAAGAAGAACGTTTTCGAATCTTGAATGAATTTATTGCACATTGTGCAGATTTTTATCGGTTGTTTCAACTGTTGTATCATTAACTACATTGGGAGTTTGAATCCGACAGATACGTTTTACTTTTGCACGATGATTTTTAAACCACAAACGTATGTGTTTTGATTCGAGTTTAGGGAATTTTGTTCGATATTCACCTTCATTTAATTCCGAACAAATTCGTTCAATTAGAACGTGATCAGGATGCGTTTCAATAGCAAACCATTGTTCCAACTTCGGCACTTCCGATGCAGGATCAATGAATATTCGATTTCGTCGAGAACGATTATATTCAAATGCTGTTGTTGTATTGGATAGTTTCGTCGAATTAAACGAGATTTGAGTTGGTGGACTTTGTTCACTCACAGAACTCATGTTATCTTCATCATTGCTTTCATCTGATTGACTGGTTTTCTGTCGTTGCTGATCTGTTAAGGAAATGTCAAATGCTTGTAAGTAATTGAAGTAGTAATTATTGTGATTTTCTTGTTTTTGCTTGTCGTCGATATCTAAGTCGTCATCTTCGTCGTCTTCAAGTTCATCTGATGAGTCAAGTTCGCATTTAATTGGTGCATGATTTGGTTCATCGGAATTATTAGGCAGTTGGTGTGACAACGTCGGTATGTACGGCTGCGGCGTGGGCGTTTCCGAATTATTGAATCGACGCTTTTTACGTTTCAGTGCAGCACGAGCATTTTTAAACCAATATTGAATATTATACGGTTCCAAAGCTTTTTTCCCTACGAACAAAACAGGACGAACATATACAGAGAACAGTTGATGATTAATTGAAAAATGAAGGTACCTTTTCGGCAAGGTAATGCATTGAGACTTTCACATATAGATGCAATTTGATAACGTGTTGGATGTTTCGTGTCGGTGAAAATTTGTAATAAACGTGGCGTTTCTTCGTGCGGATCAAATGTCGTACGTTCACGTTGTCGACGGTTGTATGCATAATCTTTAATCGCTGCTGATGATGAGTGTATGGGTGGTGAGTCATACTGTTGATGTTGAGCTAATGATAAAAGGCTAGCAAATGGATAGTTCATAAAAGATTTGTTCGAATTCGCGGGAACGGATGGGGACGAATATGGTTTTGTCGAAAGATTCAATGGTGCATTATCACTTGAAAAGAAATGTGTTCAACTATGGAATAGATGAAACTTTCGTTCATACCCATCGTTTGTATTCGAATTCGATGATGCTATTGAATATCCATTTGGACTTGTTGTGGGCTTAGATGATGAAGATTGTGGTAATCCATCGTCATCATCTTCTGTATCATCCTGCATGACTTGGCATAGTTTATTAACGAGCTTAAAAGTACAAGTCAGTTCGTTAATTAGTTTGACAAGAAAATCAATATTTTTGTTTACTTCATGTTTGTCTCGTTCTTCACTAACTAAAGGCATTAATTGTTTCAATAAACGTACCGATCGTTTATCGTCTAGTGCATTCGCATATCTTAACAGAAAAGGAAAAAATATACACGTAGAGAAATGCGTTCGTTTCGTTTTTCGAGTTTTCGTAATAAGCAAGACAAACAAATTGCTTACTTGGATATGCGAATTTGAAGGACAGCAACATTCATAAGATCACCTAAGATATCTTGAACAGTGACTGTTCGATTTTCAGTAACAGTTGGAATGGGCAAAGGATTCCAATTTTTTATCAGTATTTGACCTAAACAGGAAAATGAGAAACGAAACTCTCAAAAATCCACTGACAACTGCTGAGTGCTTAGACATCTCTATTTGTCGTCGGGTCATTCTGACTCTCGTGATAAACGACAGAATCGCTTGCGTAGCCCATGTAAAACAACATAATTGAGCAATACAGGCACCTTTATTACAATTATTCTAATCATTGAAGAGCCCTTCAACATTCTTGCAGGCCATTTTACCCCTTGTAGATCTCCAAAACCCCTTCGAGCTTTTCTTTATATAGACAATGTTCTCGCACTCGATCAAATATACAATAGCCGGAAGGAATAACAATATATATATATCGCATTTCACTCAGATAAAAAAACTTTCATCACACTGAGATCTTATCCGGCAAATGACTGAGTTGAATTTGTCTTCCTCGTTGAACTTACCATCGGCTCTTTCATCTGCTTCGAGCTTTCCAACATCGGCTTCCATTGTGCGTAGAACGACGGATACAATTTCATGAAATTTCGCTTGTGCTGGTACAATTACGAAGCCGTCTTGTAAGACACGTTGTGGACACTCATCTCGCGCGACCACACAATGTACCGGCAAAAATTTATTACTTAACGCCAGACCTACAAAAGAAGAGAAAATGAATTTTCACACATTTCTTTTGTCTCAAATGAAACATGTTTTAGTGATTTACAACAATGATCATTTCGTGAATTAATTGAATGAAGATTTCATGTTGGTTAAATCAAGAGAGAGAAAGCGAAGAAGAGAGATTCGGATATTTACCTGCCGAGAGTTTGTCCAAACGGCGGGAAACCATTTCTTTTCTTTTTTTTTTGNCAGACCTACAAAAGAAGAGAAAATGAATTTTCACACATTTCTTTTGTCTCAAATGAAACATGTTTTAGTGATTTACAACAATGATCATTTCGTGAATTAATTGAATGAAGATTTCATGTTGGTTAAATCAAGAGAGAGAAAGCGAAGAAGAGAGATTCGGATATTTACCTGCCGAGAGTTTGTCCAAACGGCGGGAAACCATTTCTTTTCTTTTTTTTTTGTTTAAAGTTTAAATACAGACAGAAGTCGAAAAAAAGAAAAACGCGTTCGAGTAAGATCAAATTAAAAAGAGAAGAAAACGTTTGAGTGGACTGTCTGTTGTTACTCGAGTTTGTCAGTTTTCTTTTTCTTCTCTCTTTTTTTCAATTAACAAATCCTTTTTTCTTCTTCGCGCTTCAACGACGTAGGAGAAGTGAAAGAAGAAGAAGAAGAAGAAACGAAAACGAACGTAGATAGATATGATATACGAAAGTGATCGGGGGGAGACCTCTTCGCTTCAATCTTCCTCGCTCTCTCTCTCTCGTTCTCTCTTTCTTTTTCTCTCTCGCGTATATATATATACTGACAACCAATCAATTACCGATGAGCATATTCGGGGGTTTGTAAATCATACCATTTCTTCTCTCAACATCATTTTTATTAGTCAATATTTCGTAACACTCAAGCCGCACTGAACCGAGACCAATAACTAGTTAAAACGCGAAAGAGAGAGGAGAAAAACCTTGTCAATAAATCAATAAGGACACCTTACAACGTTGTCTTGTGATGATGATAATTTTCACCAATTGCAACTTTTCCTCGTCTCTCTTCTCTTACACATTACATTGATAAGTGATTATTACAATAAAACAAGATATCGATCATTACCTACATGTCGTGTTTTTTTTCTCTTGTATACATTTCTTTTTCTCTTCTTTCTTTCCGAATAATTTGTTTTATCTTGATTTGCTCGCTCCCGTTTTATTGCACAACGTTAGCCAAGCGTAACCATGCTACTATGTATATGTATGAGCTAGCATCCAATCGTATAAATGCGAATGACAGGGAGGGAGATAGAGAGAGAGAAAGAGAGAAAGCGATGTATAAGAAGAATAAGAAGACGTCGTTACAGAGCAAATTGACAAACGTCATAAAGTCTTCTCAATTTTCTTTTTTCTTTAACATTGTATCGATCTGTCAACATATTCTTCCGTGTCTTAAATCAATAGGACAGGCGTGCGCATTGCACAAATGCGCCTGCTATTGCTCTACTCTCGATTCCTCTCGTTAGCGAGATAAAGTCTTGCACCCTATTCGATTTCACTAGCCGCTTCGCCTCATCCACTGTGATGAGTAACAACTGTTGTTTAAGTGATAATAGCTTTTCAATCGTTATGTCGACACCCAATAAAAATTCAATGCGAAACAAAAAGAAGAAGAAGAACTCGATCTAGACTAGATATGTGTGCACTACTTACTTGTTGGATTGAACAGACCAAATGACGACATTGTGATATTCGAAAGAGAGAATGAGAGGTTAAGCTCTATACTACTTCTTTTAGAATGTTAATCACAATGACAAACATAACGGCCGTGATTTCGAAATGAAGACGAAGCCGGCTGATGCCATTCTTTCTCTCCTCTCTCCCTATCGTCTAGAATCTTGAATAAAAAGAAGAAGAAGAGGGACATATAGAGAGAGAAAGAAGTGTGTTTTAACTTAAGTTGACACACGGATGCATTATTTCTCACTTTTTAAAAAAAGGGGAGAGAGAGAGGAAAGAGACCGAGTCGGAGTAACAAAACGCAATAGAGAAAGGAAAATTGAACGCTTCAACCCAATGCTCGACGATTATCCCAATAAAAACATCATCGTTTGTGTAACGCTCGTCGTTTGGGAATGGGAGGGAGACGGAAATGTGCTTGAAAGAACTTTGAAAAATGGTAGTTGAATGAGTGAGAGGGAAAGTGAGCGCCAAGCGTTTGAAAGATTTTCTTACTGCTTTTTCATTTACTTTAGTCCGCAATTAGAGATAGCAACTAACACATACACACACGCTCAGCCGGAAGACATTAAAAAAAATGAATTTTTATTTCGANGTGTAACGCTCGTCGTTTGGGAATGGGAGGGAGACGGAAATGTGCTTGAAAGAACTTTGAAAAATGGTAGTTGAATGAGTGAGAGGGAAAGTGAGCGCCAAGCGTTTGAAAGATTTTCTTATTGCTTTTTCATTTACTTTAGTCCGCAATTAGAGATAGCAACTAACACATACACACACATACGCTCAGCCGGAAGACATTAAAAAAAATGAATTTTTATTTCGAAGACACTTATGAAAGCAAACGCAATAATAAGAAAGGTAGTCATTGTTGTAAAATCCTAGTGTGTGCTAATCACAGTGTGAACAGTCGATGGCGGAAGTGCGTGGTAAGAAAAAAAAGGTGACAAATTTCAATGTGTGTGTCTGAGCAATTTTGCAATAGAATACAACTTTCAAAGATTAAAACATGCAACGCTGTAGCTCGAAGAAAAATGAACATTACAAATGAATATGACAGACCGGACTCTTGCTTAATTCTTTTTTTTTTCATTTTTTTTATTTCTACTCTCTAAATTATTCAAACCGTTGCGCGCACATATACACACGCGCACGCTCAGTAGCTGACAAACAATCTTTCCTCAACAATTTCCTATGCAAATTAGTAACGAGCAAGGATTACCTGCCAACGTCTTTTGTAACGATGTCTGTTTGACCGAAACGAGATCTAGACAGATAGAAATACGATGGTACCACTAACAATCGTCCGTATAACTTCGATGTATGATAATTGATTGAGAAGAAAATGTGCCAATTAGCCTTCTCTAGTGTTGCTTGTGCATTTGCTACTGTCGTGGATGAATGGATTAGTTGAAATCGAAGAATCAAGTGCAATGAGCCGACTTTCATTCATATCAGAGACAGAAACGACGAAATGTATATACATACAGATCTCAAATCAATAGAGAAGAAAGAGATTAACTAGTTTTTATTTGAAGACAACAATCTGGTGCCTCTACTATATATATATATGTGTGTGTGCATGTGCGCGGCTGGTGCTTCTTAGTCGAAAAGAACGGAATAAGAGAGCGAATGTCATCAACATAAGCTACTAGTAACAAAAAAGAGAAAAAGAACAGAAATAGTAAAAGAAGGTGGTCAGTCGTCTTAGGCGCTTGATTGATTTACTTCAATTTGTTCGACATGACAAGAATGATCTGACAGACAACATACACATATTCACTTATTGTTAGAATGACAAATGGTGCATATCGCATTCTCGCACAAGAGAATTATTTATTGTGAAGTGACTATTGTTACAGCAATCTACCTTTTTTCATCAGAATCCTGTCGACAAGCTATTTCTGCTTGTTATTTTTCGTTAGCGTTTTTTCGTCAGATAAACAGCATAAGAAAGAAATGACGACAATGATGACGACTATTTGCGTATTATCTCTTCTAATCTGGGCGTGTATTTGTTTATAGAACACTGCTTCATTTGAAAGATATCTTGAAAATATTTCTTTTGCACTTTACATGACAACAAAGGGACGGAGAAAGAAAGAGAATGAGAGAAACAGTAGGACTAAATTAAAAATCTTGTCTTATCGATTATCCTTTGAATATGTATTGACCATCATCGACATTTATTTTCGAAATAGCGTGACAGATAGAGCAAAAGAAGAACAAACAATTCTTTTTCACACGCATTTGCCGTGACGAGAGACGTACGCATGAAAATTAGGATAATGGCAATTTTGATTATCGTCGTCCACCTACTATTACTACTTGTATCGCGTGTGAAAAAAGAATCTACTATAACAAGGAGAATAAGAAACACACACACACATACACAAAAGAATTTTTCTTACTTAAATGATAGCAGCAACTATACTTGCGTTTTGCCAACGGCGAAAGACGACAGCAAACTTCACCATCTAGAGCGATAAGCTATCATTAATCTTCGAGAGAATGAGATGATGTCGAAGAAAGAACTCGATGCAGGTAAAAAAGAAACAAAGACTAAGAAAATAAATACATGTAATTATAGTCTTAGTATCTTGTTATCCGGATATGTAAAGAATTGGATTAACGGTAGCACTCGATTTGTTGACCTGATCAATCAACGCATTCAAATAGAACAAATGAATCATTGTTTTCTCTGATAAGGCATACAATTTGATTTGATTGATATAAAAGAAGAAGAAATGGATTTTCGGTGGTAGTGCATTTGTGTCAAGCACATATACACAAATCGCAATCAATTCTAATACACATCGCACGACGGGTCCCTCCTTTACTCGACTCGAGCGGTAATCGCTTTTTTTCTTTGCCTCTCTCTCTCTTTAAGTAACAGCAAGCAGAGGCGTCGTGTTCACTAAAAAATTCATTCTCGCCCGTCGACCAAATCGCTTTTTCCTTCACCTACTTTCATCATCTTTGTGTTAATCGTCCATTTTTGATAAGACGCTTCGGCATTGTCGTCTCGCTACCTCTTTTTCTCCTCTCCGTGAGTTAATCTAACATTAAGTTGAGCACTACCGATTGCTTTCCCTTTCATCATCCTGATTTACGACCGAACAACATATATGAGGAAGAGATGCTCGTAGCTCAACACTACCGGCAAAGGTAGATTATACAGGAGTAAGAACGATAACAATGTCGATAGGAACAACAGACAGAACGAAAGAAGAGGAAGAAGAAATCGAGAAAGAAACTCTTAATTGAGCTTTTCTTCACCCGAATCCATTCAAATCGATAAACTTAAGCCGATAAGTAGCGCGCTGTCGTGGCAAAAACACGATGAAAGAAAAATCAATCTATCACGAAGAGTTTCTTTCGATGACTCACTGTAACTCTTTTTCCAATTCGAGATTAGTTATTGATAGTACACACAAATCATATACTTGTTTTTCGAGAGCAAACAAACTCTTATAATCATTATATAGAAAGGTACTTTCTTTTTCTTTCTTTCTTTCCTTTCTACGTTGTTTATTAATAAAATCAATGATGAGAACTTGCAGGTGATCGATGATTTCCCTCTGAGACTAGCAGATATATGTACGAAGAGAAGATTAATAGAATAAATAATGATCAATGAATATCAAAGACGAGTTTAAAGAGAAGTCTGCCATGATTTTCTTGTTCAAGCGAATATCAATTTGCATGAACGATTTGAATTTGTGCGCGTTTATTGGGTCAAAAAAAGAGATCAAAATAGTATTCCGTAACAAAATATTTCACTGAAAACAGAAAAATAATTCAACTAGTGTTTACTTAAATACATATTCACGGAAGAACTCAATCGTTGAAATCATAATAGCACATGCTGGAGAAACTTTCAACAAACGTGGAATAAGACCTAAACGAAAAACATCATGAGATGGAGTCACAATGTTCTTTACGTACCTTTATACCAACTTTGTATACCTCGCTCTTTGAGCATTTGACGCAGCATAGAAAGCGTACGGTTAGTTGCTAGTGGTTGATTATTGCCTAGTTGAACCTGACGAATTGATTTGACAGTATCAAATGGATGTGTAAGAACAGTTGCTAGTGCACCTAATTGATTTCACAAGGAGAGAATGATTAGAACAATCGAATCGGTTTACATACCGGCTGTTGCTCCGGAATAAAATGCACTTAACGTCGGTGATGTACTGAACTTTTTCATGATCGATACTAAAGAAAAGATTCATCATTTTGATGAGCAAATTATCGAGAAGAACAAAACATACATTTTAGTCGTTCATAAGTTGACCAATAGAAAACTACAAGAGAAGACAAATTGATACATTGATGAAGTGGTAGCGGATACTTACTACTGAATGGTAAATCTCGCCAAATAGTTGGTATAAGTCCTCTCCACAACGAGCGCAAACCATCCGACTCGATCGATCCTTTCAACATATTCAACAATTCACTATACGATAATTTCTCTGACATTTTCTTCGTGCGAATCAACTCTAATGGACTTGTAACAAGCACGGCCAATATGCGTGCCAAACCTCCAGCGACACCCGGTATCACCGGATTCAAATTCGTTCTTTTGTAACCCATAAAACACTTCAATTGCTCATACGTAGTAAAGTAAATGACAGTATTTGGTAACGACATTACCAACGTCGGTGGTAAACCTGACCACAACGATCGAATACCTTCACTTCGTGTGATCTGAACAAAAAGGAAATATGTTTCTGCTAGAAAGCATTGCTACAAACGAAATCTACTTTCAGTAGGGCATCAATAGTACCGCTATATTTGCCTGGAATGGTTCGATTATACCAAGGCACCGTTTCTTGTCCATTGAAACACGTGCAGATATGATCACCTAATCCGTTTCGAAAAACAAAACAGTCGCCCTTGCTCAATGGATGCTGTTGTGATTGTAATCGTATTCTCACAACATCGAATGGTGTCTAGAACACAAAAATGTCAACTAAAATAAACGATTGCGGACTTTTTCTTTAGTACCATCAACAGTGCTGTGCACATTGCTCCGCACGATGTGGCAATGACTTGTTCGACAGGAAATATGACACATTCATTCTTTCGAGCATTCATACCTATAACATGATGAAGAGATTTTCATACTGAAAAAATGTTTAGATTGTGATTTATTGAAGTTCAAAAAGAAAAGAACAAAAAATAGTAACAAGAGATCAGCGAGAAAAGAGAGATACGAGAATGAGAAGCAAAATAATGATGATAATCTATTAATATCGAAGGTCTTCAAAGCTGAAATCCTGATATTTCTCTAAGATATTATCTGACAATCGTGTGCTTGGCTTGAACTTTGTTAAGAATAATTCAAGTCTGGTATTTCGTCATCGTTCGAGAAGTTCATTCATATTCATTTCGTCGCACATCAACGGTCAATCACAGATGCAAGAAGAGAAGTAATAAGCGAAAAAGAGAGAAGGGACAGAACAAACAAGCAGAGAGAAAGCGTGTTGATGAAAACTTTTTTTCCAAAGAAAGAGCCAACAAACGGTCAAATGAGGTTTTTGTCGAATAAACAAACAATAAACTTTGGCAAAGAAAAAAAAAACACAAAAGAGTATAGACCAAGATGATAATCGCACTTTGTTGTTTAGAAAGAAAAAGAAAAGGAAAATAAGAGCAAATGAAATCAAACACGAAAAATAACTCTCTAATAGCAATGAACTTTTTCTGTCTTTTGTGCCCAAGCAAAATCATCTGAACGCGGTTTGGCCCCCGTATATTTCTCAACGATTGATTCAAGCCACGGCCAAAACTTTATCATCTCTAAAGGCCAATTCAGCCAACCGGTTGTAACTAGAACGACGAAATATGTCGATCGATGGTGTCTTTCATCTTCAACTACTTACTGCAAAAATATGTGTCATGTGGAACAACTAAAAGGAAGAAATCAAAGATAAATGAGAGAAACTCTATCTAATGATTAGTAATCAGAAACGAATGACAGAAAGAAAAACAATTTGATCTTATTTATACGTAGAGAACAGTAATGATAGAAAACATCACGAGAGATGTTTGGATTTCGAGTAACTAGTGGCAAAAAACCAAGGCTATTAGCATCGGGAAATTGATTTCGGCTTCTCAACTGAGTAACTCTCTAGTTAACGGTTAATCATAGTCGACCTACCATGATGTAATCGGTGATGTTTACGAGGTAGAATAACATGATAATTTTGAAAGAAAACAATAAACGACGGCAAACCGAAATAAGTGTGTGACCATTTATGGAACTAGGGCAAAATGAAACACAAGATGCAAAACGGGAAAAGCGAAATGTTAACCTACCTGATTTGTCATCGATACGAATATTGCGAGAAGAAACATGTAGACCTCAAAATTGTAGATTCGTCTAATATCAGTTTCGTTCCAATAGGTAAATTTATGAGCCATGTAGAAAAGATAAGGAACGGTCACTGCAAAATTGTCACCATTCGTTTCAATGAAATCATGACGCGTAATCGATGTTGGATCGATATGATGTTCACGAAATGGACGTAGAAAATTTCGACCAATAAATGGCATGTCTACTGAACCCCATGTATCAGCACCCCAATGGACAATACCTGATGCTAAATCTGCTGTTAATATCCCCAGTACTAAAAAGAATGAAGAGTTTTTCAGTGAAATCTTGCTCACAGTCTTTCTCCTATCAACATACGAGCTGAAGGAATGATGAGGTACCAATTTCTAACATCGAAGTAACGACAAATAAAGTAAAAATTATAAACCATTAAAATAATACATAGAATAATCGAAATAATTTCTTGAATGCGTTTTTCTAAATAAAACAAATCAATTAGTCAACATAGAGGAAGCAATTAAATCCAGATGAGATTCTTTCAAGCGAGATATCTTTCGATCAAATCAGTCATGTGAAATTCCTGTCGTTGAGAAGATATTTTCGTAAGCATTCTCTCCGGTTTACTCAACCTTGAGCATTTACCTTTCGTATATTGACTGGCGAGCAGTTTGGCACCGGCATGTTGAGGACCCCAGCGAATTTCTCGGGCATCGTGCAATGTATTACCATTTGGATCATCCTCGGGCATTGAGTTTTTTGCTACAAGAATATCTTCATCTTCGGAATTAATGTGTCCCATATTGTCTTTTGATGGTGTTGTTGTTGACGAAGCTGAAATATGGATAAATTCTTAACAAGTAATCGTGTTAGTCTATTTCGTACCAGTTGACGATGTTGAACAAGCAGAAGAAACAGTAGGTAATGAAAGACACATTCGTCGTTGCTATTTCGATGAATAATTCGACGTACGTGATTAAAAGTTAAACTGACTTAGATGAAAAGACTACTAACAGATCTTCCGATACCGGCATCTTCATTTCGGTGATCGGATTTAGTTCTAGAAAGAAAGATACAGAATGCATTGGTGTTCATCGCACAGAATGGTTGATATTGACTACGAACTAACACTTAACAAAATGGAATTGACATCGTCAAAGTAATAAACATTAAAAAGAAAAGGGAAAAGTTCTTCTCTGTTAAAAAATAATGTAACTCATTTGTATTTGCTCAACATGCAAGACGTTTTCTTTTCTTTTTTTTTCTAGTAAGAGAAGAAACAGGGGAAAAGGCAATTTAGTCAACAGAGAAAAAGCTACTAGTACAATTAAACTATAATAACTCAAGACATCCATAGAGCTCTCGTTTGTCATAACTTCATGGGGTGTACCGTTAAAATGCTTGCTGCAATACATCTGCCAGTCATTGCTCGTTCTTATTTCCTCTATCGTCTTCGTTCTGCGTTTCTAATGTGGACAAAAGGCTGCTCTCGCTGTTCTTACTAATCTGTGTGTTACTTGTTCTTTTCTTCTCCTATTGCGTTGTGTTCTAGCCACACATATTTATAGCGCAGAAATGACACTGCTAAAACATCTAACGAATAAACTCGTATGACTAACTATTGTTGGAATATTGCTTTAACAATGAAAGTGAAGAAATGAAAGAAAAACGAATAAAAGACAATTGTCTTTTATGTCTATCCATAACTGTTAAATTAATTATCTTAACTATTATATAAGTTGTATTTTTATGGGAATATTAATCTTATTTAATGTTATTGTTTCGTTTCTTGTCGATTAGAAATTATTGAAAAACTCGACGGTCGATCGGGCGGGCGAGAAGAAAAAGGAAATAGCTCAGATTCATTTCGTAACAAAAGCGAAGTAAACAGATTTGAATGCGAAAACATGCATCGATATACACAATTTCTAACGTGATTAAGAAAACAGCAAATGAATTTAAAAAACAAGCTTTTTTATCAAGATATTCCTGCAATGTGTGCACATCGTCAAAGTCTAATGTAGAGGAATATCTGTTTGTGCAATATAGAATATGCCAGGAATAGCAAAAACACGATCAAGAATGATGACTGTTAAGACTAACTAAGTTACGCTCGTTTAGTATTTCTCTGGTTCTCTACTTTTTCTGGGTCATTTATAAGTTAATTAGAGCTACCAATTATTTTCTTTCTCGAACTTTCAGTAAGAATACAGATGAAATTGTCGAGAAAATCTGCGGAGAAATTCCGCTTCGAAATCTTCAACTTTATTCAGTTGATCACGTCTGAGAAAATATGGGAAAGTTCGAACTCAAGTCGTGTATAGGTGGCGCTAGCGGCTGATAGATTGTTATATAACCATAATGTTCGAAACTCGCAAACATCCATACGATCGATGAATGATACACTATTGTATTTGTAAGCATTCAATGATCGTTTACATATGTCCAACTAACTAGATCATAATATTACGAAAAAGAATAATAAGTCAAACATCATTTGTATCGTATTAAGGGATTTGTGGGCCACGTAAGATCGTGTTGTTCTGTCTTCGAGAGTCAATTAAAAATTCTCCGACAATATATCGATTAAGGACTACGAAATCAAGCGTAACAGATTATGAATTACTGATATTTACTATAAGTTATCCATGTCCTTTACGGCAAATGACTTTCTTAGCAATTGGTCTCACATGATGATTTCTGCGAAGATTCAACTTACACACTGATGCTTATTTTCTGTTTCATGTCGTAAATTCAGTCATTACGACACTCGTCAACCGTTTTAAGCAAAGTTTTAATAGAAAATAAATTATTCAGTGTCCTATGCACGTCATTCAATGTTGTCATGATATGTAATCCACTGTTAACTGATATAATACCTGAGACTTTCTAAAAATACATCATTAGAAACGAAATAAAAGCGCCCGATAAGAACTAGCGTTGATCATTGCTGAGAATTACTGTGAAAAACAAATTCACTTCTACCGAACGAGAACTTTCGAGTGTCTGTCAATAGCCCTATGAGGAACACTTTGATCGGCAAGCCTGTTCATGACTTCTTTCCAAGAGAGGCCTAAATAGGTAATTGAACAATCGGCGAATAACGAAGATTATGTGAATAGAACATATTGGTTTTTCCGCAAAGAAAAACTCATAACAGATGTTTGAGATCAATTATTGATTTCTATTCCAATTAAAATATACCTCAATCATTGTTGTCTAGTTGAAAAACAGTCAGCAAAAGTTTGCCGATTATTTAATTTCCAACGCAAGACTTTATCGTTCGTCAATTTCCTCCTTCTATTGAGCAAATATAAATATCTGTGATTACTTGTGATTTCAGATGTAAATATCTTTTTTTAGCTTGTACTTGTCCAACAGACATTGATGTTAGACACCCTCAATCGCAAATAAAATTTGCCTCTTGGGGGTGAAACGACGTTGTGTGGGGGTGAGGTGGTGATTTTCTTTCTTTCTTCTTTTCTCCTCAGTTTATGTTTTCTTTTCATTTGTAAATGAGAGCGCATTCAACTACTGATTAGACCAGAGAGATTTATTTGACAAGAAGGAAATTTGTCAAGACATATTGGAGAAATCTCTTCATGTCTTTTCTTTTAGAATTATGCATTTACGATCGATTTTTCTTGCTCCTTTTCGTCTCCTAATCTACTTATTCATTATATCCAGCCTGTTTCTTCTGCAAACTTCACGACCTATTCAAGCAATCTCTCTTAGCCGATTATGTGGGTCGTTCGGACATTCATGTTTTGGAGGTAAACAGTGATAACACGAAAGGAAGATGATTGATTTCAGCTTGATCTCTTTTAGCAAATTGGGGTAAACGTTCGTCATCGGATGAAACATCAACACGATATATCAGACTAAATTTAAATGATAATGATGAGGCGCGACCAGTGCCGGCTGCTGGAGAAGATGATATTCTCAAAGAGTTTCGAGCGGTAAGGATTTGTTCGAGGAGAAGAAGATCGATTGTATTTGCTTGTTTTTCTAGAAACTGCTTCGACAACGCTTACGGCAGTCGGCCAGCCTTGACTACGATCGGATTAGGCGTTCATTACATTAAAATCATGTGCATGTGTGTTTTATTTGTTTGAGCGAATCATATGTACTCTCTGTTCGAACTCGAGTAACTATCAATGATTGATTGATTGATTGATTAAAATCCATGAAAAAAAAGGCAAAACGGCGTTTTTTGTGGATATTGTATCGAAACACAATAATAAATGTATCGTATATTTTGTCTTTGTGTAACATTGGTAGTCTAACTGAGCAACTACGATTGAGACACAAAGGCTAATAAGTATGAATAGGCAGACAATCGAGCGAAAGAAATATTCTCCTGACGATTTTGCAAATCTGTCAGGAATTGTGGTGATTTCGATGATCAATTATGAATATGTCAACTAAACAAATATATTCCGTTCAAAACGAAACGTATTTAGAAGCCATGTAAGCGACCAGAACCTCAATTTACAAACAACTCTTTTCAGAGCAAACTGAGAACACTCCAGGGGTCTTTTACACGCATCAAGTCACGGATCTTTCTCGCAAGTTGAAAGTTTCCTGAATTATATTTTATGCAACAGGTCAAATATCCAATCCAGGATGTGAATAAAGTGACAAGGTTGCATATCTTATCCTTGACTACCATGTTTGCCATGTAATTAACTTTCTGATTCTGTCTCAAACATGTCTGATGCAATGATTACTTTAAACAAATTAAATATTTACTTGCCGGAAAAGTAAAAAACATTACTGTTATATCTCTAACAAGAAACTTATATTCAATAAAAGAAAAATTAGTCTTTGGTTGAAACGTTCGACAATAAATGGTTGACTGCTGCTTGACATGCTTCGTACTTCGCTTTCTTTTTATTAACACTCCGGCCAATGAATTGGTCGCCATTTTTCATTTCAATATAGCAAACAGATACTGTTTCTTTCGTTGTAGGGCCAGGCAAGGCGAATTCTCTAAAAGAATATCAACACGTCGTCGCTGTGTCGACAAGTTCCCAAAATTAACTTACGAAACAACTTTGCCTCCTTGCTCATGGACTGTTCGTATAGGGTTCAGATTTGGTTTTTCAATCGATCGGCCTAGAAAAGTAACAGACTGATGCATTGGTTCGTTCTCGACAATAAATTAAAGCAATTTACGGATGTATTCTCGAAGAAGAGGTTCGATCGCTTGCCAAACAGTTGCTAAACAATAGCCAGAATCGAGAAAAATCGCTCCGACTAACGCTTCGAACACGTCTGCTAATGCTTTCGGTGCTGTAGAATCAGCCCATTGATTGATATCCTACAGAGAATGGTGTTTTCATTCGTTTTTTTATAGATTAAAAATAATTATATGAATTACTGCGCTTAATAAAACCTCCATTGGTTTATCTTTTGGAAAAAGAAGATTGTCGTCTGCATAGACGGTCATTTCGCCGAATAAAGCCGGTGAATTATGAAGAATTTTCGTATGAAGACCGGTGGCAACCAGAATATAAGCTAATCGTCCGTTGTTCGATAAATCCTGTCGAATATCTGTTACTTGTCCTACAAAAACTCGCATCAGTGATTAGACTATCGTGTAGAAATGATGAATATTACCTGGCTTGATATTTTTATGTGTGAGAAAAATATGCCTTGTCACTAGAAAATCTAGAATCGCATCACCGAGGAACTCCAATCTATGGAAGAATATAGAGAAATAGAATGAAAAATTGTCGGAAATTTAATACCTTTCGTAACAACTTGTCAGTCGATTACAGAAACTCGATGGATGAGTGAACGCTGCGATAAGATACGCTTTATCCCGAAATGTGTAGTGAATAATATTCTCAATTGAAGAAAATGCTTGTTCGGTATAAAATTTCTCAATCACATGTTTGCTTTCGTTCGAATTTATATACGAGCAGATAATAGATGGTGTTGACATGAGATGCTCTACTTTTACAAATAAGAAAACGTTTTTCATCAAGAGAATTCCTACTATTCTTGTCGAATGGAACAACGTCGAGTTCTAGCCATAGCATAAATTGGATAGTGGTCGGATAATCAGTCGATAGTAGAAAAGCGCCCATGAACGATTCCATCATATCAGCAAAAGCCTTTCTTTTAACTGTTTGATGCTCGTATCGTTTGAATTCAAATTTAGTAGGATTTTGATTGATATTGCTTCCATTAACGACGTATCCAGGTGGTACCCAGTTTGCATTTTTTCCACGAAATTCCAGTTTTTTCGCATTTAGGTAGCAGGTTAACTTCTTCATCACAGCGATTCGATAGAGATTTTTGTTCGATATTTGTTTAGTTTTTACAACGGTCAAGACACCTGCACCCTCGAGTGGATAGCGATGGTAAAGTGACATGGATACAGTTAGTTTCAAAAAGCAATCACCGAGTATTTCAAAGCCTTCCATGTCACAATTCTCATTCGCTGAACTACGAGTGATCGCTTGGAAGAGAATATCCGCTGATGGTTGCAGATTCGATTTTGTTGATAGTAAGTCGTGGTAAGTAAAACGAGCGAGTGGAAGGAGCTAGAAAATGAACGAATTATAACAGAGAACATTCAGGTTAAATTGTTAATGAATTACCGATTGATTTTGATTGATCATCAAATAATCACGAAAAGTCACCGGTAGTTGTCGATTAGCATCGATAAACTAGAAAAAAGAATTTATTCATATGAAAGGATTAGTACACATGTAAAACCACATTCTGTTTTCGAAATATATGCAAAAATTGTGAGTAATTCATACCTTGTCTGTTCCAATGCTGTCTGCAAATAATCTCCTGAGTCGTTCCACGCGATATAATTGTAAAATGCGAACTATAAGACTTGGAAGTTGGTAGATCATCTCGAAATCTCTTCGATTTAACGGCGCATAACGGAGTAATTCGAGTGGATAATACACGTATTGTGGTATGGATGATTTTTTTGATTCGTCTGCTGTTGGTGTTTCTTTTAAATAATTTATTCTTGGCTCTCGAAACCCTTTCATCGTTACTAAATATGAATCTCGACGAATAGAAACATCGGGCACTTTGCTTTCAAAATAATCCGCGTAAGTGCGAACATATTCCAAATTCTTCTTATCGTAGGGATCTGATATTTTTTTCAGCAAAGATCGGTCCGAAATGTAGATGTAGTACGTGTTCTCCTCCAGATGACATGTTGTGTAAAGTTCGCTCTCGTTCAATTCATCAAAACGTTTTACGGGATGATTTTTTCGACGACAGATAGCCTCCATGCGCTGCCAATCAATGTCATCATTGCCTATAGACAAAACTTAGAACAAATATTGGTGAATTCGATGAACTTACTGGTTAATAAACATGGAAGTAGTTTACACGGAGTGTCAGCCAGATCGAATTTCAGAATTGAGTTGATATTCATGTCTTTGAAGACATTTTCAAACACATATCGGCAGAAGGTTTCAAGCGTAGTTCGATATTGCGTATAATTGATCGGTTTTACATGACGAATTTCGATTGGAATTGCGCCATTGTATCCATATAGTTGAAATTTGGGTAGCTAAATTATATGTTTTGGCCATCTGGAAATACAGAAATTGTACGAGTTTTACTTTTAACGATGGAGTAGGCACGACAAAAGCCAGATCTGAATTGGTTTTGTATAGATGCCATTCGTCATTCGACACTAGATCAGATTTTACGGGAAATTTAATCGGCTAGGAAAGAATCTATACAAGAAAATCAATTCAGTGAAGACATCATACTTTTCTCGGAAAAGTTTCAAATGAACTGTCGACTTTGTCTTCGAATAATTCATCTACTAAGTGAAATATTTGCTGCTCATAGGAGGGAACAATTTCTGATGCGCCATGGTTTTTCCTCGGTAGACAATGTTCATTAAACTCATCTAAAAATGAGTAAGTATGTACAAAAATAAAAAGAACTTTTCATCTTACGTTTTTGATGAAGTTTTTTCACCATTTCTAAACAACAGTCGTACTTCGCTAATCGCTTAGTTTTATTTATACGCTAGGCGGAATAGAAATTGGGTCAGAGAGGTAGTACGGATTCGCTGGACTCTTACGACGATGTCATCACGAATAGGACAGTTGGCGGGCATTGACAAAATACAAGTATATGCACCAGCTGAGCCACTCAAGAGAAATCGAGGTGGAAAGATTTGTCCGCCACCGAGTAATAGGCAATATCTAGATAGACAAATCATTCGCATGACTTCGTCAATTGATGTCGAGAAAACTTACTCCATGATCAATTGAGCAGCACGTACCGCATCAATGACGATGCCATCACTCGGACGATATGGTGGAATTTCTGATAGATCGTATTTGGAGTCATCGTTACTGTCCAATAAAAATCCTTTTTGAATACTCTAAATAATCAAAAAAAATGTAGTTGCTAACATAACCAGTTGTCGACTGTTCACTTTTTCGATTTCTTCATAGTTATCATATTCGTTTCGATCGCGTTGCTGCCCCTCTGCATCGGACTTATCCATAAACAAAACATACGATGCGTGTTGTTTCGCTCGTGCACGGCCTTTCGACTGCATATACGATGAAAAATTATTTGGTTTATTAAATCGTATCACTAAATCACAAGTTGGGATGTCCAGACCTATAGGAAACCATTGAGTACAACGATAATACCAGCATTTCATACCTTCTTCAACAACTGCTGTGGCAATTAGTATATTAATGTCTCCTTTTCGAAACTCATTGATGGTTGCAAGCTATCAACAAAAACAGATGATCAAAAGAGATGATTTTCCTAATTCCTACTTGAGAATGTGCTGTCATTGACTTCTCACTAAAAGTTGTTTTAAATCCGGTGACATGTTTGACTCTCAATTTTGTATTCCATGGTGGTTCAAAAGTTGAAATAAGATCAGATACAACTTCGCTCAAAACGGCTGCTGTGTATACTCTTTCAACAAAGACGATGCATCGACCCGATGTATGCTTCGTTATCTGCTGTTGCATGATTCGTTCGAGCAATTTGAAAACCTTTGGACTGAATAGAATATGTCGATGGTGGGAATATAATCGGCATAAGTTCTTCAAAATATCATCAACAAGACATTCGACCCGCTGGAAAATATCATTGAAAACTTCGCGTGCATCTTGTTCCATATTACACAGTCGGTACTCGTCGGTTGTGAGTTTTTTTCGTAAATCTTGCAGGAAGATAGTCATACCTAGGATGCCTAGCTCTTGGCCAATCTCGATTGCATTATTAAGATCACGTTTCAGTCTAGGTAGAACCGGCGATTGTAATTGAACAAACGAAGTAAGATCGCTTGATTGCTTATGATAACGCTCAACATTCTCGTCACGATAATTTGTTGTCAACATTGTTTGACTAAGACCACTGACCAGTTCACTCATTCGATATTCTTTTCGATTGAGATTATTTTGAATCAAACGTGCCATGATACGAAGAAACTAAAATCAATGAATAAAATTTTGCCCATCACAGATCGTATCTTACTTCGAATGGAATTGTTAAACTATCATAGCGTTTCATCACATCATTTTGATAACTTTCACATGGAATATTTTCAACATTCACTGATGTGCCATGTTTTGTACTTTCATTTCGATGTGCAATTTGTGCTCTGAACAATTCGAATCGTGCTTTTACTTCGACAAGATTGGCCAGTAAATCTTACCGATAGATTTTCTCTAACTCTCTCGCACCCTCGAGTAGATCTTTGGGTTTGATTTTTCTAGCTATGATCGATGCTGTTAAGCCAAGTATACGCGGAGGATCCGGACATTGATCATAATGTTTATTCATCAAAGATGCATATGGATTCTCACCGGTTGCGTGTTGACATTCATCAAATATGAGTAAATTCACATATTTCAGTGCTAAAAGCCGTGACAGTGATATTGTCGATCGAATACAAAAAGGAGAGTTCAGATCTTACCGAAATAATTGTGATCGACTAGATTGAGAAATACTTGAGCGGTAAAAACTAAAACATTGTGCTTTTCCAATTCCTCTTCCCATTTATCTAACTTCCAATAATCTACACCTAAGTCTCCGTAATATGTTCCAATTTTTAGATCTAGATGAGTACTAAGGTAACTGCTTTGCTGGGAAGCAAGTTGAACTAAAATCAATGGAATGCATGAAAAAAATCAAGAGAATAAACAATAATCTACCAGTTTTTACAAGAAACACTGAGCGTTTTGCACCTTTTTTCCAGCTACCACGTATTGCGTTGGCCATTTCTTTAATTAGCATCACAGCAATATATGTTTTCCCACTACCGGTAGGTAGGCAAACAATTAGATTTTCTCGTTTGGCCTGTTCCATCAGTTCTGTCTAAGTCAGAATAGAACGTCTTGATCTCAAGATCGTGGTAACGAATGTTCTTACTTGATAAGATCGAGCACTGAATTCTTCTATTTGATTGGGATCAGGAGTAAACGTCTCCTGAATACTTTCTTTTAACTCCATCATCTTACTAAAATATAAATGAAAACACTTTCTTGAAACATCTCTTTAGCGAGCATAGTAGTATAAATATTCAATGTTAGTCAACAACATTAGTATCTCAAAGCTTGTCAGTAGACTGATAATCGCATGCAAGCTGATAGTGATGATTGAAATATCTTACATGATTTAAACATTTCCTTTTTCAAGTCACACTTTATAATATGAAGAAAGAAGACAATTCTCACTCACGAATGTTTTGCTGCTGAACACGAGGCAGACGAGGCTCTACGACGCATGTTCAAAGATTTATTAATTCGTTTTGAGCAGTTAGTATCAACAATAATTCTTATTTTTACTCAAAATTGTTTTATTTGCATGCTGAAGAAGTCAAGGCATTGTTTTTTCTTTTTAGAGAAAAAAAACCCAGTCGATGAGACAGACATCCAGTTGTGGTTTGCTTTCTACAAGGCGAAAGAGAGAAGAGAAAAAGAAAATATCGCTGCTGCTGTTACTTTCTTTCTTTCTTTCTTCCTTTCATCCTTTCGCAAGAGTGATGAGTCATCGTTTGTGTGCTATACATTCACCGATTTTGTTTTGCAGGATGTCCTATTTTAAATAGCAATTGGATGAATGAGTAAGTTATCTTTGCGCAGCGGCAGTACCTTATCCAATGAGCGTTTCGCGAGGAGAGGTTATTGCTAGTTGAAAACTAAAACCCAATATCCCGCACAATCGGCCTCGTGTCGACTGTTGCAATTTTTGCTGCTTCTTCGGAGGCGTTCAATTAAAAAAAAAACAAATGAAATTGCGAAAAGTTTCGATATGTTCTTCTTTTATTTTCCTAAAATTTTGTTTTCATACAAAAAAACCAACAGACAGATTTACTGTTGACTGTTTGTTTGATCTATATAGTTTTGAAAATTCTATTTAAAATCGTTTCAATTGGTCACTGATACGATTTTGAATTTTAGGCAATAGTTGTTGAATTTCACTGGCACAATTCACCACACAGGATTCAAAACCGGATTGAAGACGATTAGTATCTTTATCACCACTATCTTTTGCTTTATCTTCACAACTGCGAATACAACGCATTAGTCGATCTTGAACAGTTTGCATTTCTTGACTCATCGCTTGTTCGGCGTTGCTGATTCTCGATGAACATTTCTCCACGCATTGACTGAATTTCAAAGGATCCATCGTTGGATCCTCTGTGCATCGAAATGAGCAATTGAATGCATCACCCTAAAAGCGATTCGTAAAGATGATTCGCATATATGAATCATTTGTTTCTTACGTAAATTCGTCGAAGGTAATCTCGATGCAATGTTGCAGCCATGTTGGAAATAGAGTCGTTCAATTTTCGTTGTGATTCTTCCATGTTTAGTTGCAAAAGAAAAACTAATCTAAAAATCAACATGAAAATTATTTTTTGCCTTTTTTCTTCTTTTGCACTCCGGCTGGCACTCGTTTAGGGTTTTGATAGGGCGCAAGAATTTTTCCTGGAAGAAAAGTAACTGAAGAAGAAGATCCCTCTGGTTGATTTTCACAACCATGCAGAATCTGAAGAATTTGATCAACAAGGTTTTTTAACTGCGGATGTTCTTGACATGAGGATTTGAATCCTATCGCTGAGCAATGTGGTATAGCAAAGGTCTTTGTTAATAATGGAGAGAGATTTTTCAGACGAGCAGATGCTGTGGGATTCATTTGTGAAAGAAGTAAGATCGGTTTAGTCAGAATAATTGGTGCTAAAGATGTACAAACAAAAACAACGGAACATTGCTTTTGTTTCAAATAACGCATGACACAACGTAAACCAATGGCTAGATGCTGTTTAACTGGATGTTTGACACATTTTGCTGCTCTTTTCCGTGTACGCTTCAGGGAAATGTTGAGTTTATCTTCATTCAATTCTTCACGAATTAAAGTCAAAAGACGATCTTGAACATCATCGGGTATCACTGGCCAATTGTGTTGGCCAGGTGCAGCAACGTAAATCTTCATAATCTTGAATAAAAGCTAACATAAAAATAGATGTGAATGAGTATTATTGATAAAATAAGATAAAAAAGAAAATTTCTCCTTCTCCTTTTCGTTTTCATTAGTTGAATAAAACAACAACAATAACAAAGACAATAGAAAGAATATGTCCCACCGGTCGGGTGCAGTTGCTCAATCAAGAGTTCTGTTGTATACAAGTCCAGGGAGACAGAAAATCTCTTTCGTGTTTCATTAGGATTCAGGACGGATGAAAAACGCTGATAGAGCAAAACATAGAAACACAATTCCACCGATGAGCGTCACTGTTTTAGGTGAAATACGTTGAGCAACAAAACGGCCGCCTAAAACGGCTAATCCCGTACATAAGCCATGACCGAGTGTACCACCCACAATCACACCGAAGAGATTTTCACTTGCAGCCAAAACAATGGTTGTGATCTGAGATCGATCGCCCCATTCCTAAAACAATCCCCGTTCAAATCTATTCCCATTCGATTCATTCACTTACGGCAAGAAAAGTCATGATAAAAGCTTGAATGAATATAGGTGAAACATAACGACGCAGTAGGATAGTTAGCTTCGACAAGGTATTCTTCTGTTTTGATACCGATTGTGATCGTTGTTGTGATTGACTACTTGAATTTGCTGCCGTTCCGCCACCCAACTCCAAATCATCGGTCGTTTCCGCTTTCTCAACTTCTTGCTGCACTTCTTCATACTCTTCCGTACCTTCATCAGGCGACATTAAATATCCGTCTCTCAACATTTTCACTCCAAAACCCGCAAACAGTACACTTGATACATAGTATGTATAAAGTCGTGGAACGAATTTCGTTACGATGTTTCCCAGTAAAGCTGAAAGAATCGTCATTGTTCCAAGAGCACCCATGGCGCCCGTGTAGATGATCAATCGTGAATGACGCATGGCCATAATTGCTGCGATGAAGAATGTTTTGTCGCCCAATTCGGATACCACAATAACGGAGATGGAGGCAATGAAAGCATGAATGAAGCCAAAGTTTGCACTGTCTTTTATTCGTTCTTTGATTTTATCATGCCAATGGTCAAGATCTGCATGCGATTTATCGTCTCCGCCGATGAAAATTTTTGTACCATTGGGTAACAGAACTGACTTTCGAGGTAAGTGTTCTTCTTGGTAGTGTCTATGCGAATAGAGATAAAGTAGTATAAGAAGAATTGAAAAGCCGATTGTGATGAGGACAACGAGTGGTCGAGTCGATGACAACATTCGACGAAACTAAATTCAACGATAAAAAATGACGATTGATTTTCCTGAAAACAGATTTTCATTTACTTTAACTAAGAGATGTGGACGAATATTAAGCATGGTTAGTTGATTTATAAACGAAATTCAAATGCAATCGAGTAGGAAATGAAGAAATTTGAGATCGTTATTCAAAAACTATCGTGTGGAAATCATAAAGCAGTACAGATCTTAATTAATAAAAAAAAACGATCTAGAAAGACAAAAAGATAAGATTATTGACTAGATATCACTCGATTGATCATCAGTAACGATTTCAACGACATGATCGATCTGCGTTAAGACATTCACTAATTCTAAACTTGTTCTCCAAGCATCAAATTTCGAATCGAAATCATCGATCATATCAGACTGAAAACAATCTCGACGATTCGTAATCTCTTTGATATACTGTTGTAGACATTCGAGAAAACATTCATGAGCGAGATGATTTTCTTGAGACGAATTCTCTTGTCGATCGTACCAATATTTACACAGCTGATCTTCGAATTGACCTGAGCCATTCAAGTAAAAACTCCGTCGTAGAATTTGCCGAAATCGAGATAAACAATGGAGAAATTGTTCGTGTTTAACATCAATTAAACTATCTAATGGAACATACTGAACAATTGTTGCACCTTTGTCGATCATTGTTAACGAAGCATCATCAGGACATGACATGTAATTCAGTGACAATATATGTTCATGATCTACATCAGTTAAATAACTGATGAGAGAATTCTGTCCAATAAAGCGTAATGTTTTGACGGGAATATTTTCGATGAAAATTCGATCGTTACTTTCGATATCTTTCAACTTCTGATCGATAGTTCCTGAACAGATAATGCTTTCGATAGAATATTGTTTCAATATTGATAAGATTAAGTGCAGCCATGATGATGTGGAAGAGATTTGTTTGAGTTTGAGTTTATTGTTATAACCTAGATGAGCGTAATCTTCGAGAATATGTCCATCGATGCATACGGTTCGTCGATATCCGTCGATCGGTTTGTTTATTTGAAGTAATGTACCAGGCATAAATAAACACTTCTCATTTATATGTTTCACACGTGTCAGATGATGAAGATTATCGAAATATGTGATTAAATCTGTCTGAGATATGGATTGGTTTTTGGAAAGTAAATGTACATAGGCTTGATAGAGACTCTCTGAGTATATCGTTTGATGCCGACAGATACGTGAGATGATCTGAGGAGTCAATAGTAGATTCTCGGTAAATTGAGTTTTGGCCACTGATATCGATTGACTAATCAATTTGTCCAAATGATTGAAGATTCTCTTCGAAATTAGTTGATTATTCCCATCGAATACTGGTTGCAGATGATTAAAAAATGCTGTGAGAAAGAACAGCAAAGTTTTACATGAACATCCGTCATATTTCGTATGGAATGTATGTAACGTTTGAATGACCAACGAATGGCACGGATGTTGAAGCTGGAGTTCCTCGATGAATCGAACTGGACACGAAATGTATTGAAACGCGATCGATGAGTCCACACATTTCATTCGAGTATGATCACATAACAATGACAAGACAATAGATTTCAATTGGCATATGTAAGGTAATAGATGATCACAATTTACCAAGCGACTCATCTAAAAAAAGGACAATGTATGTAATGCGAATGTTATATTTAGTCTTAAAAAAAAACAACGAACTGCGGAGTGTCTGTTTGGCGTACGAAAAAAAGACAAGAATGATGACAGTAAAGCTAACAACAATATCAAAGAAAAACAAACAACAACAACAACAATATACCAGAAAATGAATAAAAAGAAGCAAGAAAAAAAACAACAACTGATTATCACAACACAATGTTCAGTTAGTCTTGTGCTTTTGTTTCTTGTTGGTTTTGTTCTTCACAAACCGGGGACAAACATATAAAGACGTACAAATGAGAGAATAAGAGAAAAAAGATGGTCATAAGAGCAATTGAGATATTTGTTTGCTTTTCCTTATTCATCGTAAAGTTCGGACATAATCAAAACAATAAGCGATGACCAACCGGTAAATGGATGACTGCCTTGCCCATTGCCAGTCTTATCATCATATTGTTCCCAAATATGACCTGTTCTTTCATAAATACGAAACATATTAGTAATGAGATTAGTACGTAGTTGCCCGTAGATTTGACGAGCTTTATCAGAATATGGACCCGGAGTTTTTGCATAATGTTGTAATGCTGACAGGACCATATAATTCATATTGATCCATATAGCACCTAAATATGTTCATGATGACATTGAACTAAAATAGTCGTGACTTACCTCTCCAATAAGGTGGATCATGTTCAGTATTTCTGACTCCATACAATGGACTAGATTGAGCTAATGATCGTAAACCGTATTGTGTCCATAATAGACTCGGATTCTGTAGGTCAGTTAAGACTTTGTCAAGTTTGGGAGATTGTGGACTTAATACACGTGTCATCAGTGGAAATAACGAAACATAACCGAAATGTTTGACATATTTGAGCGTCAAATCGGATTGTTTAGTTATTTGGCGAACCATATGCGTTTGCTGTTGTGGTTGTTGCGGAGTAGGTTTACCAACTGGTACGCGATGTAATTGCACATGGTCAGTGTGTAAGCCATAATCAGCATACATTTCATGCTGTTCGGACCAATGCAGTTGATCGAGTTGTTCGTTATTTGAAAGCAATTGAGCGTAGTTCAAGTATTGATTTGTTTGTTCGTTTCTTATTGTTGAATAAAGTTTACCGATAACAGACGATGCCAATGCCATCCAACAGCGTAAATCAACATGCCGTTCTACATCGGTTGGATGGGATGCACGTGGATAATCGTCGAGGCCACTTGTTAATGTTTTGGGATTTAATTCAAATATCGACGAAGCATTACGTCCGCGCCATCGGTATGACAATGGTACGGAACCAGACTGTGTGCGGTTGTACCATTGGTACCATTTTTCAAGTCGTTGGACGAATGGTAAACTAAACATCTGACGGTTTGCAGATGTTTTCAATAAATAATCGATTGTCAAAAAGAAGGTCGGCGGATTGGCATTGTTTGTGTATTGAACAATAAATTCCGCTGGTACACGTGCACGAGCTTCATTACCAAGAATGATTTCCTAGAAATCGAAGATAATTTCAAGGGATTGTAATTCGTGAATATGATCTCTTACTCGAGGAATCCATCCGTTATCATTGAGCATATCGAACCAATGAGACAGGATGTCCATAGTTAAGTTTTTATTCCATCGAGCAATGACTAAATTATGAAAACCTTCATCCCATAGGAAACCGCGTGGAAAGAATGAACGAGACGGAACGGCTGTATATAAACTTGTCGACCAATATTCATCCGGCACTTTTTGATTTGGCTTGGCTACTAGGGATTTTCCTGAAAGTGAAAATATGTCGATTAACAATCTAAGAATTATGTTGTGTTACCTGTGAAATATGAGACTCCGCCGATTAAATTGCTCAATGTTGATCGAGCGAAATGAATTTTCTTCGAATCCATGTTTTGTTTCGATTTCAATTGAAAAATATTCTCAAAACGTTCGTCGAATTGTTTTTGTAAACGCGTGATTTCTTCATTGAAATAATATCCTGTTAGATCTTGCTCTCGAACATGATTCGATGAGTCCGATTGATAGATAACATCGAACGAGAATGTGTCACTGGAAATTGGTTGTGTTAGAGTTATTTGAACGAAAAATGTGTTATGTTCAAAATCTTTAAATGGCTGCTCAGCAAGGTAAAAGTACGGTTGATCGCGGGAGGTTGCTGCGAATTTTGTCAAGAGAGTTTCATGGATTTTGTCTAAATGAAAAACGTCCGTCAATGTACGAGTGACCGCATGGTGCGACGGAGTGTTGGATTTGATTTTGATGGTAAAACTATCAAGTTCGTTTGTTTGACCACGGACGGCCACAGTGTCGGGCGATTGATTTGAGTTGGAATTGATTTCATCGATCCATGGTAGATCATGGTGGAAATAGAAGAATAACGATATTGGAATGGTACGATTAGTAGACTAAAATAAAATAAAATCAATTCCAAGGATCATTCCTGTCAAAGGTCTCTCGTCGTTCTGGATGAACGTTGATAAACATATGAATCAAAATGAAACAATCAACTGATGGACTGCGCCAGATTGCCATTCTTTGCGAGCATCATGGTGTCAGATATTGTTTTCTCTTACGAATGAAATTTTCGTCTGCATACCTGTGGTGTGACAGTAATTCTTGCTGTCCAATCTCCACCGTGTTGTCCGGTAATTTGTTTGAGCCATTGGATATTCAATTGTAAATTATCATCGGTAATTTGTTCGATGCCGAATGTTTCACCATCATGATAAGTCCATCCATACTTTAAACGATCATTCTGATCACACCAATGCCTATATTCCTTTTTCGATAAGGAAAACAATTCACCCAAATGAACTCATTTACCTTAAGAACCGATCTTGAGATTGTTGCACTTTGCCATAATCAAACCACATCAATCCTCCACTTAATGATCGCACACTACGATGTTTCATGCCGAAGTATAGATTTGATCTGAACAGGAACATATGGTGTGATAATTACCTTCCTGTCCTAGCGTTAGTCATTCTTACCTATACGTTCCCCAGAAATGTTTGGGATCGACTTCCGGCGTTGTATCATTCACATTCACAAGCTTGGGTAATTTGATAGGTATATTTGTGTGCTCATACTGACTTCGATATTCCATCACAGTTAGAAATCCTCGATATAAAGTAAATGCAACTAAACCTGCAATAATCAATGTGACGACATAAGGTGGGACGGTGAATGGAAGTTGCTTCTTCATTAAACTTCTATATAAATAGTCAAAACGTGATCGACTATTGGTTGGAAAGTGCCGATGTTGATTTCGTCGTCTTGCAGCAGCAGCCGCGGCAGCAACGTTCGGGTTTCCATTACTAACTTCGTTGTTTATACTCGATGGCCGTTTACTATCGAGTTGGCGACGACGCTGAGTCATTTTTGCACTCATGGTTTCTTCTTGCTCTTCTCTATTACTTATACATCTAAAAACGAAGTTTATATGTTAATAATAAAATACACAATAGTGTTGTCTGCATGTTTGTTTGCTTGTTCATTTCAAGAGATGTAAAAATTGCACGAATCAGTACATTAGAAACAAATAAAACCATTAGCGAGTAGTGAGAGTAAAAAGAAAAACGAAAATGCACAATCACCTTTAGAAGATATAGAAAACAAGAATGTCTCCAGGTGAGATTCAGATCGGAAGATAAACTATTCGAAAAATTTAGAATGTTTTACGATGGATAACTTTGGCACCTTCGGTGTCGTATTCGCGTTTGGTTACCCATATCTTTTTGAATGTATCAAGAGAAGCCAAAATGGAGCCACTGAAACAAACAAGCAAACATGAATATAGTTTAAATAACACGATAAACTCACCCGATCCATGTTGAGTAGAGACGTTCGCGGGGTGCGGATATTTTTATCTTCACTTCTTTCGGTGCAATTCGTTTCAGCTCACCAAGTAAACGGTCACCAAAACCTGAAATATCGTAATGAAAGTGTCGAACCATTCCTTCGGTTCACCTACCGCGAAACAGTGTTGATCCACCAGATAATACAATGTTTTGATAGAGTGTTCGGCGTAAATCCATATCAGATCTCTGAATCGAACCTGACAAAATTTCATGTACACCTTCACATTCTTCTCCGATTAGTTCAGGATTGAATAAAACTTCGGGTGCTCGATAACGACTTGTACCAAGCTAGAAATCATTTCTGTATAATCGCCTTTCTCTTCACCTAATCTCTCCTACTTCGATCGATGTTCCATCCGGCAAGGTAAACTGTGATTTATCACCTTGACCTGCGTCATCTTTCTGTGCTGTTGGCGAGAGAAAACATGCTCGCTCTTTAATACTTTTTACTATTTCAAATTCTGCTGTTGTTTTGAAGGTATATCCTTCTTTTCTTAGTAATAATTTCAAATAACGTGTTACATCTCGACCTGCAACATCATTACGAAGAATACTATGTGGCATAGCAAATCCTAAACGACAAAAGAAATTACAACGACGATCTGATCGACTGGAGAACCGCAGACCTTCATAGATCGGCACCGCGTGAGTGACTCCATCTCCAGAATCGAGAACTACACCGGTTGTTCTTCCACTTGCGTACAAACTAAGAATTGCTTGCATGGAAATAAATAAAGCTGGAACATTAAATGTTTCAAAGAAGATTTCTGCTGCTTTTTCACGATTTTTTCTTGGATTCAGTGGAGCTTCAGTTAGCAATACAGGATGCTAAAGTAGAACGATTGCTTTCACATTTCATTTCAAAAATTCGATTTACTTCTTCAGATGCCGATCTCAATTGATCTTTTGAATAAACATATGTCCAAATTCTTTCCATATCATTCCAATCTTGCACTATTCCATGTTCCATCGGATGTGCAATATGTAGAAGTCCTCGGTATTCTTCTGCTTTAGGACCGATGAAGATATCACCTTCCAAACCACCAGCCATTACACGAACATGTTTGGGTCGTCCGACATAATTCGGAAAGTTGATCTTAGGAATGGGATCACCGGCAAAGCCAGCTTTGATCATACCCGATCCATTATCGATGACGATCGGTTGGTTTGTAATTAAAACTTCATTATCCATTTTGGATCTTTGAGAATCAACAATGATTTATTTTCTTTTTCTTTGTAAAGAAATGAAAAAGGCTCATAAGCAACCAATTGCTAGATGGTTGAAAAGAAACGCTTCTCATTGGTCGACGGGCCTCGCCAATCATTGCATCGCAGAATGGAACTTTTGTCTCTCTGCACTTCATTCATATTTCATCAATCAAGATGACGGATTCGATGTCTGGACGTTTGAAACGTTTCGATGCGTACGCGAAAACGCTCGATGATTTTCGTATTCGAACAACCAGCGGCGGATTTGTTACGATAATTAGTTCAATTCTCATGTTCGTTTTATTCTTTATCGAATTAAAATATTACTTGTCAATCGATGTCGTTCAAGTTCTATTTGTTGATACGAGCCGACAAGAGAAAATGAATATCACTCTCGATATCAAATTTCCGGCCTTGCCTTGCAATTATCTAACGGTCGACGCCATGGATGTTTCAGGCGATTCTCAAACAGACATCGCACATAATTTATTTAAAACAAGATTAGATTTAAATGGAAATGTTCTTCAAGATGAAAGTATCAAAGTGTCTTTACAGCCTATATCTAAATTGAATAATACCAAGGCGAATAACGAACATATTGAATCGAGCACGAAAGCCGAATGCGAATCGTGTTATGGTGCAGAATCAGCCGTACAAAAGTGTTGCCCGACATGTGAAGATGTGAAACAAGCTTATCGAGTGAAAGGCTGGTCATTTAATCCAAGTAAGTTCGCTGTTCTCATAGGAATGAATGTTAAGTTTGTCTTCAGGTGGTGTTCATCAATGCGCTCGTGAAGGAATAACAACTGATACACACGCTGAGGTGAAACTAGACGAAGGTTGCCGCTTGCATGGTCATTTAGAAGTGAACAAAGTAGCTGGTAATTTTCATATTGCACCCGGTCATTCCTATCAACAGCAACACGTCCATGTTCATTCGTTACAAAATCTTCGTTTAAATTCGCTTAACACGTCGCATTATATCGATGATTTAACATTTGGTAAACGTTTTCCTAATCAAATCAATCCTCTTGTAAACACGAAACATGTGACGAGTTCTCATGACAACGGTGCCGTTCTTTTTCATTACTATGTGAAAGTTGTTCCATCAACGTATGTGTTTCTGGATGGCACAGAGCTACTTACCAATCAATATTCCGTGACTAAACATAAGAAAATTATCAAAAACATCTTCGATGCATCCGATCAACAATTACCCGGAACGTTTTTTACTTATGAAATAAGTGCTATTATGGTGAAATTTGTCGAACAAAAACGATCGTTAGCTCGGTTTCTGACTTCGTTATGCGCAATTATTGTAAGAGCATTTGTTCTCTTGATCGAATGTTTAATATTTTGATTTGTAGGGAGGTGTTTTTACAGTTTCAAGTCTTATCGATGCTTTTCTTTATCGTAGTAGCTGTATGTTACATAAACAAAGTGAACTTGGCAAAGGCACTTGAGTCCGTCTTCTATTCATTTCTTGCAATATTATTTTTTAGTTATAAATATGTTTTCGTTTTATTGCTGTTAGCAGAATTGTTATTTACCTTCCGAAGACGAGTTTGTCAAACAGAAAAAAAACACAGATCAGATCTCAATTTTAGATAAACATGCGTTTTCGTCAGTTGGTCAATCCGACACATAAAGGTCTCTATGATGTATGTTTGAATCAAGCACCATTTTATCAAAATGAAGTCGTTGAAGGTATGTTGAAGAAGACAAATTCATTCGAAAACTAGAGTTCGTTGAAATAGAAATTCGACCTGATCACAATTATTGTCGACTATGGATTGATGATCCTACGATTCCTACTGCGCTTCCTCGTGTTCAACTCTTCTTCAATTCCACTTCAACGTATGTGAAATCGACCGTTTCCTCGTGATTCAATACCAACCTTTATATTTAGAGATGATTCACAAGTCGATATCGATAGCAGTTTCGAACAAAATGATCAGAATGTGGAGAAGATCCATTGGGCACCTATGATCAAGACAAACATTCCAGACACGTTCGAATTTGTACAACAATCTGATAAAGTTCTTACTCCGGAACGAGCAGAATTCGTTCACGATATTGAACAATTGATTGACGAAACGTGCATTGCAGCGTTAAGTTGCGATTCTGTACGTTAAATTCCAATTTTCTTCAGATTATCGTTGAATCTTCTTTTTAGAACACATCTGATGTTGTCTATTGGCGTTTATCTGTTCACAATATTGTTGCTCGACTGTACTCTCTACTCAATCGACAATCCGACGTAAATCTTAATCAGAATAGCTAATAATTAAAAATGTTGTTTTTTTTTGTTACTTAGGACGAAGATCTGCTTGAGTGGCTACATGAATACATATGTCAAACATACGATCAAACATTCATTGGCCACTATGTTGATCTCTTTCAAATACTCTATCATGAGGTTTAACAATTTTTCCTTCGAAAGAATCACTTTCTCATTCGATTCAATTTAGTACCCTAATATGCGTGCATTATTCACTGAAAAAGTCAAAACTTGGCCCGCGACAAGTCTTTGTGCATATGTTTACAATAAATTACTTCAAAAACCTACTGATTTAACCGAAGAAGTTATTTACAGCATAACTCTGGTAATTCGAATATAGAATAATTGAAATCGATTCTATTCCATTATTTTTCAGTCTTCATTAACTATGCCCACAGTTTGCATGCTAATACCCGGTTTAATCTACGAGGGTCACAAGGAACGTATACAGTTCTGGCAACGAAATCTTTCACAAGTAGCGATAGTCATACTTACAGAAGCAATTGAAAAAAATAACAAATCCGAACAAATACAAGTTCAGACAGCATACGAAGATATCCTTGCCAAGTTTAATGAAGTACAATTTTGACTTTTATTTGACGTACTTGAAATGGTGGGACTAATTTAGACTCGTCAACTCTACCCTCGCCATCATATCATTCTTCTTGGTTGGAATGTTGGTGCTATTCTTGCACTCAAAGCTGCACTTGTTTGTCCGGTCTCGTCAGTCATCTGTATGTCTCCGCCTTACCTTGCTCTCTCTGAAGAATCAAAGGTAAAAGTAGCTGATTTTGATACACCGAATGTTAAATATATTTCCTGTTAGAATGATTTTGCACAAATTAATACGTCGATCTTATTCATAACCGGTGAAAGACAACATTCTGATCAACTTGAACAATACCGTCAACGGTTGAAATCTCGGAATGGTTTAATTGAAATGGGTGGTTGTAATGATAAGTTATGCATGTCTGAAGATGGAAAATATCGTTTTCGGCTGATACAACGGTTGATTGATAAACTACTGATGGTATGGAGAGTTGCGATGATTGAAATTGAAGAGATTGGTATCGAGATTTTCCTTTCAGCAAGAAATTATTGATTTTTTGACAATACTATCACCTAAATCAAATCGAAATCCGTTCGAAGATGCTGACGAAGAGAATAAAAAGAAGAAAACCGAATCGATCCATTCCGCGACATCGACGCAACTTGACGATTCTAGTAAATAAGAAAATTTTCTCGGCCTTATTTCCATAATTACGAAAACTATCTCTATCTAGACGATCCATTTCTCTACATGGGAAACAATAGTAATTCCCTGATAACACTAACTATTCCACCCGACCAAGATCCCAACTCAATCTTTTTGAATACTGTCTTTCCAACAACTTCAACTACACGAAAACGCAAAGGTTCAACATTGACAAACTCAGTCGACAAAACTCGACCATCAACTACTCAAACGTCCAATCCTACCGGTGCGAAACGCGGACGTCATCGAACGAAAAACCTTCCACTGCCTGGCGATATGGAATGGGCACCTAGCAAAGAAAAACGTCCAGCGAAAACCACGACGAAAAAGGCTAAACAAACAATGCCGCCAACAGCAACAACAAGTATCCTCAATACCCTATTACAATTACCTGCCAATCAACCGAAACAACGACCGACTGATTCCAATCTAATCAAACCTGTTCACCAACCACCGTCTTTTGTTAATACCATTCTTTCGTCGAATACTTTTCTTTAAATAACTATGATCTTCAGCATTAGATTCGCTTTTTGTTGTATAAAAATGTATGATTGTTGTATATATTCATGTATATCTCTCTTCCAGATGACACGTCATTCGAAAAATTCGACAGCAAATGCTGTTTATACTTATCATGAAAAGCATAAAGATTCAACGACAGGAGGTTATGGCACAACACAAATGCGTCTGAGTAAAGATGCTATCAAAGAGTTCGATTGCTGTAATTTAACTCTTCAACCATGTCGCGATCCGGTTATTACAAAAGATGGATATCTGTTTGATAAACAAGCTATACTTGGTAAGAGTATTTAAACGAGAGTTTTTGATGAGTTTGAATTGTTATAGAATATATTATTCATCAAAAGAAACTCAATGCACGTAAAATGCGTGAATATCAAAAACAACTTGACCGTAAACAACAGGAGATCGACGAACAAAATGCCAATGATCGACAGAAAAAGATCAATAAATTTCTTGAAAAAGAGGCAACTTACTCTGTCAATCAATCCGTTAAAACTCTTCTTTCATCAAAAAATCCCGAACAATCCATGTCTTCGATTCTCGCAACACCCATATCAGCAGCATCAGGAAACGATTCGAGAACAACTTCGACAAGGATCTCAACCAATGATGCTGACGATGATGACAACGTACCTGAAACTCCGCTGTCAACAGCAAGTTCATCATCGCAGATGAATAACATGGACGGTAGTCAAGCGAAACAATTGCCAAGCTTTTGGATTCCATCGTTGACTCCAGCAGCAAAAAAATCAGATATAAAAAAACCGGATCAACATGTTTATTGTCCAATATCTGGCAAGCCCATCTCAATGAAAGATATGATTGATGTCAAATTTAAATTAGCTAATGATGTCGATCCAAAAAAGCGACCCTTAGTCGCCGTACGTGATCGATACGTATGCGCTGTGACTGGTGATGTTCTTGGTAATTCTGTACCTTGCGCAGTTTTACGAACATCGGGTAATGTCGTTACTATGGATTGTGTGAATCGACTGATTAAATTAGATATGGTCGACCCGATCACGGGTGACAAACTAACGGACAATGACATTATTCCAATGCAACGTGGTGGCACTGGTAAGAAAATGAGATCTATTCAATGCGGTGAAACGCATGATGAATATTTACGTTTTCTTTCAGGATATTCGGGATCAGGTGTGCAACTGGATGCGAAGTTACCGACGCCTGCAATGCAGTAATTATCGGTTGTGTGTGTGTGTATATGAGTTGATGTGATCGTCATTTTGTCTCTTTTTTTGTGTCAATAAATCGAAGCTTAACTCAACGAACGAAATTTATGCGTTAATCAACACACACTGACTGCTAAGGCCATCTATTGTGCAAATTGATGCTATGTAGATAGTTTTCTCTGAAGTGACCTCTTTTATATGACACGCATACCAGTCAAATTCGATTGGTGTGAAAGAGAACACACACGTGTACGTTTTCTCATATCCATATTTTCCTACTGCCCTCATCGCCTATTTACCATCCTTCAAATACAAAATCAATTCGCCATAGATCATTCATTCCTTGTTTTTAACTAACGAACATGCCAGCTTCACCTAGTGGAACAAGCGTAAGTATTCTTGCTTAGACTAAATTTTCCTAAGTTGTACACTATTCTATCTTGATTAGGTTGGTAAAGGCGATGTTAGTAAGGCTGCAGGACCAAGAGCCTCAGCTGGAGCTGCCGGCCTTCGTAATCGTAAACCGACAACTACAACTCGTAGTCGACCAGGTGCACCCGGTGGTGGTGGTGCAAGTGCTGGCGTATGGCGTTTCTATACTGAAGATTCACCAGGTCTTAAAGTTGGTCCCGTACCCGTACTTGTTATGAGTTTGATTTTTATTGCCAGTGTATTCATGTTGCATATTTGGGGAAAATACACAAAATAAACGTGCAATCTATTTACACTGCGAATGATTACTAGACATTTGTTATTGTTGTTTTATCTTCTGTTAGCGTTTTTTTGTCATGAAAAAATATATACTGCGGCGTCTATGATTGGTCTTAGTGTTTGTGTTAAATTCAGTTCTTTTTTCAACTCTAAAGAAAAAAACAGCATGAATTCATAGAATACATCTTCACAAAGTAACTTTCAATTTATTCAATTGATCTACTTGAAAGCAAACGATTGTTTGTCGAGAGATCCCGATTGGATGCTTATTTATTTTAGAGTAGAGAAAAATATCACAATAAAACAACACATGTTTCTGTCGATTTCTAATTAGCATATAAATAAATCTATTAAATGTGTATGTTTCGGACTTGTGAACTGCTTCGAGAGTTTCTGAATGTGCTTTTTGAATTGTACTGATCGGTGGGGCGTTTTGTTCGTCATCATCCATCGTCCTTCGTCGTCCTGTAACGATGGATTCGATTCGACGATGTCCTGTACAGTTCGCAAAGGTGAGGTCGTTTTCGGTATATGAACGTCTTCACAATTTTCAATCAATTGTTGAAAGCGTTGATCATTGACCCCTGTTCTCGATTTATCTGATAGATGAGAATTTACATTGGAGGTATCGTCAACCTCGCCGAAGAGATCTTTGACTGTTATTGGTTGAATGTAATGAGAACGAACATGATCGAGCGAGTGATAAGGACGACCTCTCGGTTGAGCTAAGCGATTGATGCGTTCCATGGATTCTTGTTTTCGTTTCGTGAGCACTTTCGGCGTGATTGGTTGAAGTTTACTAGTCTTACTCTGAATATTAGATTGCGCAATTGAACGAGATGATGCCGGCTGAAATGTGGATAGAATCGATTGATCACTCTTGTTTAAACTAAGTATTGACGATGCCAAACTGCGGTTTGTAAGCGGTGTTGTCTGGGCGATGTATCTAAAGAAAGCACAGGCATTTAAAATTTCACCAAACATTTCAGAAGTAGGCGTGAGTGCGTTCGAAAAGGAAAATCATCGAATGAATACATGCAGTGCCGGGGAACAAAAGAACGTGAAAGATTTCAATGTTTATTCAAGTTCGAAATCTTCCACTTCAAAATGTTTTGCGGAACATATGCTATGAATAAAAAGGGTTTTAAAAAAAATAACTTCAAGAGAAATTTATCTTGACAACATACGGTAGAAGGCCAGGCATTCCTCTTTCCGCTCTCGCTCGTTGCTGTTCAAGGAAATTCTTCTTATCGAGATCAGATCGAGTCATCGTGCGATATCGTTCGGTGGATAAGTCGTACATATCGGCGAAGAATTGTCGATTAAGGATAGCATTTTGTTTCGTATCCGTGGGCATTAAACTTCCTCGTTCACCTAATTTTTCTAGCTTCACATCCTTTTCCATCCATAATGAGATTTCGATCGGAACTTGCCGTGGCGATGTGGACATGGTTCACACGAGATGAAATAGTTTTCAAATGTTTTCTTCGCAACAAAACAATTGCTTTCAACATAGTGTACATTAAAAAGAAAGTATGTTGATTTTTCCTTTTCTCCTACAGGGTCATGTGTTAGACAACAATCCATTTCGATGACGTTCACTATTAGTTTTTCTTGTTTGTCATCAAAAACAGAAAGAGGTTCCATTAATCGAATTGGCCACTTCAAGTGATTAACCTCAGGAAATAATTTCGTTCTGTTTCTAAGCCTTATCAATGTTACAACGTTCTCGTGTCTTTCCCTTATCTTGTCTTCTTTTTCGGGTTGCATCAATGTAAGTTTTGTCAATTCATTTTGCTTGTCGCACTATTTGAGAATAGACATTATGGCGGTCAGACGACCAACAATTTTGGATATGCTATCATCAAGATTGGAATCTTTGCCATCGTATGAGAATTTGAATAAAAAATCTGATGAGCAAGCAGTGTTTAACGAAGAACAGGAACCATCATCTGGCTTGATCAATCTAATACGACGAAATTCTTATATTGAAGATGATGAAAATATATCTTCGGCAGATGTTGTAAGCATATTGGTCAAAAGATTCTAATTCGCAGTCGAATTGCTTGTTTAGACAGAAACTGATGATTCACAAAATGACGATTCAGTGGATGACGGATTAAAAAGTGAGCCACACGCTACCCCAAGACCTTCAATGGTCAAAAATTTCGACGAACTAAATTCTGTCAGTACTGTTGACGATGAGGAAGCACAAATGAATTTACTTAAGACTCCCTTGAAACATCTATTCATTCTAAGTGAAAACGGTAAACCCGTATTTACACGGTACGAATCTTTGAGTATTCAGATTCTTCGCACTATTCATCTACTTTTAGATATGGAGATGAGGATCTTTTGGTGACTCTAATGGGTGTTATGCAAACACTTGTGTCGTTTGCTGAGTTGGCTGATTCTAGTCAACTGACTTATTTGAAAGCGGGCCGTAATCGTATCGCATTTCTACATCGCGAGCCATTGATATTCGTTTTAGTAACACATACTAACGAACATTCGATGTGTCTTATTCAACAACTAACATATGCTTATCATCAAATCATAAGTACATTGACATTAAGTCGTATTAAACAGAAATTTGCTGTCCAACCAAATTTCGACCTACGTCGATGGCTATCGAGTGCCGAAAAGAAATTGTTAATGAATATAATCGATATGTATGAACATGACATGGGAATGTTAATGACATCAGCGCGATGTTTGATCATGTCACCAAGTGTTCGGAGTCAAATTGGCCAAATTGTTGCCCTAACCATTCGAGGGCAAAAGGTAGACGAAGAACGAAACGACTCTTCTCGTTTAAATCAACTACTTTTAGGATATGCTATTTGCTATTATATTCGCCCATGGTCATTTAGTTTCAATCGCTCGTTTGAGAAATTATCATTTACATCCAGCGGATCTTTATCTTCTAATCAATCTGGTCAACAGCTCGGATGCTTTCAAAGGCGTCGAATCTTGGGTGCCCGTGTGTTTACCGCGATTTGATACCAGGTTTCGTCTAACTTACGAATGAATTTTCAAAGAAACTTCTCTTCTCTCTCTGTCTCTCGGTCGGTAGTGGGTGTCTACACGCACACATCTCGTATCTAGATGATGCTTGTGACGTATGTTTCGTCTTGTTAACTGTGAATCCTGAACATTTTCAAATTCTGTCCGACTTTAAGCAAACGATTGCGAACGTAAGATACGCTAATGTCGTTTTTGATATTTCGTCTAGCTTTTCTCTCGTCATTAGAAACTGAGAAAACAAAATTTAATTACACAAATTAAACAAGCATTAGAAAGAGAGCGTCTCTTATCAGATGAAATGGCATGTCCTGAATTACGCTATTTTGCGTACAAATCACGAGGTTTAAGTCAATATATTTCGTCGAAACTACTAAAACCTTATCTGACTAACGATCAGCATGTTCGATTATTTGAACTGATTCGTTTTGTTTACGGACGACTTCACCATCCGACTCATCAATTAAAACTCGTCTATTATGTAACCGAGCACGAAGCAATACTCGGATGGGTTTGTTTCCTTTTTGTTCATCACTCGGAAGGAAGATTTCGGTTTCTTTTTCGTTTAGTTGGCACCGGGCTTCGAATTGCATGTAGTGTTTTCGCCGTTAATTACATTGGATAATGTTATTCTTTGTACCGATCGAATATTATCGTATATCAGACGGGAGGAAAGTCAGTTATTCATAATGAGATGCGAATATTTTTGAGGAAAATTAAACGAGTATACTAATTGCAATTTGAATGATGAAAACAATCTTTCAATAAATAATATTTTACTCATTGTACGTCGAGACGACGTCGATGTTGATATTATTGACATCTCCGATCCAAGGAAAATATCTAAGATCTCATGTTTTTCTATGTTGACGATGAAATCTTGTTGTCTCAAGGTGAACTTCGATTCATTTTTTGATAAATACTCAAGGGTAGAATGAATGTCTGTCGTCAAGATAAGATTATTATGTAACGCTATGTTAGATCTATCAACTAGAGCGACCTTGAAAATGTTGATCAGACACGAAACATTGATGAATGAATGAACAACAATCAAGTCGAACGCTTGTAGACGTTTTGAACTTATGATTCTGCTCATCAATGACAATATAAGGCAAGAGAATAGATACACACATGCACAATTTTGTTCAATCAATATTTTGGCTCGTGAAATAAAACTCAAAATTGAAAGAAGGTCAAAAATATTGGCCTTGTTAAGGCAAACGATTTCTCACAACGTCGAGGGTGACTATTTTCATTGTTCGTCTTTTTCATCATTATAAGAAATAAATCAACCGACATTGAACATTCACATTTAGAGTGAAAGGATCGACTATCTATTTTAATGTTTCTTTGATTGATTTAAAATGGATATTGTCACAGTGATAAGTGTCTTCACGACGTCCTTCAATTATCAATCAGATGTATGTATATACATGTACTCCAAGCTCAATCGAATAGCCTTTTCTTTCGTTCGTCGGTTTTTTTTCGTCTTGCAAGACGCGACATATTCTCTCGTTGTAGAAGAAAAACGAAGAGAAAAAACGAAGCGTACACGAATCAACTTCGTTTACAAGCGTTGTTGCGACACGGTTCATCTATCTTCATTTACTTAGAAAAAGGCCCGTTCTTTTATCATCATCATCATCATTATCATCATCATTTAACAGCAAGGAAAAGAGGCGAAGAGAGGACAAACGTTTTGAAAAGTTTTCATCCATTTAACCCACTAATCATGCAACAAGTTTCACCAGCTATTCTTCAAGCTCGTTATCCTCCACCTTATCACCAATATCCAACGCTTTCAGTTGGAAGTCCTCAATCCATCAAATCAATCGACACCACAGTATTCGGACCAAGTGTTCCGCCGCTGAAAAATGCCAAACTAGCGCCGCACAATGCCATGAATCATAATCATAACAACAATAATAATACCAATAGTAATAATAATAACAATGGACACACTACGATGAATAATGGGCAATCCATTCCTGAAGTCGACCCACGTCGTTTGATTCTCTTCAATTTACCTGCTGATCTCGTTCAAGAATATCTTGAGCTATATCTCGAGCATTTGTCTGGCGAATCAGAAATCGAACGGATTGATTATTCCAATCTCGAAGATACAACAGTTATGGTCACATTCAAAACTGAACTTGGTTCGTTCGTTGTTCTCGATTCTATTGTAAGATCTCTTGCTATCATGTTTCAGATATGAATGAAGTTCGTCGTCGTCATGGTACACGGTCGAAGTTGAATAATTCTGAAATAGCTCTAGCAGAAGTCATTGCACCAGCCACAGTCATGATACGAAATTTACCGGCAGATATATCTCGTGATGTCCTTGAATTATACTTTTCCAATCGGCGTCGTAGCGATGGCGGACAAGTTGTTGATGTGACACTTGATAAAGAGCATCAACATGCACTCGTTACATTCGCTGACTACAGAGGTTACAACGAGACGAACCCTAATCGCTTGTTCATTTCTATGTTTTCCTTTCAGATGTTCGTCGAGTCATCAAACGTGAACATTTGATACATAACCATCGTCTTGATGTACGCATCTTTTACGCTCACATGGGCGTGGAACCATTTATCGATGCCTCCAATGTGGGGAAAAAGCCTGATCCGATCTGCTATCGAGGATCTGATGATAGTCGATATGCATTTTTGCTAAAAAATCGTCCGTTACTCGATGAACTTCGCGATCAACTGAAAACCATCAATGGTCATATTAATCTACAAAACGAAGGCGTTATAGAGATCAATTTTACGGAATCACGTCTAACGGTCAAACGTCGATTGAAATGGGCGAAAGATATTGAAAAGTTAGTCGAGCACTTCCTTACCGAACGTCTCGTTGTTCACAAAGTTCCATGGAATAATAATAAAATTCCTCAGATCACCTCCGAACAACTAGCCGAACTTTCGTTGAAAGATAACACGCGTTTAATGCAATTAGCACCATCAGATACCCAACAGGATCACATCATCGTCACTGCGTTGAAAGAGCATCTAGATCGAGCATTGAGTGAATTAACCGACATGTTAACAACACGTACAACAACAAATAAAAANTTGTTGCGACACGGTTCATCTATCTTCATTTACTTAGAAAAAGGCCCGTTCTTTTATCATCATCATCATCATTATCATCATCATTTAACAGCAAGGAAAAGAGGCGAAGAGAGGACAAACGCTTTGAAAAGTTTTCATCCATTTAACCCACTAATCATGCAACAAGTTTCACCAGCTATTCTTCAAGCTCGTTATCCTCCACCTTATCATCAATATCCAACGCTTTCAGTTGGAAGTCCTCAATCCATCAAATCAATCGACACAACAGTATTCGGACCAAGTGTTCCGCCACTGAAAAATGCCAAACTAGCATCGCACAATGCCATGAATCATAATCATAACAACAATAATAATACCAATAGTAATAATAATAACAATGGACATACTACAATGAATAATGGTCAATCCATTCCTGAAGTTGACCCACGTCGTTTGATTCTCTTCAATTTACCTGCTGATCTCGTTCAAGAATATCTTGAGCTATATCTCGAACATCTGTCTGGCGAATCGGAAATCGAACGGATTGATTATTCCAATCTCGAAGATACAACAGTTATGGTCACATTCAAAACTGAACTTGGTTCGTTCGTTGTTCTCGATTCTATCGTAAGATCTCTTACTATCATGTTTCAGATATGAATGAAGTTCGTCGTCGTCATGGTACACGCTCGAAGTTGAATAATTCTGAAATAGCTCTAGCAGAAGTCATTGCACCAGCCACAGTCATGATACGAAATTTACCGGCAGATATATCTCGTGATGTCCTTGAATTATATTTTTCCAATCGACGTCGTAGCGATGGCGGACAAGTTGTTGATGTGACACTTGATAAAGAGCATCAACATGCACTCGTTACGTTCGCTGACTACAGAGGTTAGAACGAGACAAATCCTAACCGCTTATTCATTTCCATGTTTTCCTTTCAGATGTTCGTCGTGTCATCAAACGTGAACATTTAATACATAACCATCGTCTTGATGTACGCATCTTCTACGCTCACATGGGCGTGGAACCGTTTATTGATGCCTCCAATGTAGGAAAAAAGCCTGATCCGATCTGCTATCGAGGATCTGATGATAGTCGATACGCATTTTTGCTGAAAAATCGTCCGTTACTCGATGAACTTCGCGATCAACTGAAAACCATCAATGGTCATATCAACCTACAAAACGAAGGCGTCATAGAGATCAATTTTACGGAATCACGTCTAACGGTCAAACGTCGGTTGAAATGGGCGAAAGACATTGAAAAGTTAGTCGAGCACTTCCTCACCGAACGCCTCGTTGTTCACAAAGTTCCATGGAATAATAATAAAATTCCTCAGATCACCTCCGAACAACTAGCCGAACTTTCGTTGAAAGATAACACGCGTTTAATGCAATTAGCACCATCAGATACCCAACAGGATCACATCATCGTCACTGCGTTGAAAGAGCATCTAGATCGAGCATTGAGTGAATTAACCGACATGTTAACAACACGTACAACAACAAATAAAAATCATATTCCACTAACCGACGCTGTCTACCGAAGTAAACCAGTCAGTGCAACGCGTGATCCGAAAGTGAACAATCATCGTTCATCGTTATTGATTCGAACCAATTCCCCAACCAAAGGAAGTTACAATAACATTGAACTACCCCCGCCACCTGCACATGTTCCACCATCCGTGGCAATTATTGATGACAGTCTTGAGAATTTACGTTTATTTCAAATCGATCTTCTTGCAATGCGCTTCATTGACTTAGCTCGGCGTACCTATACGAATTTAACAGTTGATATTGATCGAAATGATCGACGTGTTGTTTTACGTGGTCCGCTCGATCAAGTAAATGTTTGTAAAACATATTTCGAATCCATACTCAATGGAATTGTTCATAAACATTATAGAATAGGAAAAGAAATGGCAGTTTTCCTATCAAATCCCGATACAGGTAATTCGGAAGATGAACGTCGAATTTATTCTCACATTTGTCTTTTCTAGTGGAAATCGTTATTGATAATTTAACACGTGCTGATTTCGTTTGTGCCTATGAAATCGAACGTGTCACCGATCATCATCGACGAAGTTCAGCTTCGCCAACGCCAACGATGAATGGTCACGGGCAAACAACAAATAATAATCATCTTAAACTTGTCCTATATGGTCTATCACGCGAAGGTTGTGATCGTGCTTACGACTTTCTTCGTCATGATATCCGCGTTAGTTCGATTATGTTAGATAAAGATGATAAACGTTGCTTAGCGAGTGACTCTTGGCATGCATATGTACGCGATCTTTACGCTAATCCTAATGGTTTTCGTCGTCGACGTGTTTTATTACAAGTCAAGCAAAATCAATTAACATTCGTTGGCTTTGAACAAGACGTCGACGCGATGCGAAAACAAATTTATGATTATTTTGTGGAAAATGCGATCTCATTCTATGAATCAGACTGAACAGTTTGCAGTGACAATGAACAAGAAGAAGAAGAAGAAAACAATTAACTTAAATAAAGCACGACAATAAGAATAAAGAATTTCTTTCGATTTTTTTTCTTGTATTTCAAATGTAGAATTAGAACACAAAAACAATTTTGACCTGTTTGTTTATAGAGAATTATGCCTAAGATATCATGGCGAATTGCTCGTTCGTCGTCTCTTTGTCAACATGTAATTACCGTTGACTTTTATTTCCCAATGAGATTTTACCCTTTTTTCTATCTAATTGAAAACGAAAGATGACCATTAAATAATGGGACGATGTTTTACTTCGATAATATTAAGTGAACGAGGATAATCAATCTTAATGATCGAAAAACTCGCCTAGCCATGAAGATCGAACAGTCACGTTCACCTTGACCTTAAAAATCGTGACATTTACTAAAGAATAATTATCTCAAAATGACAACAGATAAACGGTAATCAAATACTAATTTATTTCGCATGTCTTGTTAGGAAATTTATATGCAAACTTTCTTTCTTTAGTTGTGTCTAACAATGATTTGTGTTTTCTTTCGTTTTCTTCGCTTGTCGTCGTTCGTTGATGATTCGGGAGATGCCGAGTACGACGACACTGAGGATGACCAATGTCGAACCGAATAGCGCGTATAAATTTGAACGATCTTTCGTGAAGATATTCTGAAGAATCAACGCGAAGATAATTTCAGCCGAACCGAGAAGTGAGAAGACGGCTGGATGTTCGCGTTTGATTGCCTTTTGCGTAAGGATACTTGCTAGGATCGTGATCAAACAAACAGTTGATGCCAAGGCAAAACGCCAGGAGAGAATATGGTCGAATGAATACGTTGTTTGCAAATAAAAGACTTTGTAGATTTGATTGGTCACCAAACATAAGAACATTGCCGCTGCAAAATGAAAATTCAATACACTTGGCTTAATGTCCTGCGATATCGAGATCAATTGCTTGAATAATAAAACATTAATAGCCGACGTCAATGCACAACCAAATGCCATAATGAATCCAAATATACGGTACTTATTTTCAATAGCATCGCCGGTCGTTTCATCTTTGGAGTGGAATAGAAAACTCGGTTGGGTCACGAATACCACTCCGAGACAAGTTAATGGCAAGGATATCAATGTACCTATCGAAGGTCGTTCACGATACACGATTACACTAAGAACCACCGTCCAAACGACGCGAGTGTAGCCCAAAGTATTCACATTGGACAGCTCGACAAAACGTAGAACAAGA